AACAGTCAGTATTTCAGGAAGGAAGGTCTTGTCAGTCGAACTTGCCCTTCGAGTGATATGACTATGTTGGTTCCATGAATATTACAGTGGTTCTTTTACTGAAATCAATATAGAGTTGGCACGGCCAAAGCATCCTGGTACTGAAAAATCCTGACGGAGACTATTTTGCAAAACCCAGGTGGCGCGCTATGGTATGGACATACTTCGTACTCCGTACATACAGTAAGGTAGGTACATAAGGTACCCTATGTACCTTACATACCGTACAGGTGTCGTTCCACAGTGCGTGCCGCACCGAAGCAAGCCGCAGAGAGTCGAGCATTGGTCCGAGCGCCTTACGTTACCATACATTGCTCTCAGCTCTGGCGCGCGCCCAATCACCACAGACATCGAAAAACGCAGCTTGGCAATTACAGTTGGGATACAGATACCTATCCGAACATCGCCGTTGCTGATTTCTCGGTCGCGTGTGCAACATAGCCCGAGTATCCCAGCAGTGATGTCGCGGCAACGTGGTGTTTGATTATTTCTCTCCCTGTTCTTTTCCCTTCTCCTCGGCTCTGCCATCCAAGGTGCCGATTCGTTCCCCGATCGTCCCGACTCCGACAGCCATCGCGCTGCCGCCATGGCTTCGCAATCATCGAACCGCCAGCCTGACCTGGCCCTGGTTGTCAGTTCACTCCCGTCTCGCTGATCTCGCTGATCTCGCTGTTACAAGCCTCTAACACAAAATATTTCCGCAGTCCGAGGATGATTTCCCCTACGAGCAAGACATCCAGCGCAACCCCGGAAGCACGAAGCCATGGTTGGCCTACATCGAGTATAAGCTTCAGCATGGAACGGTACGGGAACAGGCTTTCGTTATGGAGAGAGCATGCGTCCAGCTGCCGCGGTCATACAAGTTGTGGAAGATGGTACGTCACGCTTCGTAGTAGTTCGCGGCCTCATTGTGTCTAATTCCCAGACAGTATCTCCGATTCAGGACGCAGCATGTTGCCAAGCTCAATGCTGCCGTTTTCGCGGCCGAGTACCAAAAGGTCAATGCCCTTTTTGAACGGGCCTTGATCTTGCTCAACAAGATGCCCCGGATATGGGAGATGTACCTCAAGTTCCTGATGCAGCAGCCCCTCGTGACCCACACGCGCCGCACCTTCGACCGGGCGCTTCGAGCGCTTCCCATTACCCAGCACAACAGGATATGGGCGCTTTACCGGCCGTTCGCAAACTCGGCCGAGGGTATGACGGCGGTCAAGATTTGGCGGCGGTACATGCAGGTTCACCCCGAGGATGCCGAAGACTTTATTGAGCTTCTGGTGCAGACTGGGTTATACACGGAGGCGGTGCAGAAATACATTGATATCCTCAACAATCCGCGCTTCCAAAGCAAAAATTCCAAGGGGCACTACGAACTATGGAGCGAGATGGTTGACTTGCTAGTTGAGCATGCCGCGAACATTGACACGGGCCACGAGACGGGCATCGATGTGGAGCGCATTATCCGGAGCGGTATTGAGCGATTCAGCGACCAAAGAGGGAAGTTGTGGTGCGGCCTGGCAACCTACTGGATCCGGAGAGGGAACTTTGAGCGGGCGAGAGACGTCTTTGAGGAGGGCATCACAACAGTCATGACCGTCCGAGACTTTACCCTTGTGTTTGACGCCTACACCGAGTTTGAAGAGTCAGTTATTGGGGCATTGATGGAGGTGGCCTCGACAAGGGCCGAAAAGGGTGTGGTAGATGAGGCGGCAGACTTCGACCTCGATATCCGCATGATGCGTTTTGAGCATCTCATGGACCGTCGTCCTTTCCTCCTGAACGACGTTTTACTCCGACAGAATCCAAACAACGTCAATGAATGGGAGAAGCGGGTCGCGCTGTGGGGCGACAACAAGCAGGAGGTGGTACAGACGTATACCGATGCTATCGCTGCGATTCAGCCCAAGAAGGCGGTTGGCGCATTCCACCAGCTATGGGCCAACTACGCGAAATTTTACGAGGCCGGCGGCGACTTGCGCACTGCACGAACCATCATGGAGAAGGCGGTCAAGGTGCCGTTCAAGTCTGTAGCAGAACTCGCGGACATGTGGATTGAATGGGCCGAGATGGAGCTACGGAACGAGAACTTTGATGAGGCCGTCAAAATCATGGCAAAGGCCGTGCAGGCACCTAAGAGGTCGACGGTCGACTACTTTGATGAGACGCTGTCGCCGCAACAACGGGTTCACAAGAGCTGGAAGCTCTGGAGCTTTTACGTTGATCTCGTCGAGAGTGTGAGCTCGCTTGAAGAGACCAGGAAGGTCTACGAGAGGATATTCGAGCTCCGGATCGCAACCCCTCAGACCGTGGTCAATTATGCCAATTTGCTCGAGGAGCACAAGTACTTTGAAGAGTCCTTCAAAATCTACGAGCGTGGTCTGGATCTCTTCAGCTACCCGGTCGCTTTTGAACTGTGGAACCTCTATCTCACCAAGGCCGTTGATCGCAAGATCAGCATCGAGCGTCTTAGGGATCTCTTTGAGCAGGCAGTGGAACACTGCCCACCCAAGTTTGCCAAGGTAATCTATCTAATGTACGGCAATCTTGAAGAGGAGCGCGGTCTGGCGCGCCATGCCATGCGCATTTACGAGCGCGCCACCCGTGCCGTCTCGGACGAAGACAGGGCGGACATGTTCAACTTCTACATCACCAAGTCAGCCTCGAATTTCGGGTTACCTTCAACCCGCCCCATCTACGAGCGGGCCATCGCCGCCCTGCCGGACAACGAGGCTCGCGACATGTGTCTCAAATTCGCCGACATGGAGAAGAGGTTGGGCGAGATCGACCGGGCCAGAGCGATTTACGGCCATGCCTCACAGTTTTGCGATCCGCGGACAAATCCTGGCTTTTGGTCAAAGTGGGAGCAGTTCGAGGTGCAGCACGGCAACGAAGACACGTTCAAGGAGATGCTACGCATCAAGCGGAGCGTTCAAGCACAGTACAACACCGACGTCAACTTTATTGCCTCGCAAGCGCTGGCCCGAAGCCAGCAGCAGCAGCAACAGAAACAAGAGAATGGCGGCGTCGGCGGCGAAGTTGACCAGGAAGTTGCCGACGCCATGGAGCAGCTCGAGAGGCAGGCTCGTGCTCCGGCAGGCTTTGTGGCCGCCTCGGAGGGACTCAAGGGCAATGTCCCCAGCCAGCCGGTCGAGGTATCCAACCCGGACGCCATCGACCTTGACGACATGGATGAATGACTATGACAAATTATATGTACTTAGAGGCGAGCGGGTGTGTTTTGCTTTCTTCACCTTTACGAGAAGAGATGGAAACAACGAAACTGAGACTCTTCTAGGCTTTCCATATTAGCACGCACACCGTTGGATAAGTGGACATGGCAATCCTGATTACACTTCAATCAATTTTCGCGGTGTATTCATTTCGCTCGAAAGAATTCCCGTATACGGGATGCAGGACTCCCCCTTTTCCCTCCCAAACTGGACCATTGCTATGGCCCGCCGTTACTTATCAGCACGCAAATAAGGTCAAGTGCAGAGCGTTCACTAGCACAGCGCTCCATCACCCCTGCCACGTCCCAGCCGAACCTGTTCCCTATCTGTCAATTCGACAGCAGCCTCACAACTTCAAACCACAACAGCCATTTCATTTGTTTCCCCCATCTCGTCCCTAAAGCCAATCAAGAAGACCTCATGATAGCCGCCCACTTTCTCATGCATACCGGTGATGAGAGGATGATGAGAGGATGTGTCCCAAAGCTCACTTCTTGCCATAACCCTTCTCGGCGTGCATCTGGTGCTACAGTACAGACGAGACGAAACGTTAGTGACATCATACACTTTCCCCCTTCCAATTTCTGATATTTTGTTTCCGGGGAGGAAAGGGGGGGCGGGCTATACTCACAAACTTGGCCGGGTAGTTGCTGTCAATGTGGCCGTCGCGGGAGCTGGGCACAGCGTAGATGGATCCCTTGCGCTTCTGGAACCGGCTCGGCGGGACCTTGGACGCGTCTACCCCCCGTAAAGGAGTGGTTAGTGACCATCTAGGTGAAGGGAACATGCGTCCGTGTCTGTGATCATACTGGGGCGGGAATTGGTTGTTACTTGTCAACAAAAGGCACGGGTTGGGAGAAGAGATAAGATGTGGGCAAGAGGAAGGTTCATCGAAGGTTAATGGATGTGAGATGGGCGACTGAAGACGGCATACCCCACTCGTCGCTGTCGCGGCGCTCTTCTTGTATCGTTGGCGAGGCCGGGCTGGTGGCTGTCGGAGGGCTGCCGGCCGTCCCTGTGGGAAAGGATTCCTGAGCTGTCGGGCTGTTTGCAGTGTTGCTGGCAGTGCTTTGTTTCCGGGTGTCTAGAGATGTTACAAGAAGGGTGGTTGTGTTAGCGGTCGCTAGGCGGCAAGGGGAAGATCTAAGGCAATTAAACGGAGCAGGAGCCGCCGTACCTGCCATTCCGGAGGAGAAATTCGATATCAATGTGTTAATCAGGGCTGTTGGAAAGGGTGGGAATACTCTGTGACTGCTCAGCGAGTTCGAAAGGTCGTTTAGAGGAGCAGAGACGAAGACGGGTGGATATGATGAGGTAAAGGGGCCTTAAATGTCTGAGCGCAACTTCAATCTGGTCTCGACCTCGCGAACTCCTCACGGGCGTCGCCTAGTATTTATCTCTAGGTCACCTGGAGAACTGTTGTCATGAGGAGGGCTTCCTGGCGAGCTCCTCCTTTTCGCCCCCGGTTGCCTTCCTGTACGGAGGTACCCCTCATCGCTTTGTTCTTACAGGCAGTCCTTTGGTCTGGTCTACACTACACAGTAGATGGCCGTCCAGCACAAACGCCTACCTCCATCATACTCTATCCTGATGCGACGAATTGCAATATCAGAGTCGCTATCTGTAAATCCGCCGAGAACTGACATTGCTTCCAAGTTCCAACCTGCTGTGTCCCAATCAGAATCGCAGAAAAAGAGGCGCAAGGGCGCCAGCATCACGGGACAGTGGACGGGACAGAAGTTCGAGTACAGTTCCACCGTCAATTACCGCATAGCAGATTATACACCATCAGCTACTGGGTACTAGCATTGAGGCAGTGCTCAAGCTTTACATACATCCGCCACGAGTTCCCAATGGCGGGGGATCGCCCTGGTTCGCGCAAAGGAGAGTTAGGTGTCGCACGTCATGTGCCACTTGGAAGATTGAACTCCAAGTAGAATCGGCATCGTCCAGATGGGACTGCTGTCGTCCTTGTTGGTCTACGGATGCCTGTCAGGTGTAGGATGTGCATGGCGGTCATGCATTTCGAGTCTATCAACGCTGTGCACTTGTATCACCAAGGGCGTGAATGCGCAAGATGGCTAACCTCTGACAGTTTTCCATGCTGTGGAATAATGCAGTGGCAACTCACAGCCTCAATTGTTCTTGGGTATGCAGTGTTCCATTAAAGTTATGAAGAAAACACTTCACTGCAAAATCAAAGAAGTCATTGGGAATCTTGGCCAGCAAATGGTAAAGCAATTGATTGTAAATACCGTACAGGAACAAAAAAGGTGCAAAAGGTGAGGTCGTGCCCGGGTTCGAACCGGGGTTATTGGAAAGTTTGACTCAGGTCAAAATCCAAAGTGATAACCACTACACTACACAACCCTTTTCTCTGTTGAGGTGCGAATGCCAGAATTATCGCTTATATGCACATTTGCAGACACAGCTCAGTTTCCCTATGAAACACCACTTTATGGAAGTATCGATACAGGAGTTGGGAAATCTAGGGAGAGATGAAGTGGTTAATGAAGCCGGCCGTCTATAAGTCGTTATCAAGAGTTCCTCTATTCCATTACTAGTTTGCATTGTCCGCCTGTTGAACTACTTTCCTCCACTTATGTCGGCCTGCGATGCAGCACACCAGCACCAGCCTACAGACTAGTTAGTCCAGCTCCTCACCTCGATATTGCCTCTATTACCGGGCTACTTACTTGATGGCTCGGGTAGATCAAGGTGTCAGCAACAACCACATTCTGTCTCCTTCCTGCGACAAAGACCACAACCTCGGCGATGTCATCAGGGGTCAGGGGGTCGCAGCCGCTAGCAGAACAAGTGTTAGCCATGACTTCCATAACAATAGCACTACCTTCAGGTTTACATACGCATATACCGCATCGGCCTTGGCCTTGTCGCCATAGAACCTGACCACAGAGAACTCCTGTGATGCGAAAAAAAAAAAAGTCAACACACTTAGTCGAGTGACCGGATCCGTCTAGCGGAGAAAAAAACCCACCGTCTCAACCTGGCCAGGATCAATCTCCATGATCCTGATGCGTGTCGCGACCAGCTCCTTGCGCAACGAGTCTGTGAAGCTGCGCACCGCGGCCTTGGTGGCGCAGTAGATGCTGCCCCCGGCGTAGGGCTCCCGCCCGGCGATGCTGCCAATGTTGATGATGTCGCCGGCGCCACCGTCCGGGCGGGCTTTGAAGATAGGCAGGATCTCCTGCGTCATGTTGATCAGGCCCGTGACGTTGGTCTGGAACATGATGTTGATGTCTTCTTCGGCAATGTCAGGCGCGCAGGCGACTTGCGGAAACTGTCAGCAAGCGCTCTCTCCCTTTCCCAAACTCAGTACTTATTATCCTTACCTCCCTTCACCAGCCCCCTACAACCCCCAAAGTCAAAAACCACAACCGTCAGCAAAATCTCAGTCACTAGCCATTCCAACCGAACCTTCCAAAACCCAAACAGACAAACCCATTAGCAAAGAAAAAGAAACAAACTAGCAAACTCACGCATTATTGACCAAAACATCCACATCCCTCCACTCCTCAGGCAAGCAGCGGCTGACAAAGCCCTTCACCTGCTTAGGATCGCTGACATCGAGCTGGACGGGGAGGACCTTGACACCCTCGCCGACCTCGGCGCGGATCTGTTCGGCGACCTCTTTCAACGTGTCAATCCGCCGCGCCGTCAGGATCAGCCTCAGGTCACGGGGCGCGGTGCGGGCAAACTCAAAGGCGCAGCTCCTGCCGATGCCCGACGAAGCGCCCGTGATGAGGATGGTCTTGCCCTCCAGGCGCTTGGCCATTGCCGTGGCAGACATTTTCCGGAGTAGCACTGGTGTTGTTGTTATTATGGGTGAAAAGGTCTTAGCGAACAAGTTGGTGAGGGGTTGGCGGGAATGCTGTTGTGGGCAAAGGTACTGGGAGATGTAGAATCGGCCGGTGGAAATGAGTCTCCTCGCCAACATATCACTTTCCGAGAGGAAATTAGGGACTGAATCTATGAGATCCCGAAGAGCGTGGAGTAACAACCCTTAATAAACGGCGTATGGGACAAAAGGGAACCTCCACAGGCGGCATCGGCGCTGACGCCATCCCACTTGGTGATCCACCCAGTTCCTGGCCCAGGATGCCGTTGCCGGGTCGGCTAGTCGGCCTCCGCCCTCCGGAAAACACCCCGCATTCCGCAAGTCGCTGCCGGCGATAAGCATCCCTACCCCGCACGGCTCCCAGCCTCAGCCCCTGAGCCCCTTTTCACACGCACGAGTACCTCCGTACTAGTAATCTCAGGCTTCTCAGCCATAAACACATCTCAGCACCACCCCAGCAGCACCTCAGCAGCACCTCTTTGGCCGCGCTATCCAAGTCTATCCCTTGACATTAAGAAACTTATACCCGCTAAGCATTTCTGAATCGCTGTTTCGGCCACAGTGCACAACTACATCACCAACCAGACCTTGCAGCAGCCAAAGCCGTTTGTCTTGCCTCCCCGTCTAGCCTCCGCTTTCGCAGCATCTCCGCTACAGATGTCCGCTTCTGACTATAGATTCCAGCGGTGCAGAGCAATCCGGCAACCAGCACTCCGCAGCAAACAATCATATCCTCCTTCAAGGCATCCGTGTACACTTGCCTGATGAGCGCCCACTGCTTTTCGGAGAAGGTTGACACGTTTAACCCCATGTACCCGAGCATGTCAGGGTTTATTCCTCTGCTGGCTAGTTCTTCGCGAATCTTGACGCCCAAGATGGCAGACGAAGCCGCGATGCCCAGGCTACCCCCAAGAATACGTGCCTGAGCCACGATCGCTTGCGCCGTTGCTTGGTGTCAAACTGGTGTTAGCGTACAACATCCAACTATTGACACATAGGAGTAAGTGAACACACCATGTTCTTGGACTGGTGACGCCAACTGGGCCAGCAATGTCGACACCGCGGACGACAAACCAAAGCCAAACCCGATCAGAGCCAGAAATCCCAATACTCTGGGCTCAAACCCTTCGTCACTGGACGCCATCATTTCAAGCCCACAACCCAGCGCTGAAAGTAAGCATGCCATAACCATTGTTTCAAAAAACCGTTCGTGCTTGCCCTTGCGGTTGATCTGATCGGCCGCAAAGATTGCCACGGCCGACGCCACCAGTATAGGCAGAAGCATGACACCCGCTTCTAGCGCGCTCTTCCCGTAGACCATCTGGAAGCGTATAGGAAACGCATACATGGACAAGAAGTAAGGGAACCCCATAAACATAGTGTGAAAGACAGTAGAAACATAAACTCGGTTGTAGAGAAGTTCGAAGGGGAAGGCCATAGCTAGGTCTCGTCGGCGATGATATTTGACAAAGTACTGCCAACCGATGAGAGCAGTGAAGGCAAGCACCCCGGCAGTCAGCGGCGCGAAAAAGGTCGGTCGGGACCATTCGCCGTCTTTGGGCGAGTTTTGGAAGGGAAATACAATCAAGACCGCTCCTGCAAGACTGCGTTGGGTCTTGTTAGTCCCCGTTGCGTTGCTCCGAGTCATTTTCTCCTTTTCGGTTGCACTCACAGTAAGAAAGAGCCCAAGTAGTCAACATCACTCCAGCCTCTCAGTACACGAGTTGGCAGGTACTCTTCGCCCGGCCAGGCAAAGACGAAGACAAGCAAGGACAGGCCGCCGAGAGGACCACTGATAATCGTCTATGATCAGTACTGTTTCATACGCTTGGTAGCCTTGGGTCCCCCATACTTGAGCCAAAAGACACTTCTCCAGCCAAAATAGTGGGTAAGAATGCCGCCGAGCACTGGACCCAGGACGCCAGAGGAAGTGATTGCCGCACCTGCGATGGGGCCGATGAACTTCTTCAAGGGTGGCGGCGTAACTTCCGGCAATATGACCAGTGGGATGCTGTAAAGTCCTAAAGGTCCATCTCAATCAGTGTCTCTTCCTTTCCCAACAATCGCCGCCGCCTACCTGACCCCCCTAGACCCTGTAGTGCTCGAAAAGCGATCAACTGCCGCATATTCCGGCTCAGGGCGCATGCTATTGAGAAGGCGAGAAAAATTGCGTAAGCCGCCAAAAAGGCCGCCCTCCTGCCAACAACGTCTGAAACGCGGGCATAGAGCACCGCACAGCTGAGGTGAGCCAGGGTATAAGCCAATGCAACCCAGTTTATGATCCCGACTTCACCGAACTCGAGGGCTATGTTGAAGAGACATGTGGCAACGATGGAAGAGTCCATCACCGACAGGAAAAAGCCGAGGGCTACCCTGGACGCGGGACGATCGAGTCAGCACATAGCGAAAGATAGGTTACTTGATCTATCTCTGTGCACTCACCCGATGGACAGCATCGCCTATCGCCATCGTGGCATCGGTCGTGGCTCTCCGTTGTTTGTTTGCGGGAGGGTGGCAATGGTCTCGATATTGTCGACCCGCAGAACTTCATCATCTCCACCACTTGCTCCTTGGGCAACGGGTATTGCCGTCGGCTTGGGACTTGGTTTGCGCATCTTGAGGTTACTTGCTGCTGCTGGCGGTGATTCCATTTCGTAAGAGTTTGCATTTCCATTAGCGCTTGCCATAGCCGCGTGATCAGGAGTGGTCAGTGATAAGGATCTCCGGGTTGCAGGTTATGAGGGCGAAAGGATAAGGTTCGCAGGTTCGAAGGTAGGTGTATATCCGCTGACAGTCACCTTTAATATGTGAATACAAGTCGTCTGCGAAGAAAAAGCTGCAGAAAGACTGGATCAAGGAATAGCGTTTAGTCAGGAACACATCCAACTCGATGTTGAACCTGGAAGCCATACGGCAAGGAGCTCAGGGAAGGTAGTAATACCTTAGGAATACGTCCGGGGTTTCGAGGCAAGAGGTCGCCAGTAAAGCTGGGAAGTTACGGCAGGATACCCGGTAGTTGCAACGACTTGTGGTGCTAGCAAGAGGTACCTGAGGCAACAGTATCGCGACTGCCCTTGCCCGTTATGACTGCTTTCCCCCCTTCCAACAGGCGAACCCTGTTCAAGGAGCTCTACCATCTTGGGCACCATCTTTTTCAGTCAGCAATCGTCTCAACTAGACTCAGGAATGAGGAATGAAGTAATTCCGTCCCACACGGTATGCCCGGGCCGATCCATGGGGGATGCATACTGGAAGAGAAGGGAGGTGTTTCTCTGCGGCAATTCCAAGGCCCCTTAATCAAGGTCTTTTGAATTCCAAGGAATGGCGGCCATGTACATCAAGGTGGTTCTCCTGATTCACTCAACTGGGCCGTATGTGGGCGTCAACATAACATAGGCCCGGGAACTCAAGGAAGGCGTGGATCGATGAGGATGACTAGGGCCTGGCCGGGACGACCACGTGCTGGTAGAATGAGCATTGCTTTCCCTCAAGAAACTATCCGTAGGCTACAATGCGATATCAAACCTTCGGCAGCTAACTTCTTAGGTTACTATTCGTATTCGTAAGCTCGTGCAGATTCAGTGTTCTCGTATGAGCATCTTTGCCTCGCGAAGCTGTAAGTCCTCCCATTACCAGCCCCTGATCCCTGAAGGAAATAGCTCTGAACTACACTCCCCTTATAGTTTAAAATGTTGACAGAGCCAAATCAAGAAGAAGCCCATGTCATTCTCTGTGGAAGAGAGTTATGTCCGAAATGAGTCCTCTTGAGCTCACCTCACGAAACAACTATTGATATCCACCCCAAGCCGAAACCAACATCGAAGTCAACCCAACCACTCTGCTTCAGCACAAGATTATGTTCAATGGCTAGTGTGTTAGCATATACCCTTGGCTATTTAGACGCAGCTCCAGCCTTCAATATCAACGGAGACATGGGGCATTTGGGAAGGGAGCTCAAACTGTAGGGTTGGTTGATGCCTTGACTACCTAAAAATGAGCTTTCTATATCGAGACTCAGCAACTCTATTAAGCACTCATAAGATGGGTACGTTGATAGGTTTCTTGCAACTCTCATTTCGAGTTTTAGATTTGTCAGTGATGCGTGAGGTTGATCCAAGCAAGCAGGCAGTCAACTTCACCTCAACAGTTGTTTCCTATGTATTGTACAGTCCCTTGCTCCTCTCTCTTAATCCCACCTGAGTTGTGCTCCCGTTGCCATTCTTATCTAATGAGCCAGTTCCTTGGGTCTTCCCATGCCTGTGTTGCCGTCGTATGTGTATTGTTTTCACACTGGCCTTGATGCAGAGGACCGGTTACATTTGAATGGAATATTGCCACTACTGATTTCCTAGTCTGTCTTGGTACGTTCTCATCTGGGCTTAAGTTACGAAACTCGATTGCACTGGCAGCAATAGTAAGATCTGCAACATGAGATTGTTGAAGCACAAACTGTTGTTGAGTTTAACCCTGATGGGCGGATACTAGGGACATCATAACGTACATCATAACAGAGTTTGCAAGTTTCAATTCCCAATCAACTCTCGATGTTTCATGTCAAGCCAACGAGCCAGTTCGCGACTGGTGACTGGAGCACAGGGTAGAGTTTGTATGCCTCTCCCTGCTCAAAGCTCAGGTACTCTACTCCCTGTTCAGAGCCGGAGCCAGCTCCAAAGACAGACCAGATACTCTCATGAGAGAACCAGAGGCCAGATCATTCGTTCAATACCTCTTCAAGGCGTTATTTCTACTTGCCGATGCAATCACATGATTTGGTCGTACGTTGCGACCCCTGGAACCATGGAAAGGCGCATGCAAGCATTTCTTACCCTGAGGCGATCATGCTGGGCAAGTAGTAAGTGCAACCCCGCGATGTCCAAGACTGAAGCTTCTTCTGGCCTCAGGCTCTGGGCGTTGACACTCCGGATGACAGAGAGAAGACGGGTACAAGCTCGAGGCTCGAGCTACAAACTCGATACATCGCACGGATCCTGGCGGTTTGTTGCGCGCCAGACTCTGTTAGCTGCTGGGTCAGTGAAGGGTGACAGGGCATGCCGCTGGGGTCCTTCAGACCCAAAGTTTGCGATTTCTGTCACAAGCTGTCAAACTTTTTTTCCTTTTCGTCATGGTGTCAGTTCTGAGGGTCGAGACGCCGACGTGGCCTCCCAACAGCCGCCGAACCCTGGCCTCGCGATGGAGCTACCGCCGCTGAAGGATTGTGTAGGTACGGCTCTGCAAGTCAACGGTGTGACGAAATACCCGTGCGTGCAGTGCGGTGAGCCTGATCCAACGAGGCCTCTTTGCCTCATCCCTTGCGGGACTTCCCCAGATGGTCGGCAATAGCCAACGAGATGCCGAATGGTGTGGGGGCTGGGGACTCGTCGGCAGGAAGGACCGATACAGATACAGGGGTTGTGCGTTGACCAGCCTGGTGACGTTCTTTGAAGGCCAGGTACCCCGCATTTTCGCTCCATCTACCGACCATGGTGGCAGCCACAGTCTGGGGTTGTCGGCCAACTCAGCCAAGTATGGGTACTGGTTAGATTTACAGTGACATACTACAAAGCAGAACTGCTGGGTATGACGCAGGTATACACTTAATATCTCTGGTTTTCGTGTCTGGTGCTTCTCTCTGGCGTCCTCATTGGGCAGGTGGGCTGACTGTGATTCTCCTGATCCAACGGTTGAAATGGATCTGCTCCCCGCATTGTCTGCCCTGTCTTTATTTTTCTCTTCTCCAGAACTGTCCTGTTGAGCTGGGGTGCATATCCTTACCCCGCACTCCAAAAAGAAGCAAGGCAGGGGTCACCAATCAGATTGTACAAGGTACCTGGCTAGATCAGTGCGCCACGCAGACCAAAAACCCTGTCTTACAGGTACCTGACACGAACCGCGCGACGGGCCGCAAATCCAGATTGCCAAGCCTTTTCAATGCAACAACCGACGAATTCATCCAACCAATGCCATGTGGGCTTTTCGGGCCTAGCCACCGATTCAGGAAACCGTTGAGGAACGTCAATTCGTCATGTCAGCCGGCCAACTTTGGACGGTTTTTGACCACACGACGTTGACAGGATATGTACCATTGTACTTTGCACTCTCCCGAGCATGCCGTGAGTCCCAGATGCAGAAGCAAGGGACGAGCGCACAGACGGGAGACAGACTCGAACCTTTGCAGTCGTATTATTCCCAGACGGGCCATGTTGGGCCCTCTTGAGGACGTATGTATGTACGTAGTCGTGCAGGCGCTCCCATCAGTCTCCGGCACTTTTCTCGTCTACTGCCGTTCTGTTATCTCCGCCCCACGGGCTTCATTCATTGAGCAAGCACCGACCAAGGTTCTCGGGGAAGGAGGGGAGAAGGTCAGCTTAGTAGACAAACACGAAAACACCAACAAGCACGAGATGTCAATCAGTCCTCTCTTCGACCATGCACACGTGTATACAGTTTATGCATGTCAGCACATGGCAATCAGAGACCAAGTCTTTGCCAAAATCCGGGGTAACGCGCTGATCACAGCCACATCAAGCTTGGCGCCCTGGCGGATCGGCCCTGGGTTCCAGATCTTCAACGACGATGTGACCTGTCCCGTTACGGATAGTGTAGGTTCTTTTCTCTCCTCACCAGGACGACGTAACTTCCCACCTACTGCAATTCGTCGAGTCAAGATCTCCCATGAGCTGACTTTACGCCGGTTGATTTCTGATGGTAAGCAGCTGACCCGTCTAGGGCATCTTGATGGCAGAAGAAAAGAAAAAAAAACGCCTTGGGAGGGTACCAAGGTTTGTACATACAAGACATTATCTACGGTATTGCATCACTACGCCGTTGAGAGTTTGGCAGCATATGCCATGTCACCGTCGCCGTGACAAAGTGCAATAGGGGTAAAAGTAGATGAATGGAAAGCCGGCTTCGACATGCTTGCTTGAATTGGCGTATTTTATTGGGTCCTGCATCATCTAACACGCTTCACGAAGTCTCCGAACAATATCTGTGATGGCACTGTACTATACAGAGGAGTCGATGTCAGGTAGCAAACGCGGAGAGGCTGGGCATAATGGACCATGTTTCCAGAACTGCTTTCCTCTGCGGTGTTGAGGCAGTGTGTGTAGGAAATGCAGTGACAAGCCCATCTGCTATACCCTCTAGCTAGTTGTTCCTTCATTCCAGATAATCAACCGAAGGACAACCGCCCGACAATTCTGCCCTGCCCAATCCCATCCCACCCATCGTCCCGAACCTGTGCACCACCAAAGGACGAGGGAAGATTGGAATTGGGTAAGAGCAAAAGATCACTGTTCGGCAACTAAGTATAGACAAGAAGAAGAGAAAGATTGAGCAGCAGTTTGGCACACTCCATTTTCTTTTTCCTCCCTCCTTTTCTTCCGCCCATATTTCCAAACCCAAATTTTTTCGTTTCCCAACCGGTTAGGCATTGTAAGGCATACATATCGTGGCATGACGCATTCTGGTATCTCTGTCATCAGTCGCGAGGAAAAATGGAAATAAGAACAGAAAACAGAGAAACAAGACGAAGCTCAACTCCCCCACACCAGCCCGCCTACCCACACCACCATCTTGCCAACCCAAAAATAAGAACTGCCACCCCTGTACCCCACATTCCAAGGGATATATAAATGCAGGTTGCATATGAAAGCGTGACATTCTGCTGAACATCGAGGAGAGTTCGACCCTCCATTTCGGGCCGGTTTCCTAGCAAACCGTAAGACCCGCCCAAATTCCGTGCACAGAGGAAGAGCAAAACCCCAAAAAGGAGGCTGCATCAACGTAACGCTACCAATAAGAAGAAAAAAACTCAGAATGGCCCTAGCAATAGCCAAGACAGGTAGAAAAGCATCCAACCGTGTCCTCTCGCGCGTTTATTGGACGTATCCAAACCCGTCCATAGCCGCAGCGGCAGCTGCAGGATGGTGAGGGCTCAAGATGCCGCCGTAGTCAACAGCATGCACCTGATGGGGGTTGTGGGGATGATGTGCACCAGCACCGTAGGCGGCGAACTCTGCCGCCGTGGGGCTGCCGGCGGTAGCATGCTGCCCAGCACCAGCACCGGACGGACCGCCCCAGTACATGCCGTCCAGGTCCCCCCACAGACCGCTCGGGTCGAGCAAGCCCATCATGCCCAAGCCGTCTATGGGCTCCAGCCCGATGGGGCTCATGTGCAAGCCCGCCGAGTCCGGGGAACCCATGAGGATGCTGCTGTCGGCAGGCCCAGTGGTTGCCAGGTGATGAAGACCGGGGCTGGCACCTGCCGAGGACCGCTGCTGCTCTACCTGAGTGCGGCCGGCCTCGTACATGCGCCAGACGACCTCACGCGAGCGGCGGGCGGCGAGTGACCACTCCTCCATGACCTCAAGCAGGTCAAGGACGGCCTCGATCTGCTTGAGCCACTCAGGCACGCGCGGTGAACCCCACTGCCAAAAGACGCTGACGAGTGGCACCATGGCGGCCTGGTACAGGAACCAGACAGCGTTCCAGCCGCTCATCTGGTTGCGCGCCCACTCGCGGGCAATGTCCTCGACCGTCTGCGCCGCCAGGTCCCGGCACGTCTCGATGGCCGCAAGGTCCGCGTCGCTTGCCTGCGTGTGCGGGTTCAGCCCGGATGATGCCAGCGAGAGCAGCACGGGCCGGTGTAGCAGCATCCGCAGGTTCTGGTACCGCCACTTCATGATGCACCGCGCCATGTAGAGCGGCTCGGCGCATGGATCCGTGGTGCGCAGCAGCCAGGGGAGTGACGTGTACCAGTTGACAAGCTGGCTGTCGAGGTTGCAGCGGTCTTCGGGGCGCAGCAGCGGCGTGATAGCCAGCATATCCTGGATCTGGGTAGCAATCTTGCAGAACTTGATGTTCTCGATCAAGGGGAGGATGCCGGCACCGTGCTGGGACGAGTCGCGTCCCGCATTGACGCCGAACTCGGGCGGCCGGATGTTGATGGCGGGGCCCCACCGGCCAAACGACGGGCGACCCATCGTCGTGGTAGCCCACGTATCGAGGCAGAAAAGGGCCCACCAGGTGCGGCGCCGCGTCTCGGCGGCGGCGATGTCGCTGGTGCTTTGGGCGAGGCTCTCGCGGTGCAGGCCGAGTGCGCTGGCCATGCGGATTGCGGCGCCGAGGACGGCGTTGGCCATGTTTGGCCGGTTGATATAATGCAAGTAGTAGCCGCCGATGATGGCCAAGGCTTGCACGGTCTCGATGTGGCTGCTCCCAAAGGCGTCCATGGGCAGGTGCTCCATAGCGCGGTTGTAGTAGTTGATATGGTTGTAATCGTCCGACTTGGTGGCCGCGATGCTGCCCATGGCAAAAACCATATTGAGCAGCGCCAGCCACGGGGCGTCTGTCCTCTGTCCCTCGAGATAATCGGCACGGAAGGTGCTCTCGTCGAGCATGGGTACGAAGACATGGATACGCTTGAAGTAGGCGTCGATCAGCGTCTGGCCCTTCCATGACCATGGGATTCGCTGCGGATCCTTCTGTGTCGCGGGCTTCTGCCTGATGGCTGGGTAGTTGTGTGACATTTCAACGCCGTTCAGGGGTGCCGCGAGAGTATTCCTCAGGCTCGGCTGCACCTTGAGCATCACCATAAGAGCCGCCTTGATGGAGGAGGCACCCAGATACGACGCCTGCCGGTCCACGGAAAGCGAGAGCGCGTTGATGTCGTCGGCCTCGGCGGGGATCGGATCCCTCCCTCTCCGCTCCTCATCCCATTCCGTGTCCCTTGAAGGGAGCTGCTCCAGCAGGTTCTCGTGCTTGACCATCATGGGCGACTCCAGCTCGGAGACAGGTGAGGTGTTCAGGGGTGGTGATGGTAGTCCGCCTACCGAGGTATCGATTACGGGCCGGTCCAGGAGGTTTAAAAGCTCTTGCCTCGACAGCGGCAGCAGGGCTTGTACTTCCTGGTTTGGATACAAGCGCTTAAGGATGGACCGGCACTCTTCGAGTGACTGAGAGAGGGCCTCGAGAGTTTTGCGTGAGGGGATCACCCGTTGTCTGTGCTTATCATAGAAGCATCTCTTGGGAGCACGGCTCGACAGACACTGGCCACATGGCTGCTGGCCATCGCACCGACTGCAACAGAGGGCCGGTTAGACAGCGTAGTCCAAGCCCATCGGGTTCAGTGACTTACATCTTGCGCCTCTTGCACTCGGCGCAAGCATGTGGCGTTGTTATCCTCTTGGCGGTTGCTGTGCTGCTGGTCTTGGTGCTGTCTTGGGAATCTGTTGACGCTTTCCGTGGGGTGACTCCCTGGAAGGTGTGAAACATGCCGCCCTGCGTCGGGATGGGGATTGTTGGTGCCATTGCGTGAGGGCTCGAAGGGTCAGACCGATTGGGGGGTTCACGTTCTGTAGGAGTGAGACCGGGGCGGCTGAGATCCTTATGAATGGTGGTCAGGCCGGGGAGGCGGCCGGCTGGATGGAGAGAAAATCTGGGGTAAGTGGCGAACGTTTAATTCATATGAGGTCGTACATGAGGGACAATAAAGCGAGATGGGGTTGAGCCACTGGGAGGAAGCCACTCAGATAAAGATAGAGATGGGCAATGGCGAAGAGGGGCGAGAACAAGGGGATGCGGATGCAGACTGATGATATATGTACCTTGTGTGAAAGGGGATACAGTTGGAGTTGTGGCTGCCGAGGGAGAGTGTGGGGAACTGGGGATAGACGAGATTTGCAAGCAGCGGCCGGCTGTCTAGGCCGAGGACGACTGCGGTGACATGGGATAGCGTCTAGCGTGACAGGCGCTTGTGCAGGACAGCGGTAGGCAATGTGTGCATAAAGGCCCGCCAGCTATAGCTCGTCGAGTATAAGGTTGAGATATAGTGCCCATGCAAAGCAACATCCATGTTCACGTCCATGTCCATCTCCACAGATGCCAAGCACTGAGAGTGTATTCCTGTAGTACACACTACACAACTCGTCCGCCGCGGTCAATGCCGTGTTGGTGGCCGGTAGCAAGCCACAGGAGCAAGCGGATAGACAAGGGACAAGGCTGCTCGGCCAGGCACAAGCCGGCCCAAGTCACCAATCAGGCATGACCGAGCCGCGGCAGGTTGGTGTGTGTACCTGAACCCAGAAATTAATATCAGACTCAACAAATGTCACGCCTCCCAGCCAGAGCGTCCCAGAGAGGGAAAGCCGGATGGGGAGAAGGGATTGTGGTTGGGAGGGAAAAGGAGAAAAAAAGGAAGAGAAAAAAAAAAAAAGAAAGTGACTTTGCCCTCTCTAGGCGTTGCGCATCCTGCTGGCTGCGACGTCGTTTCACCACCGAGGCCGGGGTGCATACACTACCGTACTTTGGTGCTGGAGGTGTTGTATGTATGTATGTACTCCAGTGTGTTGTACGTGTATGCACGTCGACCAGGATGCTGCACGTGGACTTGAGAGGTATTGTACTCCGTCGTACAGCGGGGATCGATCGAGGTACTAGCCGAATATCCTGATGATGTTGCAGTCGAGCATCGGCTGCCGAGGCCCTGTCACAGCAGAGAAGAGAATTGCTTGCAGAGACACTTGCATAGCCACTTACGTCTGCTCTGCTCTGCTCTTCAGGCGTGCCGCGTTCAGCATGTATCGCAGTACATCGCTGTCTTATCCTCGTCCTTTCCCTTTCTTTCCCCTGAGTGCTATGGAGATAGCGAGATGAGAGGACCAACGTTCGGATGACTGCATCGCACCACTGTTTCTACGGAGGGGCGTGCGGATTCCAAGGAACGAGCGATTTTTTTGGAGAAATAGTGGAGAGTGGTTGGGGCAGTGGAAAGAGGGACCGTCGGGCCCAAAGCCTTTCTCCAGCATGTCCCTGATGCGAGCCGCTTGTGGGGAATCAACAGCGTGTTCGCCCATTGATTGGCGTCTGGCGCTGCTCAACGGCCATTGTCCAGGATCTGCCCGCTTCCCCGACTCCGATCAGGGCAGGCGCCGTGGGTGGAGCGATCCTGTCGTCCACGTAAAGTACATTACACGTACAAAATGTAGTGTACACTAGGTACTGGTGAGGGGCTGGCTGTCCTCCACCAGTTCGATACTCTGGCGTCTAACTGCAAAATCTAGGTCGTAGTTCTACCCCGGATCTGGGCTTCGAGGCCGATGTGCATGTGTATTGTACGGAGCTGAATCCACATTAACCCCCTGAGTGCCCGGGCTGTCTCCTGTCAGCGCTCTTCCCGACCGCAGCATCCTGTATCCGTTCGTGCAAATGAGGTTATGGTTCTTCGACAGGTTTCCAAACAAAAGCTATGGCGGTGGAACCTAAGTAAGGCATGCAGCTGTCCAGTCAACAGCAAGCGAGAATCGGACCTCGACTGCTGGTCGGAGAGGGCGACATTTGCGAAGCAAACGCATCATGGCCGGCCATGGTTCATCTATAGTGTATGTACTTTACATACGAGAAAAAGGTGGTTCAAGACTTCCAGTGATGTGGAAGGCGGTGAGTGTGTCCAAGTCGGACGTGGGCTGCTCCTGTCTGGCTCTGCTCCGTTGCCCCACAGTTGCCACGGCGAGCTTGATGAGTGAGCTCAAGGTGAGGCACACTGTACTTGGCTCGGAATCACCGCTTTATGCTAGTGTTTTAGTATAAGACTCGAGAAAAGATGCTGGCGAGAGCGCAGCTTTGCAGTGCCTTTCTGCCGACATATCATGGTATATTACCGTAGCTGAATAGGTGGCGTGTCTCAACTAACATTGCCCAGTACCTAATGCTAGTGCAAACTCAGTGTCTATCACAGCCGCGTTGTTACCTAAGGTAGTTGGTCTTCCTGGATACATATCTGACTTTTGACTTTAGCTAAGGTAACTTACTGTGGTAGGTACCTATCTTTGTGGCTTATTTGAGTGAGTGACTGCTGCATCTGCATCTGGCATCCTATCGCCCCTTCCAGTACTGTAATTACCTACCGACTGCGCCGCGGCCAAGCAGCCGGGATCCACTGGGTAAGGCAAGCGAAGCAATCCCGTTAACGAGATGGTACACCAGCTATGTAATCCATACTGTACTGTACATACTCTCTACCTAATCCAGAGAGACTGACAAAAGCATGACGGAGTGGGCATTCAAGGGTTCAGCAAGTCTAAATAGCACTACACTAGAAAAAAGGCGCCATAAGATTCCTCTACGTTAGTATTCTGATGGCTGGGAAGCGTCTTGGGCGTCTGTGTCAGCGCTAGATGCACCTACACTTATGTGCGCTCGGCCTTAAGGTCCATGGATAGGCTTAAAGACTTACCAGAACCGAGCTGTCATGCATTAGCAGCGCTTGTGTCGTCGAGGCGCTTCGGACAGACGGCCTCCTGCCTTTCATGGAGATCTGGGCCATGTGATACATTTCCATGTGTGCGAATTTCCGTTATGCCCGCAAAAGATCAGTATTCATGCAGTCGAAACATGAATCGCAAAGGCACCCTATCGCTCGGGACCACTGCATTCTGAGGCGGCCAAGCAAGATAGAAGTTGTCAGAGTTACAAAAGTACAGAGGTATGTATTGCAGATATAATACACTGGAAGTGAACTATTGTAATTAGTAAATTACAAATATAACTTAGTACCTTCCATCGTATGTATGTACAATACTGTATGTACAGTACAGTGCAATGCGAGAAATCTGATCACGATCCAGGCTGGGCAAAGTGGGTCTAATCCCTGTCAATCTCGGCTCCTTCACCATGGGCGTTCCTCCCCACACTCTCATTGTCCAATCAGACATGCAGCGCCGCCTGGAACATCGGCAAGCGAGCCTAGCGCGGTCTCCCCTTTCAACAAGCTCATGGCAGACAGAAGAGATGCCGCCCTTCCAATTCGGCTGGCAGGTACCACGGGAGGTACGCTGGAGCAGGACGTTGAAGGCACATCCATTCATGTACAATACGTGGATGACTGACGTTACTCGTCAGGGCTTCATAATCGCGAACTGCCCCACCACTTCTTGGAGGGTCAGGCCCACTAATTCAGGAAAAACCTTTGATTCAGGAAATTCCACCACTACATGCCCTAGTATACAAATTTGTTAGCAACTCAATGTAATACCGTCTTCTTGCATCTATATTGCTTGTATGCATGTACATTATTTCGGACCCCACCAGACCTACAAAAAACTGAGCGTATATACAATGCCAGACCTATATTTACAATATTTAACTGTATTCCAATTGTTGTAGGTAAATTGCATTGCTTTATCGCCCATACTAGAGAATGGTAGCGATAGAGCGATATCTATGATGCTGTTAAGGTGGGTGGATGCAGTTACTATAGTGGATAAATTACTGTGTTATGGACGTTGACGGTATGATGCACGAAAAGTAGTATACCTAGGTTTGTATGGGATGCGCTAGTAAATGGAAGTACCTGAATTTCCTGAATCAAAGGTTTTTCCTGAATCAGTGGCCCCGACCGTCCACGAAGTGGTGGGGCAGGTCGCAATTATGAAGCCCTGACGAGTACTTGGCAACACAGGTAAAGCCTTTCCATCCACTGTTTCCAGCGCTTTCCCGACTTCATAAGGCTCGGATATTCCTGGCAGCGGGCGTTGCAGCCGTTGGATTTAGTCGCGATTGTTTCACTGAGACGGGAATATGAGGAAAGCGGCAATCGACCTATGGATTTCGTTGGTTCAGGTATCTTCCATCTGATTGACACACTGACCGTGCAGCAGGCGTTGAAGGTGCCACATCAGCAGCAGCGATCGCCGTATAATGTCAGACGTTAAGTTCGTGGCTTGACCAGGCACCCTCGCCTTAGCCCTTTCCCTCTCCTCCATACACCAGGCAGGAACAGCCATGTGGAGGAGGGTTCTGCGTGGAATTGGATCATCCATTTCGCCTACTCGCATTCGTAACCAGCTGAACCATCGAGAGGATCGCCACATATTAACTGGAAGTTTTATGATGCTAGCGTATTGCTCACGCTGCTTTCGACCAGAGTTGGCGACGCACAGACATATCTCCTCGAGCCTCGACCGCCCTTCTCGAAGCTCGTCAACACTCTGGGCCGGGTAGCGAAGACGACCGAGAGGAACCGACAGCAGCCGTGCGCTCGCCCACACCTACACTAGGTAACACTACCAGTGGTGGGCGGGAACGAAACGCGCACGCGCAGTACGAAGGTACAGTACACGCAGAGCTGTGCATATTAGCCCGACCGGTGCGAAGTTATTAATTTGCGAGGCAGTCAACTTCGCGTGTGGGCGCTGCAATTTTCATCTCACCCGGCTCTCAATGCCATAATTAACCCTTCCCATATCTAGCCGTCAATGACCGAGCCTCGATTCCCATCGAGGATTCCACCTTCCCTCCAGTCTGACAGCACCAAGTGTCTGGTGGAGGGTAAGCCACAGCCCGACATGGTGTGCTCGCAAGAGACCGCTGGTTTAGGTGTAAGAGATCAGCATATTAGTCTGATGGGCTTGCTATGTTGTGCTCCAAGATTCCAGGCTGCTCCTGGCGAGGCTCTTGAAGGGTTGGGCTGGGGTACCTAGGCATTGCACTAGAGCTCAAGTTTCCAGTCACGGGATACCACCCCGATCGCGGGTAGGCGGGCTGCCATCGCCGTAGAGCCGTTCGTTCACGCTACATTATGTAACTACCCTTAGCATTAACGTCTGCTACGTGCTATCCTACCGTCCAATAAAGAGTGTCATGGACCTGAGCCAGGCATGAGCAGGGACAGAAAACAACGCGTCACTGCTGCTACCGCATTGCCCTGAAAGATTGTGGGATAACGCTGGCAAGCCTCTCCCGGTGCCTGCCAGACGGGCGGTCCTGAACACGTCACTTGTCGGCCGGTTTCAGGGGGGAAGCAGGAACAAGCCAACCGGAACAAGACTTCTAGAAACACGGGCACGAGTTTTTGGGAAGATTGAGATGCGCTTTCTCCACAGGTCAAGATGCTTGAACCCGGCCCTGTATCACTTTAAAAGCATGCTTCAACCCTACGCATCTCGCTACTGCCCTGCTTCGGCTGAGGCAAAGGACGGGCCCGAAGGCGGTCGGAGACATGCCCTGATGAACGAGAAAATCGAAATCGAAGACGAAAGACCCATTCCCATGTCTCAGGGTTCGGTTGTTAGACGGGATGGGGCGTACGGTATTAAGTTGTGTAAGGTACGGATATGGATGCAGTGGATTACACGACTGCCGAGGTTTGTTTCGCGAACAGGCTTAACGCCAAAACGAATCCCCACCAATGCTCCTGCTACACGGTATTTTTCCTTCTGTTTTAGATCTTTTTGATCTTGGCTAGTTTTCGCGTTTCTCCTTAACATCTTCGCAGGGGAATGAGATATTGCTAGCCGTTTCAGCAACCTGTGAGCAGAACTGGGAGACATGCGCTGAGGTTAGGCGGAATCTTGTTCCTGGCAGTCCTTTCCATATTAACGGACTGTACAGTACACACAGCTACATGCCTTACTGATGACGCATCTTAACCAAGGGAAAACATGTACTTAGCCGCATGTCGTTCTGACTTGTCTTTGCATTTCTATACTACACTAATGTATATGCAGGCACACCAAGCTCCCATCTCACTGTCGGCCGAATCAGGCCAGACACCCGGGCATGATTTCGGATCAATCGCCACAGCCATCCGTCCGGGCTGGCAACGATCCCCCACATGGTGTGGCTTCGCCGTCCTATCCGTTTCGTGCGCCGTACACCATCTCCGGATCTCCTGACCTGCGCCGCACGTCGTGGCTTGCAGCTCATCGAGAAGCCAAGACCTGAAACAAGCCGATATGTTTATCGTACCTGCTCATCTCGGTTTTTTTTCTGAGGGCGCCCTTGTGGGGAGGCTCACAATATTCTCAGCATCCCACTGATTACCTATGTGAGCGTTACGGCCCACTAACGCCGGCTGTCTTACACGACAGCACCACGCAACTCCCAACCACCAAACATTCCACAGAACAGACCTGGCATCAAAGCGCAAAAGGACACGACAACCCTTACCCGTTTTTTGCCAACGGCTGGTTCAGCTGTAGGGTCCTACATGTCGAACGAAACCCCTTTCTTTTGTTACCTCTGCGCTGAGCCTCTGCTCTTCGGTTCTCTCGCGCCTTTTCCTAGAAGTCCGGCCCTCGATGGCAGGCAAGGCGCAGGCAAAAGCCATCAAAGAGGGTTCCATCCAGGCCCTGCGGGCCGAAGCTTGAAAATCATGTCCGGCTGAGGAAACCGGGTGTGGGGAAAAGGCGACGGGTGGGTTGGGTTGGATTGGGGCACTACTACTGTACGCCTGCGTATCATACTACACTACATAGTGTACAGGTAGCGTAAGGTTTGTACCGGGAAGAGAGACAGAGAAGACAGGATAGTGTAGAAAACACACAGACATGGCACTACCATGGACGTATACCAAGGGTAGTATAACGGCAAGTGGGAAGGCAGAACAGATGACTGCAACGGTAGCAGCAAAAAGGGGAAGCGGTTCGCGATGGTACCATGGGGTTCATAGTTGTAGCCCAAGTGGGTAGGAAAGTCAACCTGTCAACCACTCGAGTAGAGAAGCTGGAAGAGTGGTACATACACATGCAAGCATTGCAGTACTACTACCATGTAGCTCTGGTTTACTGTTCTGCCGAAACGGTAAATTCACTTTTCACTTCCAGGACAGGACATATCTGCGCTTTTCTGAAAAGTTCCGGCTGATGGCGCTGCCGTGGTGCAGCGACGAAGCGCGTGGAATAGCCGTTTCTTGTTGTCACTCGTCGTCATGTCATCGTTGGAAGTAAATAGGTGACGAGCTCTCCTGGTATGAACCAGAACTGCCAATGCACACAGGCTTGTTTTGTCCTTGGCGCATCACTGTGTTGTGAATAATCAAGAGCTGGATTAGCCTGGATCTGCAAATCCTCGAATGCCGAAATGTTCATACATATCCATACTTTGGAAAGTATTCAAGACTTAAGGAACTACGAGCAACTGGGCTCGGTCTGGAGTCATCTGGTCGTGCAACCAGTTTGCTCTATTCTTCGGCCAGCGCTTGTGCTTGTAGCATGTAGGTAGGCAACTTGTCCTGTTCTAATTCAACTCCCCGTATCTATTCCCCAGTGCGCCTGCTGGCCCGCTCCCTGCCGGGTTTATCCAGCCGCTTTCCCTTCGCATTGCTTCCCTCGAGAGAAGGGAGAAAGCCCCAATGCATCTCATTTCAGACAAGCCATATCTCAGTGAGATAAGAGCCGTAACAGGATAGGCAGCCGGGCGCTTAGCATGCCCTCATTTGCCTTCCATGCCTTCCCTCTCATAACCTCAGCACCTGACAGCGGCTCGCCACGCCGTCAAACACGCATGTGTTATCGATTGGAACGTACTGCTTGGTGATGATCTTGATCATCTCCTGCGCTACCATCCCGCCCGTCAGAGCGGCAATGTTGTGCAGCTCGCCCCCGCCTGCTCGCGCCACCTCGCGTGCGGCCTGGATAACCCGCTCGTTCTGCTCCGCCCCGGGCACCAGCTCGGCGACGCCCCTGAGGATCTCGTCAGCGCTAATGGCGTTGGCGGCGGCGTTGGCGTCAGGTGAGGAGGAGTAAAGGCCCGTCATGTGAGCGGTCGGCTGCAGGGCGAGATAGATTGGCAGAAGCGAGAGCGGGGACAGCGTCAGTTCCGCCGTCTGATCTGAGGAGAATTCTTGGTCTGGTTATGTTGTGGCGAAAACGAGGTATTGGTTAGCCTTTCGCTTCTTTCTCTATTTTCCATTTTCGTCTGCCTTCCACTTCTTTCCGCCTTGCGAGAGCGGGGACTGGGTCGAGGCCCTCGCCCTCTCGCTTGCTCAACATACCTGCTACTGCCCTCAAGCGATCTGCCCTGCTGATCTTCCCTCCTGTGGCATTGATGAGCTTGACAAAGGCCGCGTTCTTGCAGAAGAGTTCCACTTCTGCGGGATCGATGTTCTGGCCCCCAGGCATGGACCGAACTGTCTCCAATATTTCGGCAGCATCCTTGCGGGCTTTGGCCTTGTAGATGGACTGTAACTGGATGTACACCTTGGACTGAGCCTTCATGTCCGGGACTTTGCCTGGAAGGGGCAAGCACTGGTGCTTGTCATAGAACTTTTTGACTGCATCGGCAATGATCCAGAACCCTGATCTCTGCTCAACCTGGGATGCGATGTCAGTGTTAGGCAAGCGCCAGCTGGAGCAGACGGTGACCTACGGGGTCTGTATGCTGGTATTCGAACACCTCTTTCAACCCTGATGGCAGCGACGGATACACAAGGGTCCTGAGAACGGCAGCAGCGGCCTCGTCAAAGTTCTCTTCGCCACCCTCGGGATTATTGGTCCTCGCTGCGCTCTGCACCATCCTTCGGAACTCGGTCTTATCCTTGTATGTTGCGGGGTACTTCCCGTCGTGCGTCGCTTTCCACCGCTCGAGATAGTGGAGAAGTATCATCACATACGGCAGGTGACCATGTTCAAAGTCGTCTAGATTGTCTATGTCTTTGGTTAGGCCCTCTGAGAATGCAACCAGCTCCGGCCACGGAGAGAGCAGCCGAAGGTCAGTCGTCGCCGTCTCGTCCGGATGAGTATCGACGATCGGGAAAGCCCCAGGAAGATTGATCTGAAAATAAGAGTAGAACCCGGCAGAGTGTATTGCCACCAGCGGGGTTTTGTGCTCTTGGCCGTAGGCCTCCAAGAGAGAGAGCTGTTTCGGACTAATGGGGTGTGTATACATGACAACTGTGAAGACTGGTGATGAAGCCAGGACCGACTCAAGGGCCTCGACGCTCTGTTCAAGTTATCAGTACCATGTCTTCGAAGGCAGATCTTGCCTCGCACCTCGTTTGGATACCATGTGCCCTGCACTTCCGGATTCAGCTCCAGAAGGAGCTCGGTTAGGCTCTGGGACCGGGATTTGCCCAGACAGCTGTCATCCAGGAAGAAATTCACGCCCAGATCGGCTTCATTAACACAAGCCTCGTCGTAGATGGCGAAGCGACCGATGCCTGGAGCAGGGTGTGTTAGCATCTTTGCCCCTGAAGGTTGGGAATTGTAGCAGGACCTGGCAATACGAGATTTTTCAGAGTCTCTACTCCAACTACTCCTGATCCAGAATTCACCAAGAGGATATTCGCCGACTCTAGTGCGGACTGGCCACTTGCAGCCCATAGCCTCAGCTGGCGGTCATATTTACGCTCCTTTTCTGAAGGGCCATGGAGAATTGGAGGGGTCTGGCTCATCACGATTTCTGTCATGGTGATGCGAGTGCCAGCACTTGTCACACAGCACAATACCAAGGCTTTTTGAGCAAGAAGGCCGTGCAGTTTTGGTGTTGAAGTGCTTGTGAGCAAGTCAATCAAGGCCGTTTGGAGGTGAGTGAGCGGATGGCTGCCAATCCTCAGCCACACGGCGGGGTGGGGATCTGATCACTGGGCGCCGCTAGGCACGAGTTCCGTTTTCGCACTGTTTGGGACGTTTCTTAAGTACTCCGTAGTGGCTGCTGGTGTGGCTGGTGACCAACGTCAATAATTGATCTTCGCCCAACAGCTCCCGTCGTAAACATGCGGGAGAATTCAGCTCACATTTGTTGCACGTCTGGGAACAACTTGAATTCAACTGAATACGAATGGAAGGAACTTACCAAAGACACGTCATCCAGTACAATGCATCTCGTTCGTGGTTGCCCCTCTAATTCCCTGAGGTGCTTGTGGACCAGGGAAGGCACGATGCCCGGTCGAGGCCTCGATGGTTATGATCGGACGGCGGAGTGAGGAGTGTATCCATAGCGCCTGCCTGAGGTAGAAAAAAAACCAGTGTGTTCGCCTTTCGCAACGCTCAATGGGTTTCTCGCTTCATATCGGGGTTGTTGGTCACATCTTGACTCCCCAAGATGGAACAGACTTTAAACTGCAACGTGCAGGAGTGTGGTTCGCAGCTTACGGATCGGGCAGTGGTGACAGTATGTAGGTGAGTCACTCTGTTCTTTGACCCTCCCACAGAAAGCTGAATGCCGCTGCAGCCATGCCATCTGTTTGCAATGCGCCAATAACCACGGGTTCGCTGGCCAGGCGCCGTATACCTGTCCGGCTTGCAGACAACCCCTGAGCGGCTCCGAGGTGTGCGAACAGCTCCTTCATCCTTCCGAAGAGTGGAAATCAGTGGCCCTATGCGGTCTCAGTCCAACCGCCGTCATGGAATGCGCAGGCAGAGCCCTCAGTTTCTGGTCATACCAAATGACCAACCAAATGTTTGTCCCCTGATTCTCCGGCCTAAGCACGGGTAGTATCTGGCTGACCGATAGAAGTTCATATCAAATCCGGAAGAACGCCAAGTTGAAGGATTACTGTGCCGAGCTTCAGGGTGAGATGGAAAGCATGTGGGAGCAAGCGAATCAGAGAATCAGCACACTGAGCTCTAGGATAAGAGGTCTGCCCGTCTGCAACCATACCAGTATTCTTTATTAAGGCTAATCCGTTTAGATATTTAGATATGGAGCGGGAGGAAGATAGTCTCAGGCGCAAGTGCGAGGAACTAAGCTTCGCCCTAACAAACCGGACCAAGGAGCTCGCGCAATCCCAGGAACTGTACAGCAAACTGAAACAGCGAGCCCTCAGCCAGAACCAGAATATCTCACCCGGTATCTCGGGCTCGAGAAGCCCTCTCCGAACAGGTAGCGCTACGGAGACGAATTACAGGCATTCCCAGACACAACTGCCCCGTCCGATTATGCCTGTCGGTAGCAAAGTCGGTGCGTCGAACTACTTTCCCACCAGTCCAAAATCCTCAACTACCCAACCCAACTCAACCGCAATAGTAGAGTGGAATAAGCCACGGTTCTCCCAGCGTGAGTACATCATGCAATCTGATCGAATCCATTAACTAACAGACAAGAGCATACATACCTGCCACACCATCGAGCCATCCTCCTATGAAAGATGCTAGGACTCCGCGATCTACATCGACTCCGAGAAACGGCATTGGCACCACAACATCTGTCCGGTTCCACCACCCAACAAAGGACTCTCAATCGCATGCTGAAAGCGGCCTGAGGAGCTTCTCAGGAGCACGACCTGGAACTTACAGCACGATACCTGCCAATGAGGCCGGATACTCGGAGTTGTCGAGGCGGCCCCTGGGGGCAACAGCTATCCCAGGTCCACTTGGAGTTTCGCAGTCTTCACGCCAACCGTCATCACGTTTCGAACTCCCACGTACCATTCTGCGGCCACCCTAAACTCAATGCAGGTGTCAATGTCGCCGGACACACGCTTCGACACCACTTCATCGAGCACTCACGATTTCACTCGAGTCTTCGGCGTTTTGCATGAGGAACTCTATGTGGTCGGTGGCCAATGCGAGGGACATGTTTCTGGGCCCCGGCTTGACATCCACATGACGACACGTGTGTGTGTGGGAAGTAGCGGTTGGTTTGAAGCGCGAATCCGTCAGTGCTGGCAGATCTGACGATCCTTGTACAAAAGTCTGGCATCGTTTATGTCACACATCGGAAACATCGGCTCATCATAAGCTCAAGATTACTTCAAGGCTCAACAAGCCGTCCGCGGATACCCTGAACACACTACACCAGACTTTTCAGCGTTCTAGTTGAGGGCTTCAAACTCTAAGACCTGAGCAGACTTTACTCGACGACCGTGTTCCTGCTGCTTGTTTCCTTGTTCAATAGACGAAAGGTAGCGGCTGGAAATTATCCCTCAGGGCACTCCGTGATAATGACGGGGCCTCAAGGGGTGTTCTCGGCCGGGAGCAAAGCTGCGGTCATGGCTCGCTAACAATCTGGATCGAGTCGTTTGATGACTGGAAAGGATGAAAGAATGCTTACTTTCGGCGAAGATGGAGAAGGAGGTCGAGCGGTGTAATATCTGAAGAAGAGCAAAGGCCATGATTTCCAGGGACCTGGATGCGAAGTTTAGGTGTAGCAAATGATCCGCAACAACTTGCTGCTCCTGGGACATGCCGATGTGTCTAAATGACGTCGGATGGAATGCATTCTAATAAAATGCAAACATCACTTTACGATTGGGCTAGCCATTCTCTCGCCAAAACCAACACCGTAGAATTGTGGTATCTCATGCATTTACTCGCCCAGGTATTCTTCACGCTCTCTAAAAATGCATACCAAATCCTCCCCTCTACTAACCAGATCTCGCCTGTCCTCTCTACGATGAATTAGAACTTGTCTCTGACCGGGGTCAGAGGTCGTTTGGTTCCATGTGCTGGCGACATGCTATAAGGTGCCTGTATCTCCTCGTCAGCATAATATCCCGTATAAATGGCAATGCCGCAGACACTACTCACCAGGACTTCTTTCGCGCTGCAAATCCGCCAAGCAAGCTTCCTTACGTTGCCATCGGCGGGCACCACACCGGGCGCAAACTCGACGCCAAACATATGGTGGATGGCATACACGACTCGCTTGGCGTATTTGCTGTCCCTCTCCACCAGGGCGCCGAACGGCTCCTCAGCGTTGGCAGGAGCGATGTCCGGGTGTCGGTCCAGGCAGTTCCGCACGATTGGCAAGAGTTCCGCCTCGACCTCCTCTCGTCCAATGTCGGCGCCCAGGTCGTCGATCCTAGCGATGCGTACCTCAAACGGCTCCGAAATAGACATGACGTGGTGGCCGCCGCCGTGGTGGTATCTGAACTCGAAGACGCCTTGGGTCCACCACAGCTTGTCCCCCTCAAAGATCATCTCGCCCTGCACCAAGTCCACGTCGGAGCCAGAATATGGTTGGTCCCACGAGACGATGCCTTCATCGGTAGTAGTGTCGTACTCACCGGGGCAGGTGGGTACCCAACGGCCAAGGCTCGGTACCTCCGTAAACTCCCTTGACCTGTTGTCCGTCACCATGTACAAGCCCACCCAGTCCTTCTTGCTGTGAGTGGCTGGCGCTGTCCACTTGACGCGTATCGGAGCGCCATACTGAAACACTTTGGTCTTGACATCCTTGGGTACCCGCGCAGTGGCGCTCTCCTTGCCAGTGGCCTTTTCGTCGGCAGCTACCAGCGGGGTGCCTTCGACAGAAATCTGATAATGCTTAGGGTCGTATCCCGCAATGTCAGGTGCTATCCGACTGAGGGTCAGACGAGCCGGATACTTGTTGAACAAGGCCGTCGTATCCCTGACAATGGTAGAAGAGCCGGCCGCCAGCCTCGACCGAGCGACCTCAACAAAGTCGTCGACAAAGTGCTTGGTATCGTCCAGTACCTTGTCCACGCTCATCTGCAGCCCCTTCACTGGCTCCGGGAGCGAACGCCGGATGAACTTTGTCAAGCCAGCTTCCTTCCTTAGGTTCTCACCGTAAATCTTCTGCATGTGGGGCTTCTCGACGTACGAGATAAAGCCTAGCGTTAGGATGTGTCCGATGAGAGCAATCATGAAGATGGCCTTGCTCCAGGTGATGAGAGCCATTCCCCACAGCCCAGCAGTGCCGATGACACGCTCCGGGTTATTGAGGAAGCGGTAGATGGATTTGTAGGTGAGCTTTCCCGTACTATCGAAGAAGAAGTCGCCATAAAACCATCCAAACTCGCCGAGCGAGTCGTAGATGCTCATGGCAGTCCATATCTGGAGGGCAATCAAGCCCAGGCCGACCACGTGCTTCAAAAGCACCCAGCCGTAGCCCCAGTCTTCCGGGTACGTGTACATCTTCCAGCACGCAGCGATGAATGAGGCGTGGCACAACGTCATGCTGATGTGGTACATGCCTTTCCACTGACGCCATGCCTCTCCGGGGCTTTCGCCGTACTTGACGAAATGCCGGGTAAACATCTTTGTCTTTGACTGCGCAGTTAGGATGACTCCAAGGCCCACCGAGTACCACAAGCGCCAAAACAGCGCATTGACGACGAAGAAGGCCTGGTAAGAAGAAGTAGACGGTGTGGCGATGGCCAGAATCGCAAGGTACCCAACGAGAAGTATAGCGCAATAATCAGTCGTTCGGAAGAGGTCCATATTCTTGAAGCCCAGAAGGTCGTGAACCGGTAAAGGGGTGTCTGGGCCTCCCGCTACCTTCTTAGACTCGACCGCGGATTCGGGTTGACTGCTGGCTTCCGACTCGGCTGGCAGACGGGGTGGTGGAGGGTTATAGGTTTTCTCGATGTGAGGGTTCTCGACAAGGGCCAGGAATGCGAATTGGGCGGCATGTGCGAGAATAGAGATGAACAATACTTCATAGCTTGCAGCCATCATGGAGATGCCGTAGTACCCAGCATACCCAATAGAATACATTGGATGGGGCGCCATCTCGAACACGCCATCGAAGGTCAGTTCCTGGTCAATGAGGTAGAAGAAGTCTAAAGTAGTTAGTCTCGACATGACTGATGGAGGCCACAAGAGAGAATATCTGCTTACCGCCCCAGTACCAGGCGTAATCCTTCACAACTCTGTGCGCATCCAGCTTGACCCAGAGATTGAAGCCGACAAGGGCGATGCCGGCCGTCCAGCGAGCGGCGGCCATGGCAATTCCCTCCCCTTCTGGCCTGTGGGCACAGACAATGGCGAAGAGACAGTATGATACAAAGTCGCACATGAGGATCAAGTCCACAAGGCGGCGAAACACGAGCCAGGTATTGTATTCGATCGGTGCCTGGTCCATCTTGTAGTTCTTGGGAATTTTGGTCTCGAGTTCACGCTGGAGCAGCTGATAGAGCCATGGCCGAGGATTCTGGCCGGTCGACGGATGCTCGAAGAGCTTCAATCTTTTGGCCCACGTAACAAGGAGTCTGTATTTGGACTGGACAGTCAAGAGGTATCCTATCCCCACATTGTATGCCGCCCTCCAGAACAAGAAGACGGCGGCAAATATGGGTCGTTTGAGACCGAATGGAAGCGCGTATGCAGCCCATACATGCAGGGCAAGAATGGCCAACACCACAAGATCGGAAAGGTTCTTTGGTTCACGGGGGTCTAGCAGCTGCGAGACCATGTCATGGGTCTCAGGCACAAGAAAGACTATGCAGGTACGCCGCATCAGTATGTTTGCAACAACTTCGCAATGCCGGGAGCGTGTCACAAACCTGTTCCATTGGGAGTTCGCCCATACGTCGCCGTGGAGCGGTCTTGCTTTCCATTGACCTCGGCAACGGACTCCGACGTCGAGCTGGAACTGGGTGTATCATCTCGCGACATTGACGATGCATTTGTGCGTCGACGCACACCCTCGGGCCCTGCCGACTCGGCTCCTGAAGAGCTCATTCTTGATTATCGGTGTTGAATACCGATACTAGGATGAAGATAAGCGTTGAGCTTGGTGGTAGTCAAACATCACCTGGATTGACACGGATTGAAGGAGGATTGCGGCAAAGAGGCGAGGAAATTCGAGGAAAAACAGGCTCGTGTGACCATCCAAACCGGCCAACAGGATATCGTAAACGCCAAGCAAATTAAGCTTGTGTTTTCTACAGTGCAGTCGTGTGCGTCACGGCAGCCAACGAGTAGGGTCTATTCCCTTTTCCGTTCTTCCTACTGCAGCTCTTCGGAACGACGTCACCCACTAAGTGAACTGTTGCCGAAGTTGGGGGTGCGTTTTGGCTACGTAACAAATCAGATAAGAATTGGCCAGAATCCGGCAGGGAGTGCACGCTTCACCGGAGTGCTTCTTCCCAATTCACAATTTCACATGCTCGGGTAAACGGTGTGGAGCATGCCCCGCATTGTATTGGAGCATTTTACGATAAGCACAACTTCCGAGTTCCGACCTTCGAGCAGAGACTCTCCTCTGGTTGATAAGGCTCCTTGTGGTCAGTCGTCGTTGACCATCTGATGTCAGCGAAACTCAACAGAAAACCTGAGGTTCCGAATTGTCGGGTGCGTCAAGGCGCCTCTATGCTACCTTGACGTGCAATTTTGCGGCCCAGTTCACCACTCGCACACCACCAGTATCTGGCTGTTTTGGATGCTCCGAATGGACCAATGCCAACATGTCTCCAACTTGCATCCGCCCAGCGTCTCATCGAGTTTGATTGGATTGTTATGCTTCGCGAAGCAGCCAACTGTGGTCGGCTGCCAGACAGCTGTATCAAAACGTCGCCAAGGAGCGGTCAGGGTTCTACTCCGTACAGGAGCATCGCATCTCGAGCGCATGAACGCGCTGGGGACGAGATGGTCCAATTCTGATGAACCGATGCATCTGCCCCAAGGTAGACCCCTAAAACAAAAGACGAAAATAGCCGTCAGGTAAGTCTAAGTAGAAAGTGATATAAGCCGGGCAGTGTTTCGTTTCGTCGCTCTCTGTGTGACAGTTTTCCTTCATCACCTCGGTCGAACCTCTCCAGCCCCTTTTCATCGGCTGGTTGTTTACTTATCTGCACATCGATGCTCTCCTACCTGAACCAAAACAAAATGGCTCGGTCAAGCCCCAAAACACCAGCCCCCAAACCCAACGCGGATGAGTCGAGTTCCAAACCGCTCCCCGCCGACCCCGAGGATCTCGTCGTCCCCCTCCAGCGCCCGGGTACCTCCGGCACAGAAGCAGCGCTCAAGATGACGACGCGCCAGGCCTCCCAGCGGCTCCGTCAGGCTGAGCGTGCCGAGCGCGCCTACAGGGCCAGGAAGCGCTCGGCCGCGGCGCGGGCCAACTGGGCTTCGTCCAAGGACAATTTCCGCCAGGCCAAGGAGCACTTCGCCCTGGGCGTCAAGCTCATGGTGGCCGTCGTCAAGGGCGCGCCGTACGTGGTCCGCGAGAAGCAGGAAGCCAGGAGAGCAAAGAGGGACGAGGCCAAGAGGAAGAAGGTGGAGGAGAAGAGGAGGAAGCTGGAAGAGAAGATTGCTGCAGTCACTGCCGCCGAGAGGAGCGAAGCGGAGCGAGAGAGCGACGGGGAGGGGTTGGCGAAGGAGGGTTGAGCTGCTGGGGCGAGGCATTCAAGGTTGTGGAGGGTTGGACTTGATACCCAGGAAGAGGAGGATGGGAGGGACACACACTTCACTCACTTACCAACACTTTTCCTAGCCTTTCTGTCTGTCTTTGTTTTCTCCATTTCTGTGGCCGACGTTGGGTTGGAACCATCCACTCCAAGCTACGGCATCGGATCTGACACACTCACTCGAAGCCCCCTGATATTCGGGCCGCCCTTCTCTCACCAAATTCTTTTATTTGTCTTGTTCGCATCTTTCACATGCATAATACCCCTTTCTAAGTCCTAATGGCTTGACGAGGCATGATCACGGCTTACGACGGGGACATCACGGCTGGTTGATCCTTCTAGACGGACAGGGCTGGGTTCATCTAAACGGGGGGATAGGCCTGCTTTTCTGTGGTTCCTCGCAATGCCGCATGCTTCTTTTCTTTCATTCTGGTGTTTTCGCTTTCTCCTGTTTGATTCAATGCCTCACAAGAGGATCAAAGTGTGTTTACTCGCTATTCAGGTCTTCTTACTATTTGTATTTGGTCTCGGCACAGCACCCAAGTCGTAATATGTAATTCCGCATGAACTAGATTGGAAATATGGTTTCCTGGGCATTACTGGCTTATACAAGCCGTTGATATCACCATTACCAATGCTTCTGTGTATTAGGTGCGTGCAAACTCTACCATCTCAATGTAGTTCGTACCCCGGTTAATTCAGGATGGACGGAAGAGACAGAACATCGACTGGTCATTTCACAATACCCCAGTTGGCCTTGGAACGGAGGAGCTTCTCCTTCCTCGGCACACCATCAATAGGCTCTCTTGTGCTCAAACCCAGCCGTTTCCAGAACTGACCATGTACGTAACAGGCAGTCTCTAAGTGAGGTCGTTACAATCCCTAACCCGCAAAACCCGCCGATTTGAATGTCCCAATCTAATATCATTCATGTCCCAGAATACCATTTTCCCTCTCACTCATGGCTTACTGAGCCTTTTTCGCAAACTCTACCCTCAGGATCAGGTGCCTAAAGCCGAAGCCGTCCATCTTGTTGCAAGCCTTCACCGCGTCGTTGCGGTCGGCAAAACTAATGAACGCAAAGCCCTTTGCCAGACCTGTATCCCGGTCCTTGGCAAGAAAAACGCGGGTAACACGGCCGAAGCGTTCAAACATTTCCCGCAGCTCACCCTCCTCCGCCATCTCCGAAACCTGCGTCGCAAACATTGTTCAGTATACGTGCCTCTGAACATCCCATAAAAGCGAAACGGAACAAAAGTAAGGGGAGTGAAGTAAAAGAAACAGCATACGTTTGTAACCCTGAGCGTAGCAAAGTCATCCCGCTCGCCGTATTTGCCGCCGCCCATGCGGTCGCCCGCGCCAGCGCCGGCACGGTCGCCACGCAGCGCGGGGGGCACGTAGGAGCCCTTCTTTCCGGGGCCTGCGGTGCCGGCGGCGCCGGCAGCCCCTCCCGGCGCGAGCAGGTCGTCGCCCATGCCCGCGGCCGGGTCGGCGGCTCCGGCCTCGCCAATGGGCGCCATGGTGTCCTTGAAGGGACAGCGCGCGGTAAAGTGCTCGCCGTTGCAGATGCGGCACTTGACCTTCTTGTCGCGGAGCTTGTCCTTCATGGCCTGGGCGTTGGGGTCCTTGCTCTCGTCCTTTGCGTCCTTGCGCCAGTTGACCGAGGGGCGGAAGATGATGTTCTCGCCGACGCTGGTCGTGTCGGTGACGGGGCCGGCCGGGTCCTTTGCGCTCGCGCCAAACTTGGCCCAGGCCTTGCGCTCGGCGACGCGCGGGTTGACGACCTCGCGGTGCGTGATGAAGCGGATCCGCCGCGTCGTCTTGACTTTTTGGTTCAGCTCGTTGTAGCGGTACTCGATGATGGTCGTGCTGCCGTCCTTGTTCTGGATCTTTTGCGGCGGCGGCAGTTCGTCCTTGGACTCGTCCAGATCCTCATCGTCGGCCCAGTCGTGCCTGTCAAACGGGATCAGTCAGTCAGTGAAGTGAGGCCGGAATGTGCGTCAACGTCGCCCAGCCGTCGCTTACTTTGTTTGAGCTGCCATTTTGTCAAATGTGTGATTTAATCGACCCCGTTTACTCGAGTTGGTACGGTATCGTTCGGGTTCGTGTCTTGCGAGTTCCTTGCGGCTTTCCGATTGTGTGTCGATGGTTATGGTGGGGTTTGAGAGACTGGAATATTCAAAGGGTCGTGGGCCGAATTTTTGGATATTCAAGTGTGGGGCAAAAATTGTATTGTACCGTAAGACACTGCATCAGAATTCGCCCCCTCCAAAACCTCGAAATAATCGAAAACAATTTGGAAGCCAGGTGCGGTGCGAAGTACCAGTAGCTTACTCCGTACACTGACTCTTAACTTGACTTTTAAGGCCCAGAATTCACCACATAAAGCAGACTCAAACGTGATGCTATTGAGTTACCATCGTGAAACGAGGCTCTCATCACGCATTGTTAGGCCAAGATAAAGGCAATCCACGTCGATTAACCACAGTCTCTGCTAACTAAAGACTCTAGATAATACAGGTATTATATGTAAGTCGTAAATAGAACATTAAAATCTGTCGTCGCATGTCATGCATTGGGTATATGGCTTTCCTCATTATATATACCCCGATATCCCTCTCAATCCCGCCGTTCCCACAAGCACCTTGAACACTACTCTTCAATACTCCGGCTCCGGAAAAGAACAAAAGCAGAAACAAGACACAAAGAAAAGAGGCGGCAAGGGTTCCGTTCCAATTGACGGGATCTAACAGTATAACCAAGAATGTCCTCCGCCGAGAGGCGGGTAAAGAATGACAATACGTCGAGCAATGGATCGCGCTGAGACGGTCACAAGGAGAAATGAATGGCTTTGGATCGCCCGCCAACTGTGCGCGTTGTCGGGCAATCTCATCATATGAACCCTGGCGGCGGGACAACAGTCACAGTGTATGGCTTCCGCGGAATTGGGGGTAGTGCCCTATTAGGCGGTGGCGCTGGTGGAGGGCCTTCTGCGAGTTGCGACATGCTCCGTCGTTGCAATAGACTAGGAGAGAGTAATGAGTCGACCCTTAGATGCTGCGACGACTTACGCACCGGTTTCAGGGACGGTGTCCGTGCTCGTGGAGGGGGAGGGGAGCCGAACAGGGCAGGTCTCTCCGACTGCTGCGGAGATGGAAAGCTGAGCCTTCGGGGTCGCGGTTCCTGCTTTGCTGCTGGCTGCCCTGGCACTTGAGTTTCCGCATACGTGTCGAGAGATGATTTAGGGCGGGGAATTTGGAGCGACCGAAGTGCAGCCCTGTGCTCCTTCGAACTGCTATCGGCTGACCCATTTGACGACCCACTTTCGCTGGTAAAGGGTCTCGGTGGATTCTGCGCCGACGCCTCTAGACCATTAGCCTCCCATGCTGCGTTCGAGTCATGAGTTGGGGAGTCATGATTCTCTGAGCCCGGGCTACCCCGCTCAACTCGCGGCGAAGAAGACGGTGACAAGGGCGGTGTGGGCGCTGCTGATGAAGGAGGGCTTCCCGCGCTTTCTGTCGCCGACCTGACTCGGTTTGGAGGGGAGAGATCAGGGGAGAGGTCGGGAGAAGGCTGGTCCTCTACGAGAGACAAGGGCCGCGGATTGATAGACAAGGCAGACGGAGGCGGCTTGCGGGAGCTCAGTCGTCCCGCTAAAAGAGTGCCTGAGGTTCTCGTTGGCTCTATCGTCGTGCCTTTTGCTAAGGAATGTCGGTTGCTAGCGCCGTGGGGTGCGTTCAAGTTCGGCGTTGATTGCGGTCCGGAGACAAACGGGGTGGCCCCCTCAGACTGCACGAAATTCGGCAGGGGCGGGCCGGGCCGCAGGCTTTGTGCAGCAGCGACGCGCAGTTCGAAGACGTGATTTATAGTCTGGAGCGACTGTCTGCGATCGTTTATCGCGGTGGCGTTCGGTCGTAGCCTAGGCTTGGGCTGTTCTTCAAGTTGCGGGTGTTCCAGCGTCAGTGACTCTCGCTCTGGAAAGGAGTCTCTGATCGGTGAACATGCGGGCGAGGAACCGGCGGATGTTACGCCCGTTCGCTGGCCCGAAGACATGTAGGATAGACGGTTCATGCTATCCCTCAAGGTATCGAGCTGTCTCCCATCCTGTGACACTAAGCTCACCGTTGAAGTATCATCGAACGACTGCGCGCATGCATCTTGTGAGGGATCTAGGTGAATGTCGGAGCTCGATCGGTCTGAAATCCGAGCGCGGGGCTGATCGGGCGTCATGACGCGAGAGAAGCGACTGGAATTCTTAACCACCAGTGTCCGTTGGCTTGTTTGACTCTTCAGTCTAGGATCATGATCACCAAGTCTGGGCTTGCCAGTCTCTGACAGAACCTTCCTCCCGCCCAAGGCCTCAATCTCCCGCCGCAACGTTACAATCCAGGCATCCATATCCTCGGCACTGTCAAATACCATCAACATTGTCGAAGAGTGCCTTCGTTCCTGGCCGCGAAAAGGAAGCCGGGCACGGATAGAGGAATGCGAGGTATTGGCACGATCGGGTTCAGCCACAGACGACACCTGGAGCACCCAATGGCGTCCGGGGATAACGTCACTAGCGAAAGCTGCCGAATCCTTGCCCAGATGGAGCACCCGCTCCGGAAGTCTATCAAATGAACCTTCACCGGCGTACTGCAGCAGGTACCCTGATGTGACTAGGATGTACACTTTGCTGGTCCATTCAAGCTTGGACGCGGATCCAGAAGACTTCCTGCGGTGCTGGCTTTTCTTTTCGTCGGTCGATTCTTCGACTATTCTGGGCGAGAGCACGCCTTGACCCAGCATGCTTCCGAATGAAGGGGTGCTCTTGTGGTAATGCATTCGAAGAACGACTTCAGCCGGGGCAGTACAAGCAGGCAGATGCGCGTGCTTGATCGCCTGAGGATAGGCCTGGAATAGCGGGGGCGGGTTCCAGGCTGCGAGTCCGTCCGGGGAAGGCGGCGGGCGTACACCGCTGGCTGACTTCTTATGCCTCAAACTCTGGCCAACGGGAGACTTGGGGGCCGGTAGCGAGATTTCAGACCGATGGCCTTGGGTGAGATTCAGACTGTAAGGCCAATTACTCAAGTCGGCTAGCGACGCTCGAAGCCCGCCCAGCTTTTGTAACGCTTCCCGGGGTGAAGCTAGAGCTCTGTCGCCATCAACGGCTCCTTTGTTTCGGCCAAAGAGGTTCTTGATGGCCAACTTCGATTCCCTCCGTCTTCCCTTCCCCCCCGCTTCGATCCGCAATGGCACCCTCTCAGCCTCCGCGGCGACGGCATCTGGATCCGGGGGCCGCAATCTCTTGGAAAACGAACTCGGGTTCGGGAGAGCTTCAAATGCGGCCGCGGGGGAGGCGGGGTCCTGCGAGTTTGGCATGCCGTGGCGCCGTCAGAATGAAACGGGTAAAATGCGGCAAATGCGCCGCTTGCTGGCTGATGGCACTGTTTGTTTGTTACCGGATCCGGGACCAGTCAGTCGCAAAATGCGCGTATCAAACGCGAGCTAATTGTGTAGTCAAATGCAGCAGAAAGAAACGCCAGGATGGGTCAGGAGGAAAGGCTTCGAGATGGAAAAGTAAAGAACGGCAGACGCAGACGCGTGAACAGCTCAGCAAGAGCAGCAATATGTAAATGAGGCAGGTAAGCAGGCAGGCGCGTCCCGGGTTTAGCTGCTATAGGACAACAGCGAATGCCCCCGTTGGCTGGGCCAGCGAGAAACGAGAGTGGACGAAAAAGTCGGAAATTATTATAGACAGCTTTGCCGAATATACGTCAGAGCGCGTTCTGTGCCGCGGGGCCCACGAGGATAGAAACGAGAGAAACGAGCGACGAATGAAGAAACATGCAAAGGATTGTGGGAGGAACAGCGATTGGGGGAAGGCAGGTGCATATAAAAATTGCTACAGCTCGAGACGCTGGAAGTGCCAATCCATCCGTGTTTCTTGTTTCTTGTTTTTTACGTACAGAACTTTGTTCCCTATAAGACTGGCCAGATGTGGCTTTCAGACTCGGCTCGAGGTCCGGATCAGGCGTGTAACGGTCGTGTCGGCTGCGGGCCTTGGCGCCCGGGATATCATTTAGCGCCGCCCTATGAGAAAGTTCAACTCCCGTTGTGCAGTTGCATGGAAGTCATGGAACAGGACTCCCCTGCTTCCAGGATGGACAATATTCGTACCATTGATATGTATCTGTTTCTCCCAAGATGCCCGCATTTCATGCTATCAATGTAGTGTACTTGTACTTTTTCAGTGTAGGTATATGCGCGTACCCATTCCTACCTGCCCTTTCTGGCCAGAATGCAGAAAAGAAATGGTACGAAGGCCCGAGCCAAAAGTCTTTCCACACTTCAGATAATGCGTGCAGGGACCACACAGTGCTCCGTTCTTTGAGAACTCCAACACTTATAGACCCCCTGCAAGCCGAGGCAGGGTGGTCTCAGCGTTCTCGAGTGCCACAAGAAGCTTAGCGTTCCAGCGATGTTCAGCGAGCTAGCCACATCTGAGAATACTGTGCGACTTTGCGTGTAGGATCAAGAAGATTCACTGTGTAGCTTGTGCGCTATCTTGAGTGTGGAAAGACTTTTGGTCCCGGCCTTCGTACACTAATGTAAGTAATAACAGGCGACTGAAATTTGCAGGTTGGAATCGCATCGAGTCTGAGGCCAGGGGCCCATCTTCCCCTGATTGAGCGTTCCAATGGGCACCACTCAGGGGAAGGTTCCGAGCCGATCCACCAGTGCAGGGATAGACCTGGTCGAAGATCTAAATTTTCTTCACCTAAACGCAGCTCGTTGGCAACTGCCTGACAAATTCTGAAGGGTGCCATATCCCCCAAGTCAACCGTCAGCCGCACCGTGACACTTTTGGGGTTCGCAGAGCGGACAGCGTTGAAAAGAACTGCTCAGCAATGGAACCAAAACCGAAGCGGAGGCAGGCGAGAGTGCCGACAATGCGTTGTGGGGCCCGGTCCGGACGGAGAGGATAGAGAACCACGTGCCTCTGTCTGCCCCCAAACTTCGGTTTCTTGCTGCTCTTCCCACCTCAGCCGCGCCCCGGCTGGTCATGGAGCAGCAGGGGTTGGATGCGAAACAGAACCCCATCCACCAGTGGCTGGCAGTTCCAAGCAAAGCTTCTCGCGCCCAGTTGCGCCTCTGGCGATCTATCCAGGCTTGACTCCGCCTGCCTTGGTAGGGATTCGGCATACTCCGTATTCCTCCCAACCATTCATTCATTGAAGTTGAATGGAAGGCAAATCCATTGATTTTACCGCTATCCGTATTCTTGGTTCAGCTCCCAATCACAAGGTGAAAAAGCATTCCGCTTCAGTGCTACGTTACCCAGAACAGAAGTTTTCAGCAGCCACCCGCGAAAACAATTCGATCACGAAAAGGAAACAACGAGGAGGGTGGGCCTTTGCTCCTGACGACGAGGCTGCATTGGCCCGGTGTGTTGGGACTGCTTGGGTAGCGTACATTATGTATTCCACAATACAATACACCTACGTTACAGTACTGCGTTCCTGCCACCCGATTAAGGGCTGGACCATGCAGGAGAAGCTGGTTTCTTTTCTCCTTTTTCTCCTGTTTCTTTTCCTGTTCTTCCCCTTTCTTTCTGAAGACGATTCGCCGGACCGTGGCATATTTTGTGGGAATATCCGTAGAAGCCAGGACAATGAAGCATACCGGTAGTAGAAACATTACAAGACCCACAAAAAGGTGTTGTATGTACTGTACAGTACGACTACAAGTACCGTACATGAACATCAAATGATCATACATGCACGGATAGCGTGTGATGTACTCCAGGTTCGCCTGTAGCCGTAATAACAGGAAAAGTTTTCATCCAATTCCCAGGCTTCCATGAATCCATCGACATCCGGCCGCCCGGTCCGAAGGATCAGGATTTATTGTAGGCCGGCCTCATTGAACCGTTCCTGCATTAGTGCCATCCCGGATGGTCCGGGCCCACCAATTCCGAATGTCAGAAAAAGTGCCGGTCTGGGCTTCCCAACCCGACTCCTCCCCAAATCCCGTCGTCTTGATCCATACTCGCTCTTCACGGAGCTAGAGTTGACGATATAAGAGCGAACTTGCGCTGCTGAAAAATGTTGCGCTAGCGATAGTTTCTATGCCCCAATATACGTACGGAGTGAGTACGTACGAATACGGATGTACAATACACAGTTACGAGATTACGGGGCCCAGTATCACAACCTGCCTGCATTGATGGGCATTCAGCTGACGGGGGGTCATGAGGACTTGGCGGGGGGTCTTGGGTAAACCTCGGGTGTTAAACAAGGGGTTATGACCCCCCGCTAGCTATATGGGCCTATAGGATCAATTGTACTATACATTCAAGAAATCTGAACCTACTTACAAAGATATATAGTGAGTATATATTGAAGATATCATGAAGATATCTTGAAGAATAAGAGAAAAACCTAATCAAGACCTTAAGTTAGTTAATTTCTTTTAGGAAGTATATGCTCAGCATATGCTTAGAACTTTACAGCATAGAGCAGTATATGCCTAGTATATGCTGTATGTCTAACATTAGAGTTATCTTAGGAAGTATGATACTTTAGGGTTAGAGATAAGTCTAAGATATATACTCAGCATATGCTTTCTAAAAGCAATTAACATAACCATTTTTCCTTAACTATATCTTCAATATATGCCCAACATATCCAATTCAGGTTTGTATAGTACTTTATCCCTGTAGGATCCATATAGCTGGGGGTTATAACCCCTAGTTCAACCCCCGGTGTTTACCCATGACCCCCCGCCAAGTCCTCATGACCCCCGTCAGCTGCAAGCTGTGCATTGATTGCTAGCATTCACCTAATACGCAAGGACCAGAGAGGGTTTTGAACATTCACTTGCCATTGTAACACATCCATTATACAGAACGCGGCAATCCATGTATGAGCCCCAGCATCGAATGCCAGTTTCCGGGGAACACCATTCCATCAAGTATTGTACAACCTTAGGAGGTACAGTACATACAGTACAATACCTCCCGCGTATGCCTCGCCTAATAGGCAATGTAGAGCGTAGGGCTGTGTATATACCTGATCAACGAGGCCCTATCATTTGCCACTCACAGCATGTCTAGGCTGGCCATTTTCCTTGTAGGCTTAGCATTGGAACTCTGTCGAATGTTGATTCGGTTGGGACATATCGCATGACATCAAGAAGTCAATGTGTAACCGACCTACAAAGGTAGACGGCCGAGAATCCGTAGCACTTGGCGGATCGATAGATATGGAGCTGACGAAATGTGAACGTGACGATTGAGGTTGGGGAAAGAGAGGCCATGTGAAACTTAGCCGGGCTCGAAGAACGCATACAAGGGGTAGCTCAGGCGATGTAAAGAAATGAGAGATGGATTGGAGTTCTTCGAGGTCTAGCTAAGAGGCCACCCGAATATCCTAACTGTGCAAATGTGCTGTCACTACTAGTACTCACCGCTGTATGCTAGTGAACTGGGGCATCTCTGCAGCGATTCTGAGAGCTTTTGGGAATTGGAGCTGAAAACCCGAGCAGATCATAAATCGAACTGGCGGCTCGGGTAAACCGCTCGTCAATTCCGCTCATGGTAAGACAGTTTCTGCGGTCTTTCGTCAGTTTTCAGGTCCTTACAACATGTAAGTTCTGGAACTCTTTGGGTGGAAGCGGAGGACAAGACGAAAACAGAGTCCGCTGGATCTAGCAGCAACAACGTGGACCTGTCGATGTACGAACCTAGGCCGTAGGTTCTGTTAAGAGGGGTAGTCGAGAGGATGATTTTGGCATGCAAAATTCGGGCTGAACTAACATACCTAGCGCCTTCCTCAAGTACCTTGAAGTTCCATGTGAAAACCAACTCGTCTGGGGTACTGTACCTTATGGATGTACCATCCAATACTAAACCTGAGGAGCCGGACATGCTTTTGGACTCTACCGATCGAGACCACCTATAGATACCGTAAAAGAAGGGGTAAGTAACTGTTGATGAGGGGATAGGTCGGCACGTCGGTCGCGGTGAACGATGCACAGATCAGCAATCACTGTATGCCGTGAAGCGTTGACGCCGCTAACCACGTCATTCACATCTCCTTCGCCACAAAATGACTTCAACACGCTAATGTTTCCCCCAACGCGGTTTGTTTCATACCTCCTGCATAGAGGTAAGTGAATGTTCACACTGAAGCGGCGCAAGATGACGCCAAATCGAAGCATGCTGAGATCCAGGGGGTGAGGAGGATTGAGTGTTCGGCTACTAGGTATTCTGTTCATCATACAACGCAAAGGTATCCCATGAAACCACCATCCACCATTGAGATATGTTGCCTTTGGTTAACCCTCGCTGCAGCTTGTTGAGACCATGGCAAGCAGCATAGCGAGTACCGTCATGACCGTTCCTTATGCCGAGGCGCAAACACCAGAACGCCGGTTCGGGGACAACATCTTCTGTTGCACCTTGAATCTTGCGAAAAATCCTCTAACCCATCGGAACGCCATCGCAAAGCAGATATCTGTGGGACAATGGAAAAGAAATAATGATTTGTGCCCTCCTTTAGCAGTAAACGAAATAATAAGAGAATCGCCGCTCGCTCAATGGTGCCCTGATAATCGTGGCCTAAGACGTCGTATCAGAAGACTGCTGAGCCGAATCATCTTCGGATACGGACGTCGAATGAGTCAAGTGCGAAGAGTGAGACGGCGGGTGAGTGAATTGGGTATTGTTGCCGGTCAACTCAGCAAGCTTTGCCTCTGTCCCCATGTATTAGCGATCATGCCCGAGCGATGTGGGTGATGGTGGCAGAGGGGGGCAGACTGAAAACTCACCCAATTCTTTGATCCTATGTCGAAGCATCTGATTCTCACGGACCAGCATTTGTGTCTCAGCCTGGTAAAAGGCGCTCTCGTCGCGGCCGCCAAGGACCCACGGCTCGCCGCTGTCACCGCTGATCGAGGAGGAGCGAAGCCGGGGCGAGGCATGGCGACTCGGAGTCCTGGACCGGAGGTGGAGATCGGCCCGGGCCATATCAAAGGAGCTGCGCGGATGACGGTGCGCGAATACAGGTGACCGGGGCAGAGAACTCGAACCTACGCCCCCTGCGTATGGCGTCTGTGGAGTTGATGTTGCAATTGGGACTGGCACGGCTCGGTCAGATGCCTCATTTCCCGAAGCTGCGGGCTGGCCCATGTTTTGGCGTTCCAGCTGGGCCTGTAGCCGGCTGATTTCGGCGAGGAGTCGGTTGACCTGTTTCTCCTGCTCATTCTCCAATTCTTGATGCAGTTCACCCAGGCTAAGGGTTCGGTTGTGATGCGGGATCCCGGTGGGTATCAGCCGAGGAGAGCTGGAGATAGGGAAATGGCCAGGTGTCTGGTAGCTGCTGCTCTGGCTGTCGGACACCATCTCCCCAGGCGCTGGCACCGAGGGATCGGCGATTTGAAGGTTCATCAGAACCTGGGAGCGGCGCCGGCCAGCGCTGGATGAGTCCCGCCGAGGAGACAACGGACTGCTGATCGATGAACCTAAGACCGATATCATCAGTAAAAAGCGACCAATAATCGTTTGAAAAGCATCGATGCTCAACTATACCTCGAGACGTAGACGGCGATTCCCGCTGGAGACCAGCATTGAGAGTTGCGGCAGCCTGGAGTGAGATTGACGGGTGCCTGCCAAGCGGCGATGATGGCGGGGCATCTCCGTTTGGGCCTCTCGATGCATCATTGTCGGCATACATGATGTAGCGTGATGCGACCCGCCGATGAGAGCGACTGTTGGGTGGAAGTTTGGAGTTGGCAGTTTCTCGAGTACGGCTACGATGGATTTTGAAAGAAAAGCCGTAGAGGGCAATTCAATCGAAGACCGGAATTGGTACCTTGGTTGCAGCCTGGAACTGAAGTCACCGTGAACTGCAAGAACAGCACACAATGAGATTAAAGAGACCCGTGGACACACTGTTGCTTGAGACTGGCTAAGCGGTTCCACCGATGAGGCAATGTCCGTCGATCAAGCGAGAACCGCTAAGTGTAGAGCGACTCGGAAGAAGTCAAGTGGGTTCTCGGCAGGGTGCATGATGGCGTCGGTTACGGTGGGATGCTTTGTCTCTATGGAAGCTGTTGGCCGCTTGAAAGGCAGCTCAGCAAGCGATCGAGATCTCGGCGCGTGACGTCTTTTCGCACAGGGTCTTGGCCGCTGTGGAAAGCCTGCACGGTACAGTACAGTACAAGGTACCGTCATACAGTACAATACTAGTACAGTATGGATACAATACTAGTCCTGGTAATTTTGTCTTTGCGCAACCCCGGGTCTCAACTTACAGACTGCGTCACCAGGCCCAAGAACATGTTTAGATATGAGATGAGGCCCTGAGAGTGCTCGTAATACCTCTGCTCACATGGCAAATGTTTGTGCGCCTTGATCTCATATATGACCCAACGGTGCATCAACCGACTCATCTTCCACGCTTCTCACGTTTAGGGGTTCTAATTAGCGCCTTGCCGCGGTGCCCATCCACAAGTGGCTCGGGTCCGGATGTGTCACGAGCCTTATCTCAGTACTCAGACCTTCCTTCCAGGCGTGCAGGCTTGGACAGTGCCGCAGCCATTTTACAGTACAAATTTGTCGCACTAGACATTGCACTAGACATTTTAGGCATATGACCCACTTTTTGCACAGAACGCCTGGGAAGAAGGTCAGAGAGCATTTTTAAAGGGATCTGGGGGGTTGGACTCGGCCGCCCATACAAATCCAGAGTGACCTCAATTTGCAAATGACCACCATTCAGTTACAACCACCTACCCTGCAAAACAAAATACACTCTGAGGATCTTTGGAAGTGGGAGAATCTGATGATACTAATGGAATTGCGATGCGATGTTGTGGTTGTAGAATGGTATATACAAACGTAAAGAAGGGGGTTGGACTCGCGATCCCAGGTCGGTCGGCGACCCCCATCGAACTTGCGCGCAAGTACTTCAACCTCGAGGAAACTTGGCACTGAGCTTCCTCTATTCAAGGGCATCTTCTGTACCGAGTTTGGTACGTTCAATCCATGGTGGTGTTGAGGGTTGGCATTGAGGATGTGGAAAATGGTACTTCCTGGAGGTCGGCTGCCGCCCGTACAAGTAGCGCGCGCCCGTTAGAGCACCAAGGATGCGAGGTTCTATAGAAGCATTAGTGTGCCTAAAGAGCTCTTTTCAAGATAATTGATTTGATACCAACTATATATATAGATTTGCTTCAAATTGTAGTTTCGTTGTAATTGTATGGTGAGAAAGCCGAGTCCAACGCCCCCAAGATCCTGAAAATGCTCTCAGACCAGTATGGGCGGAGGGTGCGGTATGTGGGTCAGGGAAAATACCATTGGCTGGCCAGGTCCACTATTCCCAAAGGGGCCGCACCGCCCATATACTGGTTTGAGTACTGAGATAACACGAGCCTGATTTATGACGGTTTCTGCAGGTGGCTGCGCTGCCTGCTGGGAAAGAGCACTCCATCTTGGGGATCTAAAACCGCCGGAATGGAAGCAGTGATCAGCCGATCAGGACGGCCGGGCCCGGGGTCCCGAGTCGGTCTTTCCTTTTGGGCATCCAGTCAGGAGAGAAACAGTCAGGAGAGACCTTGGAATCCAACCGACAGTTCGAGACTCGGAAACTGCCAGTGTCTTTTTTGCCAATGGAATTCAATTTTGAAATGCAGTGGTGAACAAGCCACCACTACCTCCAAGTTACCTGCCTACACTGTATAGCGCGTAAATCACCGCAAGATCCAGTACTAACCTAACAGGTCACTGAAAAGATCTCGACCTCTGCTGAAATGCAGGTCCCGTTCACACACTTGACTCTCCAAAATGCACACTTGTCCTGCGCCGGCCCTCTTCTTCCGGGGTTCCGTATTCAAACCGACTCCTGCCCGGGGCCGATTATTCGCCGCCAGGCGACATGCCAATGCTAGATTATTCTCACAGACGTGCCTGCGGCGTCAGTCGCCCATTAGCGCCGACTTTACGCACGCCGTCATAGGCGGCGGGGTCGTGGGCCTCGCCATCGCCCAGCAACTCGCCCGGCGTGGCGGCAAAGCGGGTAGTAACTCGACAACGCTCCTATTGGAGCGCCACAGCGCCGTAGGCACCGAGACGTCAAGCCGCAACAGCGAGGTGATCCACGCTGGCATCTACTACGGCGCCGGGTCGCTCAAGACGGAGCTGTGCATCCGCGGCAAGGAGCAGCTGTACGCCCTCTGCGCGGCGCACGACATCCCTCATCGGCGGACGGGCAAGTGGATCGTAGCGCAAAACGACGCGCAGCTCGCCGCGCTCCAGAAGATCCACGATTTTTGCGTCAACGAGATCCACGTGCCCGTGCGCTGGGTCGGCCCGGAGGAGGCGGCGCGGCGGGAGCCGGCCGTGTGCGCGGAAATGGCTATCCTCGAGAGCCCCACCACGGGCATCGTCGACAGCCACGCGCTGATGCTCTGCCTGCTGGGGCGTTTCGAGGATGCGGGCGGCACGCTCGCGCTGGGTAGCGCCGTCGAGGCCATCACCCCGCTCGGCGACAACAACAACGGCAGCGCGGGATGGCAGCTGACGGTGCGTGACGCCGACAGCGGCGAGGTGTCGACGGTGACGGCCGAGACGCTGATCAACTCTGCCGGCTTGGGCGCCGTGGCCGTGCACAACTTGATTGTGCCGCCCGAGCGGCGCAAGCAAGCCTTCTACGCCAAAGGGAATTACTTTTCCTACGGAGCCTCGAGCCCGAGAGTGGGCACGTTGGTCTATCCGGCGCCCGAACCGGGCCATGGCGGCCTGGGCACGCACCTGACGCTGGATCTGGCGGGCCGCATCAGGTTCGGACCCGACGTTGAGTGGGTTGACTCGCCCGACGACCTGAGCGTCAACGAGGCGCGGCTGTCGCAGACGATCGAGGAGGTCAAGAAGTATCTCCCTGGGCTCGATGAGACGCAGCTGCAACCGGACTACGCCGGGATTCGACCGAAGCTTGGGAAGCAGGGGGCTGTTGCGCATGGAAAGGGATTCGTGGACTTCGTGATCCAAAGGGAGGAGGAATACCAAGGGTGGATCAACCTGCTCAATATCGAGAGTCCTGGGCTCACGAGCTGTTTAGCTATAGCGGAAAGGGTAGAAAAGCTTTTGTATACATGAATGGTTAATACAAGGGTTATACGATCCATGAGCTGAGGGCCCAACCACGTTGAATGTTGAACATCTCTCGATTCCCAATTTCAACGGCCATTGTGTCCATCCGGGCCGGTCCAGTAAAACCGCGGTCGAACAAAGGACTTTTGTCCGTGGAGTAAATAAAATATCATAATCCAGCCGACTACGTAGAAGTTACACCCGCCAGTGTCTGTCAGCAATCTCAGACATCCTTAACCCGTAACATAAAGTAGACGATCCGAATTGAGCAAAACGCCAAGGCACCTATCTCATGCAATGCCCGTAATCCGTTGAGTAGCAGCGCGGTACCGAAGAGCGAAACCTGAAAGCTTGAACGAGCTTGACCTAACTTAAGGTGATGCTGGGCGACAATTTCCGCTCAAATAGATTTACACGAAATTCGTAAATGCCGTTCTCGGCGCCGACGAACCTAAAGGAAGTGAGCCTCTCATGAAACACGCAAACACCAGGGCTGGACTAACAGGACGTCGCCATTTTCGCTCCACGACAACCCGGCGGTGTCGTAGGGCCCAGGGCGGATATGAGGCGTGTATGTTCCAAAGATCCGCCGCGACGGGTTCTCATCCCACTCGCGCATAAGGTAGGCCGCTCTGTGCAAACGCCGCTGCGCGTCAGCAAAGGATCTGAAATGAAAGAGTGGATGCTGGGTCTCGTCGGGGGGGTCCGGTGGCGGATCGCCACTGTCAGGTGAGGGGTCGTCGTACAAAGCCTCAACGTTATCCCAGCCGCCAGTGGACGCCGGGTTGGTGTTTGACATGAGGCGCGAAATCACTGCGCGGCGCTCGCTACTCCCGGAACCCGTGATCCCCAGGCCGCTCGCACGTCCAGAAAAGGGGTTGCCTGCATACCGGCGCCTTTCAGTTGTGATGTAATCCTCTCCTCTTGCCCGCATACGCTCCTGACTGTCGCGGATACGCTCTCTCTGGTCGCGAATATTGTCCAGGATCTCGTTGACCGCTTGGTTCACGCTTGCCGTGCGCTCTCTCGGCCTGGCGCTATCCGGTGTCAGTGCTGAGCGCGTCGCTCTCTCGGCCCAAGGTGACCGCGTACTGGTGCCGGTGCCACTACCGCCATTACCATTGTTGTTGCTGCTACTTTCCCTGCCAATCCTGGTCGAACCTGAATTGTTGTACTGATCCTGGCGCCTGCGGAAATCCTGTATGGCCTCCAAGACGGCAGTCTCCTCCGGGCTTAGCGGAACGTTGTAACGCCCTGGTGACTCTTGTCCTTCTGACTGACCGGCATGTCGGGTCTCTAGCGTATCCGCAAGATTCGATAATAAAGCTTCAGCACGATCGTGTCGTTCCAGAAGGCGCGGATCGATCGTATTTCGATCCGTAACGTCCACGTGCTCGAAGTCATCATCCCTGTCGAGATACAGTATCTGCCGGGAGTCGAAACCTGTGCGGATATCCGCAATGCCTACGCGGCCTCGGTCTTCGGTCCAGGCCAGAAGGTCAGTAGGTCCGGGAGAAAAGGCCATGTCCCTCACAGCGCCATGTTCTGCATTCGGTCGCGACGTGGTGAACGTCATGAGTAATGGATCCACTCCGGGTATGATCAAGGCCGCAGTGTCGAATATTGAAATAGTCCCATATTGGGTTCCGACAGCAAGGTATCTTCCCGTGCTAGAGAAGCAGGCAGCAAAGCTTCCTCTGTTGGCCATTAGACATTTGCATATTGGGACTGAAACGTCAGGCAAAAACAAACCTGCTATCAGACCGGTCATCCTTGCTTTGACTTTTCAGCTGGATTCTACCGCAAGGAGCCCATTCATAGAGGGGTCGGTCAGCAACCCGGAAAGATATCCCCGACTCGCCTTTCTTCTCTCTCCTCTCGTGTATGTATAGGTAGGGATCGTCGCTAATGGCAATGAGAACCCGCCCATCCGGAGATATGACGCCGCGGTTCATGTAGTCGGGATATTGGATCTTATCCAAAGTTTCCTGGTCCCGGAGGCTGACCACAACGACGGAGCTGTCATTGTTGGCCAGCACTGCAACATCCTGATCGTATGCCCCTTCACATGCTTCGCCGAGCATGGGCGGGAACCAGAGGGTAATGCAATTAACCCGATCTTTGCCAAAGACGTTGCTCCGCACTACCATATTCTTGTCGGAGAGGGCTTCGGCGAGGGACGAGGAAATGGCTTCTGGGAGGTCCAAGGACAAGGGAAGGCGATCGTCCGGTTGCAGGTCACTTCCCCTTCCGGCCTCTTCCCCTACTCGAAAGGCACTGAACTGGCCCAACTCGCCCCCGCAGCATACCCAGCCTTTTCGAGCTACCAGACACCTGGGCATGAAGCTCAGTTTCTTGACACTCTCGGTCTCCCGCGTCTTGGTGTTTAAGCGCTGGACGTGGACATTTCGCTGATCGGTGCCAACTGGGAAATAGACGACATTCTGGCCGTCAGTCCCGAGCAGAGACCGCAATTGCCAGTGACTGATACAGCTCGTTAGATACCAGCATGTATGCCGGACTGCGGCAACCAATGCGGACAGGCATCCATCAAATGGGCTGGGGAATGGGGACGTACTGCCAGCGAACGCCGGCCCGGAAATGCCTGCGCGGCTTCGCCAGAATCAAATTCTCGGTCGAGTTATAGCTGCACAACAGGTCCTGTCAGCCATCAAACCGAGAGACGAATCGTAGCGTGATTAAGCAGGGGCCTTACACGTCGCCCGTGACGGCCATGGTACCGATATCTGCGCCAAGCGGCTAATACCATGCCACCATCCAAAATGCTCGTTTTCTTTCGCGCAATATGCTAGAACTGCCGTTTAGGAGCACGCCGGAATGAAATCAGTTCTGCGATGTCGTCGGTTTGGTGATCAGCTAAGAGCTATAGTGCGTAGAAAAAAGCTGTGTGAAGTGCTGTCGATAAAGACGAGGAGCATCAAGGCATGGTCGTCATCGTCCGTAAAGTTAGCTAGAGGTGGAGTAGCTCAATGACTGCCTTTTGCCGTCGCGCATTGGAATTTTGTTGGCAGCGCTCTTCTTAAGGGCCCCCCGCCACTGATTGCGGAAGAATCCACCAAGATGGTGGGGAGGCGTGCGCCGGTGTCAGGGGTGTCTGCACTAATGCCGCTAGGTATTCCGTAATAATGAGAGCTCAGCATTGAATCGTCAAGGTATTGTACAAGGTATCCGTATTGTACTGTACAATACCTTACCTGACGAGCTGACCTACACTGTTAGTTTTTCGTAGATACCATACAGTTGAATAGCATTTGGAATTCAATCGTTCATTCCTCCAACAGCCACAGAAGTAATTCGACTACTAGAACTCTCGCAATGCGGAGATGTGTAACTTGCTGCGCACTCGCTACCACTGATTTAAGAGACGGCGGTTTGAGAGTGAGCGCATCGATGTTTAGAAACTGCTGTGATTTTTGAAGGTATTCGTACAGTACACTTACAAGGACACGAGCTTGACGGATTCGAAAGTGTCAAAGGTTGAGCGCGGCGTCACGTGGATTCCTTCAATCTCTGGCCTTGGCACTCCGGAACGCATCATGAATGCAACTCCAGGTTCTCTAAGTAGTGGCCCGTGCCGAGGACCCACACGCTAGCAGGTCAGTGGCTGACTTCGAAATTTCGAACGTCTTCGATGTTCGCTCTGAATTTTTTTTTTCACTTCCCTCTCTTCCGTACAAAAGAGGAACTACCTCACACCACCAAACCATTCTTCTTCCTCCATCTTCTCATCAATACCGTATTCGAGCCGCCGTCCGGCTTAATTGCGTTCCCCTCTTCACCATTCACAAGGGTGTTCTTTTCCTCCTCCTGATTATTAGATCTTTTCCACGATGATGCCAACACGGTTTGCTCGTGCCGTAGGTCTCACTTCCGGCGCGCCTTGCGCATTAGTCGCAGTCTTTGAGAGCTGTGCTAACCACACGCAAATAGCTTCCCAGGGCAGCCACAGCAGCGTCCCGCTCGGCGGGAGTGCTTCGCAAGCCCTTTGCTCCCGCCTACGCGCGGTTCCAATCAACAGATGAGAAGGTCACAGGTGCCGTCATCGGCATTGATCTTGGTAAGTGGGAGCTGCCTCAACGTTAGTCTCGGCCATGTGCTTATCGTGATTGTTGTCTAGGCACAACCAACTCTGCTGTTGCCATCATGGAAGGAAAGACGCCCAGGATTATCGAAAACGCGGAAGGCGCCCGGACAACACCGTCAGTAGTTGCATTCGCCGAAGATGGTGAGCGGCTGGTTGGTGTTGCTGCCAAGCGTCAAGCCGTCGTCAACCCCGAGAACACACTCTTCGCCACGAAGCGGTTAATCGGCCGGAAGTTCACCGATCCTGAGGTGCAGAGAGATCTCAAGGAGGTTCCTTACAAGATTGTCCAGCACTCCAACGGCGATGCCTGGGTTGAGGCCCGCGGCCAGAAGTACTCGCCTTCCCAAATCGGCGGTTTCGTCCTCCAGAAGATGAAGGAGACGGCCGAGGCCTACCTCAGCAAGCCCGTCAAGAACGCCGTTGTCACCGTTCCTGCTTATTTCAACGACTCACAGCGTCAGGCTACCAAGGATGCTGGTCAAATTGCCGGTCTGAATGTCCTCCGTGTTGTCAACGAGCCCACTGCTGCCGCCCTTGCCTACGGTCTGGAGAAGGAGGCCGACCGCGTTGTGGCCGTGTATGACCTTGGCGGTGGTACCTTCGATATCTCTGTCCTAGAGATTCAGAACGGCGTCTTCGAAGTCAAGTCTACCAACGGTGACACCCACCTTGGTGGTGAAGATTTCGATATCCATCTCGTGCGCCACATTGTTCAGCAGTTCAAGAAGGATTCTGGCATCGATCTCTCCGGTGATCGCATGGCCATCCAGAGAATCCGCGAGGCTGCTGAGAAGGCCAAGATCGAGCTGTCTTCATCTCTCCAGACGGACATCAACCTGCCTTTCATCACTGCTGATGCTTCTGGGCCCAAGCACATCAACCTGAAGCTCACCCGCGCTCAGCTCGAGTCCATGGTTGAGCCTCTGATTAAGAGGACGATCGAGCCAGTCCGCAAGGCCTTGAAGGATGCCAACCTTCAGGCCAAGGACATCCAGGAGGTCATCCTTGTTGGTGGTATGACTCGCATGCCCAAGGTCGGCGAGTCCGTAAAGAGCATTTTCGGCCGCGATCCCGCGAAGTCCGTAAACCCTGATGAGGCTGTTGCCATTGGTGCCGCCATTCAGGGTGCTGTTCTTTCTGGCGAGGTTAAGGATCTGCTTCTTCTCGATGTCACGCCTCTATCGCTTGGTATCGAGACCCTCGGTGGTGTCTTCACCCGCCTGATCAACCGCAACACCACCATTCCCACTAAGAAGTCCCAAGTCTTCTCCACCGCGGCTGATTTCCAGACTGCCGTCGAGATCAAGGTCTACCAGGGTGAGCGTGAGCTCGTCAAGGACAACAAGCTTCTCGGCAACTTCCAGCTCGTCGGCATTCCCCCGGCTCACCGCGGTGTCCCTCAAATCGAGGTTACGTTCGATATTGATGCCGACTCGATCGTCCACGTCCACGCCAAGGACAAGGCCACCAACAAGGACCAGTCCATCACGATTGCGTCCGGCTCCGGTCTTTCCGAGTCCGAGATCCAGCAGATGGTTGAGGAGTCTGAGAAGTACGCCGAGCAGGACAAGGAACGCAAGGCCGTCATCGAGTCTGCGAACCGCGCCGACAGCGTTGTGAACGACACCGAAAAGGCTCTCAACGAGTATGCCGACAAGCTCGACAAGACCGAGGCTGATCAGATCCGCGAGAAGATCACTTCCCTGCGGGAGTTTGTCGTCAAGTGCCAGTCCGGCGAGAGCACCGCGACGGCGGCCGAGATCAAGGAGAAGACGGACGAGCTGCAGGTTGCCAGCTTGAACCTCTTCGACAAGATGCACAAGGCGCGGGCCGAGTCCGGCGAGGCTAGCCAGAGCAGCGCTGAGGGCGAGAAGAAGGACGAGAACAAGGCCTAGACAGATACTTGGCATCCATGACATCTATACCCCACTACATTTCTTTCACTCACATGTCTGACTAGGTTGGAGCGTTGGAGCGGCCCTCCAGTGTATTCTTGTATGTACTCGTATATTGTGGCTTGGAGGCTCATGAGGCTTGTCTAGTGTTTAATATGCAGACGGCGGATGGCGTTTTGAGCATCAAAACTGCTGCTTTCAGGGGCAGCGTCATCTTACGGTTTTCGATGATAAGATGGGCAGGGATGGGATTGGGGGGCTGGATAAAGCTGCATGTGTATCTGTGCATACACCAACGCGAAAGCAAATATTATCGGAATCCCCCCTCAATGTGTGTATATTAGTTTGGTGTTGGCGTGGCGTTGTGACATTAGATGGGAGAAGTCTTACCTGCCTTTCCCTCCTCTTGAATGGGGCCAAAACCGAGAATGCTACGTTCCATGTGATGATAAGTATGCCTCACACCACAGTAGTGCCCTTTGTTTATTAGTCCAAGGATAGACGTCGCGAGCACAAGTATACTTGGCTGTGCCATAACGATCGGGAGTCGCAGGCTACCAAGTTAAACTATACCAACCCTGAACACCATGAAGTCTGCTTTGAACTGGAGTCGGCTATGCAGTCCAGGGTCGACATCAGGACCAGCAACATGTGTCTCTCAATTAGTGGTCTCGGTTAGAGTCGGTAAGTCGTCGCCCAGTGATTTATGGGCGTGGACCACGTATGCATCACGGGGATAGAGTAAATCTGAGGCTTGGGCGCAAGTAGATTGCTTCATGTCTATTCTTTTCCGAGCTGTATAATCTACTGAACACTTGAATCACCTTCCGAATCCAAACCATCCTCTCTTCTGAGGCTTCGCCTCCGGTTCTGCGTTCTTCTCTTGAACCTTACCGGCGTCCCTGGCGCTTGGCTGGTCCCGTTTATCGGGGTAATCGATGTAGTTCCACGCCACGTCCAGGAAAAGCGGTTTTACCGGGAGCGGTTCCAGCCGCGGGGGGTAGGAGACAATGTTCTCAAGGTCAACACCGCCAGAGGGGAAGTCGGAGAGCTGGGCCGACAATGGCTTCACTGACCCTGTCGTCTGGGAAGCGGTCGCCTTGGCCGAGTCAAATAGTTCCGCCAGGGCACGATACCGCTGCAGCTCGCCGCTCAACGTGCCATGCAGGAAGCCGATATCCTTCTTGGTGACTTGGATATTTCGCGGTGCGGACTCGTCCTCATCGCCCTGGCTTGACAGAACCGGGCTGGCAGCCTCACACCGATCTAGAGCATGCTTGACCAGCGCAAGCGAGTTGACCACGTTCCCTGCGATGGCATGCGATCTAGAAATAGCTAGGCACCTATTGACCTTGTTAGTGGCACTGCATCAACCCAGAAGGGCAAAGCACATTCGTACTTGAGGGCGGTAAAATACTGCAACATTGCCTCTAACCGGCCGGACAGCTCTTGGTCGTTCGCGACGCCAGGAAGCTCCTTGATGGACTCGAGGCTCTGCAGGATGCCGCCGTACAAGGCCGCCTTCTCCTTGAGTCTCGCAATTTGCCGTCCCGGCGCTTCATCCGCACGTCTGTCGACCGTCGATTCATCCGTTCGTTTCTTCCTTCTCGGCGTAGCCCCAATTTCCAACTTTGCGCCATCGTGTTCGCCGACAAGTACCCTGTCGCGCCCAATGCGCCAGCTGATCATCTCGTAGTTTACGGCTGTCCGCGTGATCTGCAGACTTTGCATTCTTGGATCTCCCTGGGGAACGCCCTCTCGTTTGAGCTCGTCAATGGCCTGTTTGGTTGCGTCGACGGCGTCTTGGCAGGCGACCAGGATCTCGTCGTATGCTGCCGCCATGTCTTTTGGATGAAGCGTTCCAGCGGAAGCAAGCTTTTCGGCCAGCTGAGCTCTAGATGTGCCAACACCGGCCCAGGCAACAGCTATGGCGGCATCCTCAATCTTGACCTCCCTGCCTCGCCATGTCAACGTAGTCGGCGCGCCCTCAACTCCCTGCCTGGCGTCAAGATCGCCATGTTCCAGGACGGCAGGGTTGAGCTGCCGGATGCTGTCGGCCAGTTCGGGGTCGGCATGGGCAAACGCCTTGCGCGCAATTGTGGCGACGGGAAGGGTCCTCGGGATTTTGGCTTGGTATGCGGCATAACGGATCGAGGGGTCTATGGTTTCGGAAAGCAGGTCTCTGAAGATGTCGCCCTTGGCCGATGTGGAAAGGGTGCTATATATGATCCTGGATATTGCGTAGCTCTTTAGGCATGCCTCCCAGCTCTGCTTCTCGAACAGGGCCGCTCCTCTCAGGAGAGCAGCGTATGCACGAGCATCGAGGAGGTCGGTCGAGGTAGCTCCACTCGCGCTGGAGGAGAGAGCCTCTGCTAGCCTTTCGGAGGTGCGAGCAGCCTTTTCCAACCTTGAAACGATGTGCGATCTTGCCTTGCTGGATGGTCCCTTCGTGTCAGCTGAGTGGGACGCCTTCATGGACATGGCATGTGCCCAGGCCCGCTCAGCGGTCAGTAGCTGGAGATGGAGATATCTATGCGTCCATCCATTGTCAGTCAGTTCACGGCCGAGAGAGGTGATAACCGGCGGAACGTCATACTCATGGTTCTCAGCAATCTGCTCGGGTGTAACGGGGGCCTTGGGGTGAAATTTCCCTCGATTCTTGGTCGCAATGTTGAGCTTCTTGCGACAGTTGAGCAGCTTGCCCGACAGCTGTGACCGGTACGTAGCATAATCGCCGTAGAGTAATGCCTTCTCTCTTGACGAGACAACAAATTTAGTGATGTCCATTGTCGATGTCTGAGCGACCTGTCCTTTGCCCCGTCGAGCCCAACAACTCCCCTTGTGCGTCTGGGGGTTTGTTGGACCGTGGGGTCACGGTATTTCGTGGGTATCGTATTGTGTAATCCCTACATGTCCCTAACGGTTAGATATTACAATTTTCTGTACCTCGTAATTTTTGTAATAATCACCCCGCCGAGACTCGAGAGCTGCCAAGGGCCACGGCAATTGGAAGTTGAATGTTGCCCTGTGATTTTCCAGGCTGTGTGTGGCCCAAGCTCCTCTGCCACCGGGCAGGTTCTTGTGGTTGAGATTGCCAGCTGTTGGGCAGCTGGTCGGCTTCAACCTGGCACAGGAGGTGGCGCCATCCCGATTTCCGAAGAGCTCCAGATGCTCCACTGCCGACCGCGCAGGTCGCGCCTAAAATTTACAGCGCCGGGTGCTGCAAAAACAGCACGGGCTGGCTTCAAGTTTCTCTTTGGCCCTTTGTCCGTTGGCGACTGTGTTACCTTTGGTTTCTCGGTCTTGCGCTGCCTCAACTCGGGTTCGCAACGGCTGCTCTGGGGCTAATTACGAGACAGGCAATTATGTTCGACTGTGCCAGCGCGCGTTTTCTCTTCGCCAGCGCCCGCCTCAATCGCCGTCAAACATAGCGACACCTTCGGAGCTCCCCCCGGACAATGCCACTGCAACTCGGGCACTTCTCGGTTTCCCTTGGTAGATTTTGAGTTTGGCTTAGGGGGGTTATGACGCTTATATCCCGCAATGCTGGAAAGGACGGCAGCGACCATTGAGCCGAGCAGTCTCCAGCGTGTGCTTCCCTCGACCAGGCTCCGTCTGCACAGCCGTCGCCAGCTTCATACTGCCTTCTGGCACCATGGGGCTGCTGACTTAGAGCTTATTGATGCCTGCCAGGCCCTCATGCGCCAGCCTCCCCTTGAAACGAAGACAGCCGCAATGCCTGCAAAATCGAACAAGACGACGGATACCACGACGGCACCCGCTGTTCTTCTCGACTTCCTGTATCCCGGTGGCATTGCGGCGCTTTTTCGGAGGCCCTATTTGGTTCATTCGCTGCGGCTCGAGGCGGCCTCACGGCCGCGGCTTCTCATGTCACGACTCTTCACGTCATCGGCCCCAGGCCGTTCTGCCGAGCCGCTTCCCAGCCAAGAAGAATCGCCGGATGAGGTGGGGAATGGGGTGTCGGGAGAGGTTGTTGGAGAGGTTGTGGGAGACAGGGAGTCCTTGGCTGTCCAAGGGTCAATCCCCTACGAGCTGATCAGTCAAGTATACCAAGAGCCCGAGTGTGGGTACGAGGAGGCGTTGCGGAGGCTCCTGAACTCTGATAACCGTGCTGGCGCCGATGATTATGATCGAATTTTCTGGTATTACAAAAATCTCGATCCCCAGGCCAAACACGGGTTCACGACGCCTGTTTTGCTCGCTCTTTCAGCATCATCCCGACCGGTTGAGGCGTGGAGGGTCAATGATCTATTCTCTCTCTACCAGGTCAACGAGTGGACCGAAGAGGTTGTTTGCGCTGTTATCAATGCGCAGCTCACATTGGAGAATGTGCCGGCAGCCATGTCAATTTTCAGATCCGCATTAGAGGAACGCGGATTCACCCGAGGATTGGATTACCTGGCTGCCTACGGACTCGACAACTCGGCATGGGGCATGGTTCTTGAATCCTTGGAACTGTACTCCAATGTCAGACAGGATACCGACCTAGCAGCCGGGTCATCCCTGGTCCAGGAGACTGAGGCGTTCACTGACTCGAGGGTCGCTCAGAATTCTGGGTCAATTGAGTCGACAGAAACCGGAGGGGCTGCTGAGTCTGTCGACGGGTCTGCGGCGGCCCATGATGCCAGTTCTGCCGTTGGCTTGGAGCCGGAACAGAGCTGGGAAACATATCCGACGTCAGAATCGGCAGATGGCCCTGCGGCGGAAAGGAAGGTCGGAACATTTCCGACGGTAGCCAGGGTGACTGATTTCGCGGTCAAAGTGAGTCAGCTGTATAAGTCCTTCGAGGATGACCCAGAGAGTATGCACCATCGCACAGGTTTAGTCGATGCATTTCTTGCCAACATTGCAAGAAACTCGTTGGACCTATTTCGGCCGTCCGATGCTGTGTTTATTCTCGACCGCGTCGGGGATAAACGCTCATATGAAAGTTACATCCTCTCCAACCTGGAACGCGGTCGGAGAAGAATTGTTACCGACCTCTACTGGAAATACAGGGCACTCCCAGGGATACGTGTCGCCCAATTTGTCTTGCGCGCCATGATCGATGTCTTCCACCCGCACAACGTACGAGGGATGGAACAAGTTCTTGCGGACTGGTACCAGGTTTATGACCGGTTAGACGAAAGGACATACCGGAAGTTCATGACTTTCTATAGCGGCCGGGGCGATGTCAAGTCGGTCATGCGTTTGGCTGAGGAGTACGCCAAGCATCACAACAGGCAGGTGGAGCAGGATCCCGAGTTGGTCGTTACCGTCATGAAAGCCTACGCAGTTAAAGGTGACTGCGAGGCGGTCCGTCGGGTCATGGAGGAGGCTGTCGAGAAGACAGGAGTGCCGCCCGATACAGTAATGTGGAACGTCCTGCTCGACGCCCACAAAAGGGTGAATGACTACGAAGGGGCTCTAAAGATTTTTTTCAATGTTTGTGAAAACTATGAGCCCGACCTAACCACTTTCGGAACCATCATGGGCATGGCGGCCCGGCGCGGTGACCTTGAATTCACACTGGAAATCTTCCAGCTGGCCCAGGAGCGACAACTACAACCGAACTTGAATCTGATTCAGGCATTGGTGGAGGCATACTGCCAGAATGACCGGTACGCCGAGGCCGAGAAACTCTGCGTCGACGTTACCGAGAATCGCGAGGTGCCTGGCGACTACACATTGTTGTGGAACAAGCTCCTTGAACATCACGCCAAACGGCGGAACTTGATGGGCGTCAACCGCCTCCTGGGGATCATGTCGGCTAAGGGTATCATCTACAACCAAGACACATACAGTCATCTCCTCTTGGCGCTGCTGTATTGCCGACAAGCTCAACATGCCATGCATCTCCTGAGGCTTGCCCACCGCGAAGGTGTCTTCAATCCCACCCCTGATCACTTCATCCTCCTCATGGCGGCTTTCATGAAAGCTGGAGAACCGGATATGGTGCTGAAGACCAACCAGCTGATGGCACAGATGGCATTTCCCGAGTCCGCAGCTCGCTTGAGAAATGTCATTGATGCCCTCGGCAGGTGGCAGGAGCTCCCGCCACACCATAGACAAGGGCTTGACGGGCAGCACTTCCTCAAACTAGTCCTGAAATACTTTTACAGAGCCATGGACAGGGTCGACGAGGGCGCACCCGACAGTGAGGGCTCTATTATCAGCCTCTACTCCAAGGTGCTCTTCATCCTGACGCAAATGCGCGAGCATGCGACGGTAGAGCAGCTGATAGAGCTGTACAACTCCCGGTTCCCCCAGCGCTCCTCGCCCCAAGCTATCCCCATCAAGCTGCTGCACAACATCATGCTCGCGGATTTTTACGAAGAAAAATACGACCGGGTCAAGGAGACGTGGAAGGTCGTGGTGCAGCGGACAACACGGCGGTACGCGGTGGCGTCAGCGCTCCGCAACGGGGATTTGGAGGAGGCATCCAAGCCGGTCGCGTACGCGATGCGATTCCGCCTAAGCGACCCGCTCAAGACGATGCAGCGACTGTACGTCGCAGAGGGAGACGCGCAAGGGCTCATGGACACTGTCGCCGAGATCCGCAATCTAGGGTTCGAGCTCGACAGTAAGAACTGGAACTACTACGTTCAGGCGCTCGCCAAGCTCAAGGAGTGGCGCCAGGCGTTTGAGGCGTGCGAGCAGGTGCTTATGCCACACTGGAACGGCTGGGCCATGGTGCGCAGGTGGAAGCGGACAGGCAAGTACCAACTCCCGCTGGAGCTGCGCCGCAGCGAGGACCCCAGCAGGCCCAGGCCCATATCCCACACCCTGATGGTGCTGGCAAAGGAGTACAGGGACCTGGACCAGATACGTCTCTGGTCGCAAGCGGCGGCGAGCGAGATTCACTACATCGAGGAAAATTGTCCCAAGACAGTCCTTGCCATCACTACCATGAGAGCCACGGGGTCGCCGGTCGAGGTCGCCATCCTTGGAGATTTGAGGAAACCAAAGCGGGGGAAAAGGTTTGAGCCCGAGGACGAGAACGAGGCTTACTTTAGGGAGCAGTTGGGCCAGGGACGAAGAAGGCGTTGGCGAGAGCAGGCAGAGAGCGAGGATATGCGGGAGCAGGCAGAGGTGAAGAATCTGCAGGAGCGATCAAGCGAAATGGAGGAGGGAGAGAGGACGAAAGCTCAAAGTAAACCGCGGAGGAAGGAGGGCAAGAGAGAACGGAAGAAGAGGAAGAAGGAGGAAAAGAGCAGGGAGCAGGAGTATGCCCGGTACAATCAGTTGTGGGCCGAAGAGCATGGCATCTCGGAAGACGATAACTGGACAGATGGCGAGTTCTTGAAGGTTGGTAAGGCGACGAGAGACAAGGGACAATTGTCGGACGAGGATATTGTCGGTGCCTTGAAATCGGAGCAGTAGATCTAGATCTAACCGGTGTCAGGAGGTAGAATGATGGCGGTTGTGTACTGTACCTGTATTGTATGTATCTGTACATTACTGTGGTCCGTTGTACCAGTACTGTTTGTAACTAGGTAGAGGGGGTATTATTCGTATGGCGACTCGGTGTTGGCAACTGTACATATATCTATCGCGATACAGGGTTTTGGATAGATTCTGTGGTACATTATAGACTACTGGAACCTGACACTTTATAATCGCTTACCTAGAATGGCCGAAAGGTGTAGGTTGGAACCAGCTTCATACCTCTGTAGTTGTAATGGTGAGAGTAAGCTTATACCGAGGCCATTTATTCGGGCAATAGACAAGCCATGGACTATAAAAGAGTGTATAGTTTCTCCCAGTTTACAAAATCATAGAGCACCTTAACAGTGAGTTTGGGAGTAAAAGGTACGAAGCAGTGATGAATCCTGTTGAGACGTGAAAGTACAGTACAGTACAGTCCATACATTCAATACAGCAATTAGTGAATTTTGTCGGTCAATGTCAGCCTGTCACATGCAGTTGTCGTAACTTTGGTAATATTACCCTGTGCTTTTCCACCTTCAACCTCTCTTCGACTCGATGGAACACGATATGGTGATGCAAATACCTAACTAGTCAACATTCTTTCAGGTAAACGCATGTATGGTTCAAGATAATGCGAGCACATCCCGCCGAGCATATCACGACAGGAACACTTTTCGTTGCACCGGAAATCTCCAATCCCACCAAAACATTCATGGATAGAACCATTTGAAAGCAGAGAAAGGACTACCGCCAATTTGGTTTCCAAAAGAACGACGATGCTGTTCCCCGAGGAGCACGCGCCTCACCTCAAGAAATGGATCGTCAAGCGCCTCGAGAATACGTGCGCCTCCCTCGGCTTTGCTGCTCTTCTCGCTGGGACTGCCTTTTGCTGACGTTGACGTTCCTGCTTTCGGGTGCAACAGATCTGATGCCGACGCAGACGTGCTTGCCGACTACGTTCTGGCCCTTTTGCGCCATGATGGAGATGTCAAGGATGTACGGAAACTTTGCGAGGAGGAAATCCCAGACTTTCTCAAAGAAGGTGCGCTCTTTCCTCCTCTGCTTACTACCTCGGCTGTTTGTTTCGTCGACGTCTTTGATCTCACTGGCGCCTGAAAACAGATTCCTCCGTCTTCGTGAGCGATGTCTTCGACGCAATCACATACCGGTCATATCTTCCCGGCGTCCCCCCTCCACCTCCCAGACAAGTGCCGCCTCCCGCCTCTGCTGCTGCCCAGCCGCCGCTCTCGTTCTATGATGATGTCCCAATGCCCCATGCCCCGGAATATCTACAGCCACCCGGTCAGAACGGTTCCAAGAAACGGGGATACACCGACTGGGACGACCCGAACGCTCAGAGTGGCAGAGATGCTAGCTTTGGCGGAAGGGCTTTCAAGCAGCTGCGCCGTGGTCGCGGGTCTAGAGTGGACGATTCGAACAGTTTCGGGGCCGCACCGCAATCCATACCTCCTTTCACCCCTGCCGGCCAGTTACCAGCCCAAGGGGGCCCTGCTCCCCAGACGGTTGGGTACTTCGATCCGAATCGGGCTATTGGAGAATTGCTTGGCATGAGCTTAGCCGCTGGCCATCCCATGCCTGATTTGCTGTCCCAGGACCCGGGCTACTTGGGCAAGAGGAGACCGAGGTGTCGCGACTGGGAGAAGAAGGGCTATTGCCAGCGTGGGAGTAACTGCATGTTCGAACACAGCAACGACCCGATATACCCTCCCCTGCCACCCCCTCCGTTCGGTGCAGTGCAGCCTGTGCCGCAGCCCCAGGCAATCGAAGGTAGGTCGTGGAATGCTGGAAGCCCGTTTTGACCAGTTTAACAGCTAACCGTCAAACAGAGTACGACCCAAACAACGCTCTCATGCCGGATCTATTCAATACACTGGCTCCTTTGCAGGGACAGCGGCAATTCTTGCCCGACTCTAGCCAGCAACAACCAAAACACAAGGGAGGCAGACATAACAACCGCCAAAAGCAGGGCAACAAAGCCCCATTCTCCGCAGACGGACCGGTGTTTGATAGAACAAAATCGACGATCGTGGTAGAGAATATCCCAGAAGAGAATTTCAGCGAAGATCAGGTCAGGGGTTTCTTCGCCCAGTTTGGCACCATTCTGGAGGTTTCAATGCAGCCATACAAGAGGTTGGCCATTGTCAAATTCAGCAACTGGGCATCGGCCAATGCAGCCTATCAGTCACCAAAGGTCATTTTTGACAATCGCTTTGTCAAGGTCTTTTGGTATAAGGAGAATGAATCCTCTCTGCCGGCATCGGGCGTCTCTCCCGAGCAAATGAAGATAAAGTCCGCCAACGGTTACCCATTGGCTGACGTCGACAACCAAGGCACACAACCCGAGATCGATATGGAGGACTTTGTGAAGAAGCAAGAGGAGAAACAGAAGGCCTTTGAGGAGAAAAGGAAGAAGATAGAGGAGCTGGAGCGCCAACGGCAGGACCTTGAGAAACGGCAAAAGGAGCTTCTCGCCAAGCGCCAGGAGGAAAAGGCGAGACTAGAAGCAAAACTTGCGCGGCGCAACGGTTCTGTATCAGGAGGCAGCGAAAGCGATTCGAGATTGTCGAAGCCAACCAGTCAGACGGAAGCACTCCGCGCCCAGCTGGCGGCTCTAGAAGCAGAAGCCAGAGAAATGGGACTCGATCCTGATGCTGACATTGATGCCCCGGCGTCCTGGCCCGCAAGGGGTGGGTTCGGACGCGGAAGGGGCCGCGGTGGATGGCGGGGGGCGCCTCCATACTACACCCCCCGCGGTACTTATGGTTACCGCGGCGCACCGCGCGGGCGCGTCAACGTCCACGCCGCATACGCGGCATATTCGCTCGATAACAGACCGAAGAAAGTAGTGCTCACGGGTGTGGACTTTACCGTGGCCGAAAAGGATGAGAAACTGCGACAGTACCTTTTTGTAAGCATTCCTTATTAGCGCAGGCAAACTATACCCGTCCGCTGACAATTTTTTCACTAATTCCGCAGGGCATCGGTGAGTTCACAGACATCCAATCAACCCCTTCGGCCACCGAGATCACCTTCAAAGATCGAAAAACCGCCGAGAAATTCTTCAACAGCGTCCTGCTCAACAACAAGGAGATTCCCGACGTTGACGGCTATCTTGAGCTAACCTGGGGCGCATCCAACGGCACCTCTGGCTCGCTCCCCACCAACCCAGGGGCATCAGCTACTACCAACACCAGCACCATTACTCCTGTTACCACCAGCAGCGCCGGCAAAAACAACAACACCAATCAGCTCACTGCCTCAAACACTGGAAGAGCGAGCAACGGCACTGGCGTCGCGGGAACTACGAACGCGGTAGCGGGAGGCAGGGCCGTGACCAAGAAGGCCGCGGGCCAGACCTCCACCACTCATCATCTGGAGACGTCAGCGGAAGACGACGGTGCGGCCGGCAGCAGCAGCGACGATAAGGACGTGCACATACTGCTCGAGCGGCCGCCTGACGAGAACAAGAATGACCAGCATGACATGGATTATGAGGTTGCGGATGAAAATCAGTGGGGGTACTGATCCCGCCCAGCAGCATTTCCTGAATTGGGGGCTTGCTGCGGCGGTGGATCGAGGTTAATATGCACTCTTGAACAAAGAGACCTGGACGGGAGCAAGGGGGGGGAGATCGAGGTGCAATGTCCTGTTGTGAAGTATGTACGGTACTAGTACGGTGCTTGCGGGGGGGACGTGGTTGGCTAGGTAGCTACAAACACGTTTGTGTAGGTTGGGCTTTGTAGGTTAGTAGGCAGGGCTGAGGCAGGTAAGGTAGCTGAGGCATCAGCCTGCAGACTTGCCTGTCTCGGAGTAATACACTGTACATGTACCTGTATATAGCTGTACCTACATACAATGTATGCTATCTGGTGCTTTGTCTTTTTTTGGCTATGTTCTGGGACGGTTTTGGTAGTAATTATGTGTTTGCTCCAATTGTGGGTTAACAAGATCGGGTTAAGGCACGGTAAGCTCAGGAGCCTTACCTAGCCTCAAGCTAGCTTACGGCTCGAGGAAGGCAAATACGACAGAAAGGATGTCTTTCTCTGGTTTGGAGTTCAAGATATATTCGCTCAGGGGTTGTTTAGGAGATGGGATCAGTCCTGCATGATGATACCTTCAAGCATTGTACGTCGTTAAGGCAACTCAAGAACACAGCAAGAGCAAAGTGTAAATTCAAGGTTTCATAGCCAAAACCTAAACCACGCCCTATCTTTCCCCCGGGTATCGTTGAGATATTGGTGGTGCCTGCATGCATAGAAAGCCGAGTTGAACGTCCGGCCATGATGTGTCTCCCCATCCCCTCTCTATTTACTCAAGCCACCAGCTCAGCTTTCATGTGTAAGCCCATCTACCAGTGATTTAATGATCCATCCATCCTATCCTAGCACGCCGGCCTGCCTTGCCTTCCCTTTTTGTTGAAAAAAACAGACCGAACCCCTTTGGAAATGCCCATCCAAATTCATGCGCACATTTTGCTCACCCGGGCGCCCCCAACTCAAGAAACGCCTTCCAGATGCATGCTCCTTGTATGTTAAATCAAATGCCGATTGTTGAATGTGTCGTCTCGTTACAATGCGCGTTTTTTAGGTCCGGTCCCCCACTCCACTCCAGGCCTGCTGATGGATAGGTGGATATTAGCGTGCTTTGAGCGCACGTTGGGAGGTTGAAACGTATTACGGTCATGCGGTAGTGTTGAAAAATGCATCTGTCGAGAGAGGCATTATGTTGAAGCCTCGATGCCGTTGGTATAAACACCGTCAGCGGGAGCCCCATTCGGAGCATCTTTAGTCCCATTGCCTTGAATTTCCGGAACTTTGTCCAGGTCCTGGACCTCTAGGCCCTTCAGGAGATCGAAGATGGTGTGTCCCTGGTGGAAATCGTTGTTCACTGCGTGTTTGTTAGTGCTGCAACTGACGCCGGGAATGTGTCAGGGCCATCTTACCGATATTGACCAAGTACCAGGTGTTCATGATCTGCTCCAGGATCAGACGGCTTGGGCTGCCTGCCTCGTAACAGCGGGCCCACTCCGAGCCTAACTGGAATGCCTCATCTTTCCAAGCGAGGAAGCTGATTCTTTCGACGATTGTGGGCTGGACGATTTCCTTGCCAGGGAAGACACCCCATGTCACGGCATTGGGCGCCTCCGACTGCGCGTTTGTCTCGAAATTGCCGGATTTGGTCACGGCGTGGTAAGTCATATCAGGGTGGTGCTCAATGCGCCGCTTGACCTCAGGGAACAGCTCGGGCGAAACAAAGAACTCGAGGTATGCCTTCTGATAGACGTAGCCCTTTGCAGGGCCCCAACCATGGACAGGGTCCGTCGACTTGGCGCCGTTGACAGCAGGTTGTGAGTTCACTGTGATCAAGCCACGGCTGTTGAGATCGATCAATTCACTTTTGATAAGGTCCGCCTCCTCAGCCACGGGGGCCTCGCTCCAAGGGAGGTAATCAATCTCCTTGTTCAGGTACCGAATAAAGAGGTTGGCAATATCCTTGATACATGCCGGCTCGCCCCACTTCTTGCGGTTCTGTTCGTTGGTGCCGGTCAGGCCAATACCATAAGCATCCAGTTCGCCGAAAGCAGGAGACCTCGAATCGCCCCAACGGCCGTTGGGGAATTCATCCCAGTCCTGGGTGCGCGCGATGTACGACTTGTTCCTGTTGCGCCAGAAAATAGGTCGGACATCCTCGCCACGACGGCCGAAGCCCAGTGATTGCTTCCAAGGGAGTGCTTGCTTCAATGGCCGGTGCGGTGACGGCATCCAGTCCAGCTCCTCTAGGACCATTCTGGTAGCCTGTGCTAAATTCATTGTGTAGAAGTGCAGATGACGGATTCCGGCGGCTAGGATCTTGCGACACATGTCAGCGACAAGCGTCTTTCCAATCTCCCGGACGGCTACGTCGTCGTTCTTGACCGACTCAAGCTTGGCGAGCCAGTCTTCGGGAATCTTGCACTTCATGTGGTTCGCACGGCGCAGGAAACTAGCGTAGGTGGCGATGGGCATAATCCCCGGCACAATGGGTACGGTAATGCCGCGAGCCCTGACTTTCTCGACCCATCGAATGAAGTTATCGGCGTCGTAGAACATCTGGGTGACGATGAAGGACGCGCCCATGTCAACCTTCTCCTTCAAGTGATCCAACAGCAAATCCTCGTCTGTATTGTCGTCGCAGCCCTCGGGGTAGCCAGCAACGCCAATGTCGAAGTGGTTGCCGTATGTCTTGCGGATATGGGCCACCAGGTCGCGCGCGAACCGGAAGCCGCCCTCAGTAGCCTCCCATTTCTCCTTCTCGCGCGGGGGGTCACCTCGGAGGGCCAAGATATTCGTGCAACCGGCTTTATATGCCCTCCGCAGGGCATCGTTGACCTTCTCCTCGCCCATGTCGGTGCAGGTGAGGTGCATGCATGCCTCAAGCCCAAGGTATGTCTGGGCCTGGACCACCATCTCGCACGTCAGCTCGGCGATGCGGCCGCCAGCACCCCATGTGATGTCGATAAACTTGGGGCCGAAGTTGTACATGCGCTCCATACGCTCGTAGAGGTTCTGTACACCCTGAGCCGTCTTGGGAGGGAAGTATTCGAACGAGAAGGACGGCTCGCCCGTCCTCTCGGCCTCAGCCAGGATCTCGCGGATATGCATTGTAGCGGAGTGGTTTGTCTGGCGGAATGGCGTACACTAGAACGGGAACTGCAACGACCAGGGGCGAGGGAGAGGTAAGCTACACAATTAGCCTCGTGCTGCTGTCGTTTGGTGCTGGCGCCTGTCCTCGCTGCCACTTGGCTCTTGGACGAGGGGGCGGAGAATATGGAGGGAGCTAATTATATAGAAAGCCGCGTGCGCAAGGGGCTGTGGAAACAAAGAGCGACACCTCTATGCACACAGAAAGCAACAACGGAAAGAAGACACAGCAGAGAGGCAGGGTGCCATACTTGAGTTAAACAATCTGGGGGCAGCTCAACATCCGCACTCCCTTCGCGGGGCAACGAAGCGAGTTCTACAGCCTCTACACCTGTGCACCGTGGTGCCTCGGACTCCAGCCGGGAAAGTTCCCGAGCAAATGTAGGCGATTGACTAGAAGAGCTGGAAAGGGAGGAAGAAGGGGAAAGAAAAAGTGAGAAGAAGGAAATAGAATCTAGGAAAAGGCGTAAGAAATCCGAAGGAAGGAGTGAGAGGACATGAGCGGGGCCGTACAGTACACCACGCACCAAGCAGCTTCACACAGTGCTCAAAGCAGAAAATCGCCGGACCCGGAGAAGTCCGCATTGGGGAACGCGCCGCTAACTCAGGTACCTCGGGCCTCTTACCCCACCTCTTCGTTCTCCTACATTACATTGAAAGTTACACTTTACGCTGAAGTAAGACCACGAACAGCTCAGGCTTGACCGAGAGCAAATTGAACGCTCAAGCAGGTCTCCCGCAATCAATTGGCAGCGAGGCACCACCGAGGGTCTGATTGAGCTCGCCGAGGGCAGGAAAACAGGCCCTGCTGACAGCACAGCGTCCACGACACCTGCACAACCCAAGTGGCGGTCAACATGTAGAACACCATATTGGACTCCCTACCGATCCCCAGATGCGCTGCAGCACACCGATGTAGGAGTGCAGCGGCCCGGGCACCGGTATGCAGCCCTTCGTGTGTCACTGCCAGTGAGGTGGTGGCAGGTCAGTCAGTCAGTATGTGGTATCGGGTAGCTCGGATACTTTCGAAATGAAAAGACACACTCGGATCACACCCCACGCGGGAAAGCTCTTGACGTAACCCGGATTTTCCGCATCGCTTCCGCAAGCGATTCCTCCTTCTGACTACTCCTGGCAACCCCCACTGTCAGGCACACCACCATCGCGTGGTCGGCTTCCTCCAGGGTATTGACACTGAGTTCTGGGATCTGCAAAGGCACGAGAGGATGGCTGGGCAAAATTAAACAATGCAGTGCTGGAGAAAAATAAAGCTATGGACGAGCTGGGAATCGAACCCAGGACCTTTCGCATACACTGAAGTATGCTAAGCGAACGCTCTACCAACTGAGCCACACGCCCTTGTAGGATATTGAAAAGGCATGGGAAACGTTCTCTATCAACAGGTCAGCCCATTGCTACCAAGGGCGCAGCTGAAGAAACCTCTAGCAGCAGGAAGACGACTGACAGTCTTCACTAAGACCCCCTGATATTCAGATTCCCTATACGTGTACTGTACTTCTCTATCCCGCTCTATCGTACCTAGTCCAAAGCCAGACGCTCCTCCTGGAATGAAAAACATCACCCCAAACCCGCTGTTTTCCCATCCCCCACGTATCAAACCCCTAGAAACACCTACTATTTCTTCCCACTGCCCGAAGACCTCGGCCGAGCGGTAGCGCCCTTGCCCACAATCTTCTCAGCCCAGTTCCACGACAGGGGGCTCAAGCTGCGCTCCCCGCTCGCGCCGCCCAGAATCCCAAGACCAGCAGCAGAACCACCGTCACCACCACTCGTGCTCCCCTCCGGTCCTCCCTCCCTCCTCAAGGTCCTCCCCCCACTCCTCCCACTGCCGCCATCATCACTCTCATCTCCACTATCCATCCAGTCTCTGTCACTCCACGTGACCGAATCGAGCCGAACCAAGGACGGCCGTGGTGTGCCCCCCGACGAAGCCATATTTGCCGTGCTATCGAGGGACGGAGTCTGATGGCGTGGAGGACTGCGGGGCAGTTCGCCGAGGGTGTCGCCCGCCTCGGCTCCTTCATCATCATCCTGACGCCTTTCTCCCTCCCGATCGGGCTGCCGCTCCTCCTTTACCTTTTTGTTATTATTATCATGATGCCCGTCGCCCTCAACATGTCTGGTCTCGCCTCCCGTCTCGTCGGGGCGCTCGCCGAGGCTTTTAGCCCGCTCAACGTTGCCGACCTCGTCCTCGTCCCTGGTCCGAGCCGTGGCCGCGTCGCTAAAGTGCGCCTCGACTAGGTGGTGCACCACGGGCCAGCCAAAGGCGTTGGCAAACATGCGGCGGACCACGATATTGTTGTGCGCGTCCGGCTCCAGCTTGACGAGGACCTTGCGCCAGGACAGGCCGCGGTGGTAGGCGCGCGCAATCTTCTCCTCGACGCGCATCTGCGAGCTGTCGACTATTCCCGCCTGTTGTGTCTCCGGCTCGGCCTCTGGCTCCGAGGTCGGGAGGGTGTGGACTGTTGACCCGTCGCTGGTCGATCCTTTGGTCTGGGTCGGCTGGGAGGGTGGAGATTGGGATTGCTGGGATAGAGCGGACTCGTTACGGTTGATGGAGGGGGTTGGAGACGGTTTTGGTGAGTGGCCTTCGCTGGAGGCCGCCGCTGCTGTATTGAGAGTTGATGCGTTAGTTGGCGGGGTGCGCTGGTATGACAAGCGCCGCAGGGCCAGGGGACTCGAAGAAGACCGTTCCTTGAGTGGCGGTGGAGGGATGTCCGAGGGATGGTAGACGCGGTCGTGGAAGATGGTCCGGGGACGCTTGGACGGATCGATGAGGTATTCCACGGAGGGTAGTTTGGGATTGAGGAGGTCGCCAGCTGACTCAAAGATGGATGTCCTGGGAGGTGCTGACATATTCTCTGCTTCATCCGCAAGGGCGGTCACCCCGGATTGAGAAGATGTTGCAGAATCGGGACCGGCCTCGCCTTCAAGTTTCAGGGTTTGGCTCCTCTTGTATATCTTGGTCTGTTTGGGAGATTGGGTAGGTGGCGGTTTGGGGGACTCGCTGCGGAATAAGTTGAAGAAGCCGAAAAACGGATTTGCGGTGGTGGTTGTTGAGCTCTGGAGATTCTCCAGCTCGGCAGGCCGAGGCGATTCTTGGTAGGGGCTGGTCATTGACCTAAGGCTCTGCGTGTCGTCTTCCAGTATGGCATTGGTCGGTGGCTGAGGTACCGCGTGTGCGTCCTCAGCGTTGGGCGTTGACTTGCCCGTACCATCCGCCTCTTCCCTCTCCACTGGCGACCAGGGAGCGAGCCTAGGGGTCGTGACAGTTGCCCCCGTCAGTTCTGCCCAGCCGAACCCCACGACGGTTTCCACAAGGCCTGCCTCCCGTCGGGCCTTTTCTACTCGCCCTAGGCCTTGCCAGTCAAGGAAAAGGAGACAGCTTGTCCGGAGTGGCACAATGCCGTCGTTGACCACGTTGGAATATACAGTCCTGTTACGGAACTTCTTAAGCGCTATATGGGCTGGACCGGTCGGTAGGATTCTCAGCAGCGGCTTGGATTCTGGTTGCGGCTCCCCATACACACGCTTATGGGCGCTTTCTCCGAGATTGCTCATGAGAGCGCTCCATCCGTTGCGAGCAAGAGTTGGCGCTCTCCAGGTCAGGCCGAGATCTTGGCCTGTCCTGCCTACCAGCCCAAAGTCGAGAGCGAACTTTACGTAGAGGGGGTTTTCGTGGTTCAAACCCAGAAATGGCGAGGCCATGGCAACGAAGTTTATCGGTTCAATGAGGTCGAAGAAGCGTGGCGAGTGCTTCTGGATGTAGGCAACAGCATATGTTTGTACCAAGCCGCCGAGCGAGTGCCCAATAAAGCTGATCTTGGTAAATTTGTACAACCTATCACCTCCACCTCCTGGTGACGCGGCATGGAGGACAGAGCTATGTTTATGCGCCTCTTTGTGCGCCTCTTCGGCAGCCTTCTTCTGCGCAGCCGTCTTTAGCGTGTGGGCGATGGCTTCTGAAGCTGCTTTCGCCGTGGGCAAGCACGGCTGATCTGGGTAGGTCATGGACAGGACAAATCGGGCCAGACGCTTGCCCAGATACTTGATGCCTCTCTCGGTCTTGGTGGCGTTTCCAGGGAAGCCACGCACAATTACCTCTTCATCATCGTCATCCGAGCTGTTTTCTGCTCCGTTATCATCCGCTTGTCGGCTGCTGTTCTCATCGCCAACTTCTCGCCCCGTTCCGGTATCCGGCGTGGCAGCTGAACTGGTAGAGAGACTGTCGTTTTGAGACATCTGACCTTTCTTAGCAGCGCGCTCCTTGGCCTTGCGCTTTTTCGCATCGGCCTTTGCCTTTTTCACTCCAGCATCGATACTTTCTTTGAGAAAAAGCATATCAGCGCCAAGGTTGCTGTGCAAGCCATGTGTAAGCACCACCAAATGAACCTTTTTTTGCTTCTGCTTCTTCTTTCTTGACTCCTCGGGCCTGCCGCTGCCCATGACAGGCTCGACCGGAGCGTCGGCGCCCTCGCCACTTCTAGCCCTGAGCCACCCCAGGTCGTCCCAGCCTGGCAGCTGTGGGGTATTCCATAGCGCGGCCGTGTCTTCCACTTTGAGATGGATGGCCCTGGAAAAGACGCCTCTCGGCTGCGCCGGGTGGTTCTTGACTGCACCAATACTCTGCTGGTAATCGCTAACGTGTCCGGGCTGGGGAGCTTGCACCTGCCCTCGAACGACGGGTATCACGGAACCGAGGTTCAGCGACTTTTCGTCACGCGCGAGCAAGATCTCATAGTGTACTGAGGCCGATGTTGAGAAGATGACTTGCGAGGTAACCTCGATAATCCAGGACACGGTTTCCCCATCGTGTTCCGGCCCGTTCCCAAACTGGCCATGCTGGCTGCTCCCCTCGCCTGCCGTCTGGCGGATGTTGTCGGGCACTATTAAGTGACAGTTCCACACGGCGCCGGCCTTGAGCATGGGTTCGAACTCGGGCACGCCATAGCGCCGGGGGTTCTCAAACTTCTCGTTCGGGTTGAATGTCGACGGGTAGGCGGCAACAGAGAGCGTGTATGGGCCGTGGACAAAGGCGGCGCGGAGGGCGATGGCGCATGTGTTCTTGATGCGCAGATACAGAAACTCGGGCGACGGGAGGATGTGGTCTGCCGAAGGTCGGTATGTCACGGTATAGCGCACCACCTCCCCAATCTTGACAGTGCCCGTCTGGTGTAGGAGAAGCATTGCCGACATTATACGGATACCGTATGTGGGTCATGTACTCCGGTACTCCTGTGCCAGGAGGTTTGGAAGGGGAATCAAGCGCTGCCAAGGTGAACACCGAAGTAGCATTCAAGACGTTGCGTCACCGTCCACGGCAGACAGGAGCTTCGGCGGGCTTGACGGGGCTGTTGTCGTAGTTGTATAAAATACATCCACGTTGCCGGGCCGTGCTGGGTGAGCGTTCGGGTCCTTAGCCCATCGTAGCGGATGCGATTCTGCAGCAGAAGCCCGGAGCTGTCTCTAGTAGGTCGGCGGACGATAAAGCCGCACTAGCGATTCGAGCGACGCCTAGCTCTGCATTGACAAGTGTTGTGTAACAGACGAACTTCTGGTCAGGGCTGGAGCCTGGACAGCGATTCTGACGGTGTGTAGTGGGCAGCTGGACAATGTCGCGTGCCCCAACGAACTGCAGCTACAGTACGTGTAATAACGTTATCCAGATGCGGGTCAAAGGCTTGGTAGTGTTGATGTCAAGAGTCATAACGTAGGACCTGTGGGCCTGATTCCCGAAATCCTGGGAAGGACGGAATCTAACAGTATTGGAAGGAACATATGGATGATTATTATGTACAGTGCTGTACAGTGTAATGTTGGATATAAGCTGTATTGTATGTATTGAGTACAGTCAGGAAATTACAACAGCGTATGGAGTTCCACCCGGATACTCACGTCACTGGATGAGTGAGTAGGGATCCGTATTCGATCCGGATTGCAGCACCCTGAAATATGGTATGGATACGTTACAGAGTAGGTACTCTGTACGGAGTACGAAGTACTTCGCACACAATACCGGGTATAGACTATAGACGGGACTCTATAAGAGTAATAACTGTAATTTTACCAGCCCCGGCCACGTGACGTGACATGACATTTCTCACAGTTAGGCAATCAGCAAGGGCCCTGGCAGCAACAGGATTGACCGCCAACTTTTTAAGCCGGCAGTATTTTCACATCACCAGGACCCCTCTCCAGCAACCGGCGACGACCTCACCGCAACAAATACAGCATTCACCCCGTCGATGCGCCACACCGCATCCTGATCGCAAAAATGGGGAGAAGACCGAATGCGCTCATTCTGCAGTATTTCGAGAGGGGCCCGAAGCTGCAAGACCAGAGCAATCGCTATCCCCACACGTGCAGATCGTGAGCCACCGCTTTTTCCCCCTTTGTTTTGTTATAATCATCAAGGTCTTTACGTTGGTGTCGTAAAGACGGTCAATTCTTTAACTAACCGGTGCTCGTTGCAATGCCCTTTAGATGCGGAGAGCACTTCCCACGCGGCCGCCTCGATAGCTTGACGAGCCATCTCACCAAGAAATGTCCCGCCATCAGCGAGGCTGAGCGAGTCAACGCTCTGTTGACTCTGTCGGGCATGAGCCATGCTTCTCAGAGGTTGCAGCAGACCCAGCAGGCCCAGGCCCAGGCCCAGGCCCGGGCTCGCGATCAGGCCAATGGCTCACCAGTCGACTTGCCCATGATACAGCGAGACTGGACGGCCCTCGGAGTCCTTGCGGAAGTATCCCGACAGATCGATCTAAACGAAAAGAACGACGATCGCGGCCAGCCCAATGATGCAGTGCCTCCTGCCACCGTGCCAGCCGCGTCGCAGCCTAGCGACCGCTCCGAACAGCAAGAGAACTATAGTCTCGAGAATCAGGCAATGAGCCAGGACGGCGCGACTCCGAAGGGAATCAAGGGCATGTGCAAGAACCAGCGAGACATGGAAGAGCATTGGGTCAGCTGACTGTATCTAGCCGAGCCATTATCGCCAGATGGGGCCAGAGGCCTCACCGCTGAAGAACGTCTGCAAGAGATATTGCGCGCCGAGGATTCCAACATCGGCAGCACAGACTCTGCCAATATTTCCATGGCTGCCGCCGCCACGGCCCGCCTCCACCCCGAGTACCTTGACCCGGAAATACTTGGCGAGGAAGCCGCTGCAGCCGCCGACGCTGCTACAGCTACTGCCGCAGCTGCTGCGGCTGCCGCAACGAACAATCTCCCCGTAGCCGATATGGGCGTCACAGAAGAACCTTCCGCGATACCGACTACCAATGCCCCTCAGCCTTGGGGAGAAATGACCTACGCAACCGACACCTTCCAGGCAAATGTACCAAACAATGGGCCCGCTGCGCCTATCGCGCCTACTACCCCTCTTGCTAAAGGCGGCTACCGCTTAGAGCCGGCCGGCCCGAATGGTGCCAAGTCCCGCCATTCACGTGCGCGTTTCAATGCGGTTAGGAGAAAGGAGGTCCAGGAGGTCCGGAAGATAGGCGCCTGCATTCGCTGCCGAGTGCTTAGGAAAACCTGTTCGCAGGGCTCCCCCTGTGATACTTGTCGAAAGGTCCTGTCTCCCCGGGTCTGGCGCTCGGGCTGCGTCCGCACCAAGTTCTCTGAGCAGCTCGATCTATACTCGGCTGGAGTGCAAATCGTCCTGGCGCAAGCTAGGGTCAACTCGCTCAAACAAGCCATGACTCTCGGCAACCATGGCGTCCTGGTCGAGGCCTGCCACTTCCCAGAATGCGGATTCCGCCTCCAGCTCCAAGTCCTACAGCGCGATCCGGACCGGGACGCCGAGGGGAAGCCGGTCGATTGCACCATCACGGATGATAGACCATCAACTTACCCCATCGTTATGCTAGATAACGACGGCCAAGACGTGGCTGCGAGAGTTGAGACGTATATGCGTGAGGTGCTACCGGAGCTGATCAGACGGGAGCCCTCTCACTTCATGCAGGTCACACTGCAAACCGCTGTCGATGTGGCTGGCAAGACGAATGATGAGCTGCTGAAAAAATCGCTTGAGCTGTGGGGACTTGTCGAGATCCTAGACCGTGAGCGGCAGTGGACGATCAACGCCAAAACCTGGGCTGACGACGCCCCGGCCAGGGCCATCAAAGAAGACACGGACGGTGAGCTCTTCAACACCATCTGTCTTCAGCTCGCTGCCTCGGCCGAGAGGAAGGCCGCTGCTACGAGCAAAGCCCTTCTCACCGGTATGCAGCGGGTTCTGCAAGACAGCAAGGTTAAGATCGATTTCAACATGTATTTCGCCGTCCTGATCCTGCTCAACTGTGTCGAGAAGTCCAGCTGGGCCTTCAAGGCGTGGGAGCAAGAAAACCTGCGCCACCTCTGGCCGCTCGAGAAGGAGCCCGTGAGCTTCGCGCAGCAAGGCTACGTCATTGCCAACCTGTTGCACATGCTCCTGGGCATCCGCAAGGCCCTCCCGCGCACGGCGCGCCGCGAGGCAGACGGGAAGCTGATCACGGAGGAACAAAACCCGGAGATGCGCGAGTATTTTGAGGCTATAAACCTCGACTGTGAGTAGAACCCTGGCCATTCATTGCCTCTTCTCTTTCACCCAAGGCTGGAAATAGCTAACCGGAAATCCTAGTCGCCCATGTCAAGGCCAAGCAGGAGCGCCCCGCCTTTTCACCCACCGATTCACGGTCGTTTGAGCTCCTTTTCTGCTCGACCCTCCTCCTTCCCAGCTCCGACTAGCTAGAGCCTGCTTGCCGTTTTATCCCGCATGGGACTTAGATGCTCCTTCAGACACGCGCCTCCGCCTAAGGGAGTGTGTCACCCTTCGGGTTCTACTTACTATCTTTGATTTTCGGGAATTTATTTTCCATTCCCTCCATTTTCGCTTAGCGATGGATGGCTCACAAGAAGAGCCCATGACTGACTACGCCATGTACGATTATGAGATTTTTCGCCGGCGTCTTGGAGGAGTCGAGTGGTCATGGCCGTGAAACTAATGGTATAATGTAGCGATTGGGAAGGCCCTAAAAAAGAAACATCTGGTTGCTTCTTGCTCAGGATTAAGGGAAATAGAACGAAACAGCTGTCACATCGGTGTCTCGGACGGTTGGAATGTTGGGGAGAAATACCCCATTGTTAGCGTTTTCACGGGTTTGATAGACGAGAATACAGAATCGGTCACTCTTCTGCTTGTTGGGGCCCGGGGAAAGAACTACAGCACCACTGTTGCGTGACGTAAAGTGGTATCCATGTAACTGTACAGACAGAAGGATCTCTCTGCATGCATTGGCAGGAAAACAACACAAATAATTTACTCCCCGAGGACCAACCACACGCTCACCTCTCCCGGTCACTGCCCACTGTATCCCTCCTGTCCAGCGCGGCCTGCGAGCCGGCAGAGCCGGCGCCGCCGGCGGCCCTCTTGGGCTTGCGGAAGCAGGCAAACTCGGTCTTGCTGGCCTCGCGCAGGCGCTTAAGCACGGCGCGCATCTCGGGCAGCTCGGCCTGCAGGCGGGCGCGCGCGTCGTTGTCGGTGCGGCCGTCGAGCTCTTGGTAGATGGCGCTCTGCAGCTCCGACGCGCGGTCCGTCGTGTAGTGGCTCAGCGTCTGGGCGACAAACTCGACGTCGAGCGTGGCCTGCATGAGTGCCTCGAGGTTGTAGCGGGCCCGCGTCTTGAAGGCCTCGAGCAGCTCCCGCGAAGCTTGCTCGAGTAGGTACGAGAGCACCTGCGTCGTCAGCGACGCGGCCGTCGTCGACACCTGCGTGTGCACCAGCACAAGGCCGAGCAGGGCCTCGTAGACGTACGGCCGCACCTCGCGCGGCTTGGACCCCGGCGGCGGCACCCAGTCGGGCGCCGAGACGCCGGCACGGATGATGCGGCGGAGGTTCTCGATTGAGGGGCGCGTGTACGACTGGAAAAGGCGGGCGTCGATCTGACCGAGGACGTCACGGATGGTCTTGGTCTCCTCGGTGAGCTTGACCGAGAAGGCGTTCTCGAACTGGGTGTTAAGGCTGGGGACTACGGTCGAGCGGAGGGCTTGCAGGTTGCTGAGGGTCAAGAGCATGCGGATGTTCTGTTGTGCGTGTGTCGGTTAGTGTAAGCAGATTATGGGCAAGGCCTGGGAAAGGCTTACTCTATCGGTGGCATCAATGGTGGGCCCGCCAACCGCAGACACGGAAAGGCGCGCGTCTGCCGGTGCATTCACGAGCACATAGCCGTCGGTGTCCACGGTCCAGTCGTCGTCCGACTTCTTGGGAAACCGCTCAGCGTTCTCCACCATTCCGCTGAGGGCCTTGTAGAGTGTTGTCACATATTGGCTGCGCACCATCTGCAGCAACTTTGTCGGCGGAGGGAGGACAATATCCCCCGCTCCCGGTTTCGACATGGCTTCAGAAATGTAGAGGATCTTCTGCATCCCACCGAGAAGCGCTCCCTCAAATGCCGCAAAGCTAGTGGGCATCTTAGTCACGTCCTTACTGTCCGGCGAACGGTTCCAGTCCTCAACATATTTGATGTTTTCTGCATCCCGGTTCCAGGCCGCGCAGAGCGCTGTCACGCATCGCTCTCGAGCAACCCCAACTAAGGTCTTCACCCGTTCCACCTCGGCCACATCTCCTTGGCCAACCGGGGAAATGGAAGCCATGTCCGATGCGCCGGCACCAACAAGGGCCAGCATCTTGGAGAGGTAATGCACACCGCTGAGAGAGTTCGACCAAGGGGGCCAGAAAGCAAACTTCTCCCATGCCTCGCCTCTTTTTGGAGATGGCGGAGGCGGGTTGCTTGGATCAAGGTTAAAGCGAGGATCCCTTGGTGTAAGAGCGCCGGAGATTGACGCAGTACCGGGTGTGCTTGGAGTTAGCGGCAATGGAGAGAATAGTAGCGAGATATCTTCGGGAGGGGGTCCGGCAAAGAACATGAGAACATGCTCTCGGATCATGCTAACCAACTCAACGGTACCTTTCTGGAGATCAACGGTCCCCTGTTGGGAGAGCCGATGATGCTCCTTGGACTCCCCGTTGTAGCCGACTGGCAGACTCCTCTGCGTCTTTCCATCAATGAATCCTTGAACAGTCTGCCAGAATTCGAGCACCTGGCCCAAGATGCCCTGAGGAGAAAGAAGGTTGCTGATGAAGGCAACATTCATTTCCCAGAGTTCAACCACATCCGCAGAATCAAATGTCTTGGTCCTTGTCTCCATAGACTGCCGACCAAGGGTGCGCATATGAGATGCAATGGTCTGGGGACTCGGCTTCTCGGCATTCGCCAGGCGCCGACGCAGGATTTCAATCTCGACCTTGGATCGCTCAGCTGTGGACTGGATTTTGCTCTTCAGGTAATCGTATCGACTCAACAGCCAAACCCAAATGGGGTTATCTTCGACACCCAATTCCAGCAGAAGGGTGATCAGTTCCATGTGCCGTTCATCCTCGGGTTGGCCCGGCGCCTCAGTTTTTGTCATGTTGAAAGGAGAGATTAGCCTTCGCCATACGTCGCGCTTGAAAACCTGGATCTGCTCCTCAACATCATGCCACATGCGCGCCGCCAGGAGGATACGGCGCAACTGGTCCTCGGTTGGCTGCGAGGATGCAACCTCCTGGGCGAGCTGTTTGGCTTCATCGGCAAATCTTCTCGCTTTGGTGTACTCCTCAACTAGGGTCTCGTGGTCCTTACGCTTGATGCTATCGGCGATTGCGACGCTCGTCTCGACATATTCCTTGTACTGATCGAGAGAGGATGCTACTTCTTTGAGCTGTTCCTCTTTCTCCCGTCCGCCTAGCGCAGGCCCCCAAACCTCCTCGGCTTTCGCTGACACGTCAAGCAGCGGTGCCTTTACACCCAAGACACCGTATTCGCTCTCCTTTATGAGCGCATTCTTCTTGCGCGGGTCCGTCGCGGGCGAAAGCGGACTGGCAATGGCAACAGGCCCGCTGCCAGATCGAAAACTATTCCTGCTGGCATGGCGAGAGTGGCCCCTGGCACGTGGAGGAGTGGGATCCGCGCCACGATATTTCATTTCCTTGTAGACATTGTCGATGGTGGCCTTTGCGCGCACGAAGCGCTCGAAATTGGATTCGACAAGGACTTTGAGAGATGCGGACTTTTGGTCGATGGACTGGGAGAGCACCTCAAGACCGTTTATCAGGGATTGCGTGTCGGCCGTGGCATGCATTTGCGACAGGAACAGCGCCGGCGAGAAGGTGGTTGAGGAGAGGAGGAACCGGTTTCCTGGTCACGGCCACGTGTTAATTGCGAAATCAAGCCGCCAGCCAGAGCACCCGATATTCTCTGACAGACTCACGAAGCTTCAAGTCATCCTGCAGCGGGACACCCAGATGTTTGAGCGTACGCACGACGCTGTCGGTCGTGCCCAGAGGATCGGGTTCGTCCTTCTGCACCAGGTTGCCTACACCGCTCCCAGAGTTCTCGGAGCCCGGGACAATGCTGCTCCTGGTGCTCACGGCTCTTTCCAGAGCCTGATACCTCGATTTCCTCCTGTTCGCCTTCTTCTTAGTCGTCTCTTCCTCGGATGCGTCGCTGTCATTGTTTTTCTCCGCCGGCCATTGGGCAAAATTGAGACTGGATATTTGATAGAAATCGAGGACGTTTCGCTCCACGTCGGCCATGGTGTAGCTTAGGCAGCTGCCAGGGTTGGTGAACTAGGATGACGATACGCTCTCTGCTCAGTCCGCTGCTTCCATTTGCATTGCCAAGGTCCCTTCTCTCAAACGATAATGGAAGGATGTCAGCCAGGCAGGGGGTAGTGTGGGGGACAGCTCGTGGGAAGTGGGGATTCGGATCTGTAAAGGGTTTGGCGCGTTTTGAACCCCACAGATGGGGTGGGCTGGGCCGACTTCTTAGTCGGTGTGGATGAAGATGATTCTGCCGTCCTTTCAAGGCGGTGAAGCACAGGCTAGATTTTCATCGACGTAATGGCCCTCTTTAGCATCTCGGTTTTCGCTAGTACCGACCGAGATCCCTGTCGTTGGCGCACGGCCCACTCGGTTTTCCCGAGCCAAAACTTGCATCAGTTGCGGTTGGTTGCAGTGCAATCGATTGCAGTTTTTATCTGCGCGTGAATCTCCATCCGACAGTTTCTGTACATATCCGGCGGCGGCATATCGACAATACTGCTGTGCCTTTGTCGAGAGCATATAGACGTTTCTAGGAGGTTTTCTTCGGCAGATATTCATAACCATGTTAGCCCTTCGACAGATCACTGCTCCCATGCAGCGGCAATGCTGGCGCGCAGCTCCCCGCGCCGTCGATACTATCTCACTGCAGGTGCGACGATAACTTCGAAATCGATACAACGTTTGCTGACACCCGTTCATCTGGCAGAACCGGAGACTATACTCGTCGCAAGAGTCTGTCGCTAAATTCAATGGCCAGAAAGATGCGCAGGTATGCAGTGCTTCCAACTTGCGCCAGACATTTCGCTCGAAAATCACTCAAACGCAACACAACTGCAGCGGACACGAACACAATCAGGGAAGCTAATACATATCTCATAGGGCCGCTACACTGTCAGCTTGATCGAGGGTGACGGCATTGGCCCCGAGATTGCCGTCGCTGTCAAGGACATCTTTGCCGCCGCAAAGGTATGTGTTGCTTCCGTTCGCCCGGCACCGTCCGCATGCTAACCCGCGATAGACTCCCATTGTCTGGGAACCCATCAATGTTGATCCCATTATCAAGGACGGCAAGACGGCAATTCCTGACGCTGCCATTGAGAGCATCAGGAAGAACAAGATTGCTCTCAAAGGGCCCCTCGCCGTATGTGACTTCCTACCTTGATGGTCTTCCCTTGATTTCTTGGCCTTGCTTGCTGACAGCAGCGATAGACGCCAATTGGCAAGGGCCATGTCTCTCTTAATCTCACCCTCCGTCGCACGTTCAACCTCTTCGCAAACCTCCGTCCCTGCCGGTCTGTTGCCGGGTACAAGACCCCTTATGACAACGTCGACACGGTTTTGATCCGCGAAAACACCGAGGGCGAGTACTCAGGCATTGAGCACGTGGTGGTAGATGGCGTTGTGCAGAGCATCAAGCTCATCACTCGTGAGGCTAGCGAGCGGGTCCTGAGATTCGCCTTCCAGCACGCCCGGGCCATTGGACGCAAGAAGGTGCGCGTCGTGCACAAGGCGACTATCATGAAGATGAGCGATGGCCTGTTCCTCAACGTGGGTCGTCAGGTTGCCAAGGAGTTCCCAGACATCGAGTTCGACGCCGAGCTGCTCGACAACACCTGCTTGAAGATGACGACGGACCCGACCCCGTACAACGACAAGGTTCTCGTCATGCCCAACCTCTACGGCGACATTCTGTCTGACATGTGCGCTGGTCTGATTGGTGGCTTGGGTCTGACGCCCTCTGGAAACATTGGCGACGAATGCTCCATCTTCGAGGCCGTTCACGGCTCTGCTCCCGACATCGCCGGCAAGGGCCTTGCCAACCCTACCGCCCTCCTGCTCAGCTCCATGATGATGCTGAGACATATGGGCCTAGGCGAGTATGCGGACCGGATCGAGAAGGCTGCTTTCGCCACCCTGGCAGAGGGCAAGGCTTTGACTGGCGACTTGGGCGGGAAGGCGAAGACGAACGATTTTGCGGCCGCTATCATCGAGAAGCTATGATACCATGTTATACCTTAGGTTGTACTAGTATTGCAGCCAACCTTCGATAGCGTGTTGGCTGTTGGGTAACGATGACGATTGCAATGACTTTCCTAGTCCCAGATGGCAGTGCGCCCTGAGCTTCCCGCTGCTGCCCAAGCTTCCTGCGCGCTCGTGCTCGAACACCGCTCGAGGTCGTACAAAGACAATATGTTCTGCGAAATATTTGTCCGGTACCTGTCACAAATGTCTAAAACCCGCCGTCTTGGCTCTCATGCCGGTTGGGGGCTGAGGTATCAGTGAATATCGGCTGTGTACAAGTACCTAAGCCGCCAGTCTTCAAATTCGCCAAGCACAAGAAAAAGCCTTTTTGTGCATCCAAGCCAACCTTCGGAGCCCATAATAGGTAGTCGGACGCATCAGATCACGACAGCTCTTCAGCTGCCGATTCCATCAATACCGATCTACATGGAGGTGACAGCCAAGCCTTGCATGTGTATGGCGGTTGCTGCAAGAAGCAGGTAGTTAAAGCACCAGCGGCCTGTGACAGATGAGCGTGTAAGAGTTGAGGTCATATCCGGCTAGGCTTGCTACGTTTGCTCAAGCGGCATAACTGTAGGCTAGAGGGATGCTTTGCATTAGCCTGCTTGACGAACACCAACAATAGACAGATCTACTGGGTTCTGAGCACAACCCTCATCTTGTATACCTGTACCTTGCATCGATTTCCTCAGATGATGGAGTCGGGAGCTTGACCCAGCATTACAATCGTGCCAGGTGCCTGGTCTTGAACCCCTTGGTCCGTCAGTGGCATTGAACCTGGCTGATCTTCATGGTCAACGGAGGGGAAATCCGACTATGCACTGGAGTTGCATGACGCTGCCAACAGCATCCTGGCTCAATCAAGAAGGTATCTGTCTGATGTTCTTTGGGTTTCTTTGAACCCTATTCCCCGGATTTGTCTCGCGGCATTCGTGCGGCAGTAGCACCAACCCGCCAAGGGAGGGCGGCCCGGTTACCACCACATGTCGATAATATCGACTACAGGATCGAATTGCGCCGGCGACTTTGATAGGCTCAACGGGCATCCAGCTGACCTATTACATGGGGACAATATCGACTTTTCCATGTCAGCCATATTCGAGCCGCGACAACCGCGTCTTGGAGGGTGAATATGGCTTGGGTGAGGGCGGAGAGGAATTAAGCAATCCTTGGCCTAGAACCTAGCAGAAAGCCCGTGCCGGAGAGGGGTACTGTACATACAGTAGTGAATACATACGGGCATCGTGCCTAGGGCGGTTAGAACGCGGGCAATCGAAACGGCGTAGAAGCATTGAATCATGCCCATGCACGGGAGCCTGGGTATGTTATTTTGAAGGCCGAATGGGATGTCCACCACCTTTCTCTCCTACCCAACATATCCAGTAGGACGGAAGAGACCCTGATTCCGCCGCGGGATAACGCAAAATTGAGCGCACCGATCTCAGGGGCATGTCGCATGCGAGGTTCCAGAGCCCATAACCAATAACACCATCTGCAGATTGCCAAATCCATGGCAGGCAATTGCTCGAAATCCGGGATGAAGGTGAACATATTTGCCGATGCCAAAGATGGCGAGCTCCGCGTTGATCACAGAGGTCTTGGGAGTTGGTGGCCTGAGGGCCCGGCTAGCACATGGCACAAGATAGGATAGTCTGGGTAAAGTGAATGGCGTTGCGAGTGTTCAAGACACGGCATGGACCTCGGGGAAAAGTGATACCTCGAGGATACCTGGGTTACACGTCTTCTGTGGTATGGTAAGGACAAGGTATGTGCGTGCCGTTCTTGGGCAGTGGCTTCGCTTCACCACAGGTCTTCCCACTTGGAAAGAAGCTGACGTGTATGTAGGTAAGGTATGTAGGTAAGAGGACAACTTGGAATCTAGGCCGAATGCCCGCGGCTTGATACATCGGGTAGGTATCGTTTTTTCCCGCCGCAGCTTCGCGCAGAGATTCCGCATGTAGCCAGACCTGCCGTGCCAAGAGAATGGCTCTGCCGTGTGCTGCACAAGGACGGCATCATTGCAACATGCACGCAGGGCCTGAATTCGGGTTGTAGTGCGCGGTTCGAATCGAATGGGATTGCGAGGGAAGCTGGAAGGGGGGTGCCCAAAATTCGAGGAGAGCGACGACCGGGCTTTGAAGGGCATCTCACCACCACTTACCCAACTGAGAATCCAGGGCTTCGATTATTGGATGGAATTCCCACGTTCGGCGAGCGCGGCCAAGAAAAGAGGCCCCGCTAAAACGAAAGCGGCTTAACATTTGGCATCTGGGGAAAGGCAGAAAAACATGATATTCTGGGGCCAACATCAGATTGGGAAATCTATCACGCACACACACAAGACTGGGCTTATAGGGAGTACCAGCAACCCAACCGCCGGGGCAAACGTGGCGTGAGATGGCCCTCCTGTGCAACGAGGGCAAATGGAAAAAAATCACTCATCTATCTGTTGTCACTCGTTATGCCGCACACCACGTACAATATTTCTCTAGCCCGTCGATCCTGCAACGACCTGCAACGACTTGCATTGACCGGGCTCGCTTTGCATGGAAAGCGACGGGGGAGTGACGGCACGTTGTTCAGTTTGCCCACCGAATGCCAAGCTCCATAGCGAATTGGATGGCAACGCCCGTGCCACCATGCAACCGTTGGGGCCGTTAGGGAGAGAAGGAGCGTCAGGAGACTGCTCTGCGTTTTGATGGAGAAGGAGCGTGAGTGCCACATTCGACCTTCGGCTGCTCACCGGAGCTGGACATGACATCTAGAAATTATCGGTCCGAAACTTGGAGCGACCCGACCTTGGCCACCCGCGCTTCTTCCGTCGGCCCCAGATGTTTACCAAGATGTACCGGTACGCAACGTCCCTGGGGGACTCTCTCTGAACTGACAGCCAGCACCGCGCTTTTGGCTTACAGCGTGGGTGTCCAAACTACAAAGAGTCTCACTACCTGAATTAACAGCAAACTTCCACAGTGATTCGACTCGTTCTGCGGAGTCTTCTCCGCCCTGCAGGCTTTCCCGTTTTGGAAAACCCGCCGGTTAGGGCTAGTAAACCGAAACTGGAGGTCTTCGATCCAGGATTCCAGGTACCCGCAACCCGAGCAGTCTTGTCTGGGGAAACGCTGTTATACGGCGATATACGGTGTTATACGGCCGTTTGCTATGTAATAAGTTGGAATAATCCGCTTCATTATCTTTCGAGCTAGGCCGGCTGCTGTCAGAGCCGGCTGCAGCCCCGACCCAACATTCCGCCCACCCACCACACCAGATTTAAGCGTACACAGATTGATGATGAGGTCCGGTACATTTTACAGTAGTAAGTTGAATACGATACAGGTAGGGTATTGGATTGACGCGAACGCAACTGGCTGGAAGTTTTGGGGTGAGGTGCTCCGATCTGTGCAACGCCCAATACAAGGATACCGGGGTTGCGTGTAAGCGCGGCTCGCAAATGGCTCATTCCCTCAATTAGGGCACACAGACTGCCAGATGGACTAGTACATGCTACCTACTGTATGTACTTACCTTTTTGCTGGCCCACACCCGGCCTTCCTTTCCAGAAACGGCGTTCCTCGTTAGGTCCGCGGGCGTCGGGCGTGGGCGGAGAGTCGGAGACTCGTGTAAGCCATCCCGCGAGCCCGGTCTATATAACTCTCTCCTTCCCACCTTCCTGCTGTCGCTAGCCAGATTTTCTTCTCACCACTGCCACCATTCCCCTCCCGTTATTTCTCGAATCTGACTGTATCTTTGTTGACCTCAAGAAGCAACAAGGCTCTCCGACAGTCAATTCTCCCACTCACTTCAAGAGTTCCCACACACCACCTTGCGCAATGCCTTCCGCAGCCGAAGACGCTCGCCTCCGGGCCGCTATCGAGCAAAAGGGCCTCAAGTTCCAGATAAAAGCAGGCAACGCCAAGTGGCAATGTACCATCCTCGACCGGGCCACTCAGTAAGACAGCAAACTTCTTAGCTCTTCTGGAATACCCTTGGTGCTGACTTTCCTTTTGCAGTGAAAGGCAAAAGGCCACCCGGACCGGCTCGGCGTCATCTATTTCATCTACCGAGTCATCCTCAAGCTCGGCCAAGTCAACCTACTAAGACTTTGCCAAAGTCATTGACGGGAGCTTGTGGCATGGAAAGTCGGTGATCACGTCTCTTGCTCTTTCCTGGTTGGCAGTGGAAAAGGGGAAGGCATGATCGGCTCTCCCTGTTGCAATGTTGCAAACAGTTGGGCATCTCGGTCTCGGGGCTATTTTGTCTGTGTCAACTCCGAACCAGGCGCACGTATCTTACCTGGGCGCGTCAAATCGATGGAAAGCCGACGACCCGTAATAAGCGGCGGTGGAGTAGGGGTCGTTGTGTGTAGAACCGCTACCCTCGGAAACCTCGGCGCAAAAATGCGGATTGAACTTCTTTTATCGGGTTATCGGTGTTTGGAGGGAGCAAAAGGGGAATACCTATTCGGAAAGCGTGGCTTCTCGCTTTACACGGCGCTTGATTGACGAGTTTGTTGATATTTACCATGATCAAACATCAAAAGGGCAAAACTACTACCAACAAAAGGGTTCAAAACATAGCATTTCGAACCTCCTGCGCAATCAAGTCCAGGTCAGCCTCGGTCGGATGAGTGATCGGTAGTTGCACCGACAGAATCCCCAGATCCTGGGAAAGCTTGTTTTGTTCCCCTTGTGGGGGTTGGCCGGGCTTGCAGGTGGCTGACGGATTGTTCGTTGCTCGTCGGATCGAGACTGATCGCCCTGCCGGCCGTGCCGTGGTCGTTCAACCCGGGCAGGGCTTATCCCCGCAGAGTACCCAATCATGCAGCCTGAAGTACGTAAATTTGAGGTGAGACCGGGGTAAAGGGTTGGGGGTCGGTTGGGGGTTCTGGCGTGCCATGATCTCAACCATCCCCGTCTCGGTTTCGGTCTGTAGTTCCTTTGCCAATGAAGCCCGGTGACAGGATGAGCGGGCTCGGGTCTTATGTAAGTGAGATGCTGTTGGACCAACGCACACATGCTGCTACTCCGGGTTTGGAAACGACAACGGTGATGGGCTGGTGGCCCTAATTGGCAGCTCAGCATCTAGGTACAAACTCAAAGCGCATAAGATGCTTCAAGAAACGCCTTTCATCAGTTTCCTAAGTATTGTACCCCCGTACCTCGGAGTCTCTCAGGGGTTCGCACCTGTAGTCGAGGAGCAGGATACATCCCCTGACTACATGGACTGTAAATGTTGGCTTCTGCATGTCAAAGTGACAAACTCAATTCAAGCCCGATCAGTAGCGGTTGGCTTAGCGAATCTAGCCACGGAAACTCAGTGAGAGTCTATCTCATGATCCTCATCCAAGGTAAGGTGAGCCGTACGTACATAAACACACCTAAGCGTTCGCATGATATTCGTGAATCCTCTGTGATTACTAGAATACATGACATTTGATGATGATTTTCTAGGCTGATATCAATGTGAACGGCTTCCCACCCTGCGTACCTTACATTCCCCGCAACGGGCTTGCGTGCCTCAGGAGAGGTGTGACAAAGTCGCTCACCAGTCTTGGCAAAAGCTTCATTCGACTTCAAAGGCGATAACAAGCCAGGCGAGCCGAAAGCCCATGCTAGGGATGCCCGAAGCTTTAGGAAAGGCCGACTGGTGTCGTTCTTGGTACTCAGATGCCGCTGCAAAATATGAAGCGTTGATTCATTTGATACATGATTGAAAATTTGAAATGTACTTCGCAGCTGAGAGTTTGGGTTGGTTATGTAGAGCCATAGATAACTGCGTGATCTATCCCCTGATCAGCTTTCCTGTACTAACGTAATCGCGTATCCCAAAAACCTTTGTCAACCTCGGCAACAGGCTGAAAAATAAACATATCCAGGTATTTGTGCTTCGTTACACAAGATCCGGCTTGAGTCTTCGAGTCCAAGGCGAGCTGGACCTGAAATGATGACCTCAGCCCTTCTTTATTTGATAACGTTATATCGTACCTTACGTTAGTTACCGGTACTGTACCGTACATGTAATACGTTACATACAAAGCCTTGAAAAGCGGCGTTAAGTGGAAGAGACTAAGGATATCGAGCCAAAACCGTCCGTGGTTCCGTCATGGCATTTCCATTTCCCGAATAACACGTCCAAGGTCTAAAAAGTATTCGAAGGGTAAGGTCTTGATGTTGCTTCTGATGCAGCCTCGTAACTTACATACGTAAGCGGCTTACCGAAACGGTCCCAAGCTCCTTTAAATGTTCGATAGCCCGGCCCGCCGCCTTGCCGCCGCATTTCCCACTCGCTTCCCCGCTCAACTCTCGATCTTGAAAGTCGCCTGGTCAACGGGCGAATTCGGATAAGGAATTGGCTCAGGATCACAATGCCGGTGCCAGTCGCTGCCAAAGGTGAGTTCAGAGTGCTTCAATGATTGTTGCTCCGCGTTTGCTTGTGTTTCCAGACCTGTGGCTGCCCCGCGCAAACCGTTGCGAATCATGGCGGTCGCCTGAACCTTGTGGCGAGATTGCCCCGCCTACGGCCACGCAATCCTCCCTAGCAGCCTCGTCTAGTTGCCACGACGGCTGAGCTTGATGCATCCTCCCGTCCCTCTTCTTTCAATTCTTCTCTTGACTGTGCTTTGGTCAACAACGTAGCCTGCATTTCCACCGAGAATCTTTCTCATCAATCCTGTTTTCTGCGCATCCCGGCCCATCTGATTTGTGAGCATGCCACCCGTTAACCATGCTGCCCTCGCCTCAGTTGGCATCATTGCCGCATCGGTAGCGGTGGCCGCAGCCATTGCTTTGTACGAAAGTCCAGAGGTCCGTCGCGTTGCAGAAGACCTCCGCAGACGCATCGCCATCGCTCTCCATTCTCTTGGTGACAATGTCGACCCAAGCAGGCGAGAGCCTCGCTTCAATCGCCCCGAAGACGCCGAGGGCTTCTATCAGTCGCACGATGTCGACGCCGACGATGAGACGCGGAGGAGACAGCGGGAAGAATTGATGTACTGGAATGCTATCCGCGAGGAACAAAGGCAACGAGAACGCCAAGGTTCACAGCAGCGTACGCCATCGCATCTGGGGTCGACTTTCGACGACTTCCTGGAGCCTGACGGCTCCGGGGAGCACGGAACCCTTGTCTTCAATACCGGCGCAAAGACTTGGGATTCCGACTCAAATAACGTGCTTAGACGCCGAGGCAACTTGGCGGGTGCTAGGGGCCTCGACATGTCTGTGATCACCAACCCCTTCAGTGACGAGCATGGCATCGAGATGGACGAGCGGCCACGCTTCCTTGAAGAGGAGGCCACGGATCTGTATCCTTTCCTTAAAGAGCAGCAGCACACCGATCTACAGCGCAGTCATGATGGAGCCATGTCAGACATCTACAATGCGACGCCGCTGGTCCGATCCCCCGAGCTTGCTCGGTCCCACGCCACGCTCTCTCCGCAGCCGAAGCCCGTAGCGGCCGAGGTCCTCTTTGACTTTGACTCCCATTCCCAATCAAATACACGCACCGAGTATTCGACTGCAGTAGAACACGGGCAGCAGCAGCAACAGCGAGAAGGCACTGCCACATCCACATCCCGCAGCGTCACGCTTGAGCGTGACCTCGCCGAGGACGAGTACATGACGGCGGGGCAAGACGATCGGTCGGCTTACGCTTCGATCCAGGCATGGGCGCAGAACTCATCTAACCCCGGGTTCTACTCACCTCTGCCCGTTTCTCCGCCGGCGCCCGTCTCGGAACCGGAGCTGATCAGCGAGGGCCAGCTAACCCCGACAGACTCAGTCTCGGTGGTGGATGTTGCAAATGACACAGTGTCGTCCCGGGGGGGGTACGACGTCATGAGCGAGACGGATGACGGCATTCCCACTCCTCATTCATGGTCCGAGGTGGGAAGCGTTATTAGCGAGAGCGAGAGCGCAGCGCGCGCGTAGATGGCTGAGGGGTATTCCGGTGTTTATGTTTGTTTAATGGTGTTTGAAGTTGTTCACAGCATTCCGATGGGCTTTTACCTGGGTAGGCGTTTTTAGGCACACTGGAATAGGGTGAAATCGGTCGAACGAGGGACTACTTGGGTATTATTTGGAGACATGATGGGTATTCTGATAGGGATTTGGTTGGCTGCTACACTCCTGGCGACGATCGTATTGTACTGAAAGAGCCCAAAGAGGCTGGGTACCTCTCTCATGGTATGTTTCAGGTTCAAGATAGACGATCTTCTATTCACTATACCTATATATGATCCGTCTCTCCCCAAACGTACGATTCACAGCTTATTTACAACTGGTACCCACCCCCCCGGTATTATCCTAAACTGTACATGTCAGGTCTATGTTCAGGTTCGCTCCTCTCCACCCTCGCAGTTCTCAACGTAGTCGCTGTACAGCTTCTCGACGGTTTCGCCCAGCAGTTCGGGCCAGAACCGCTTGGCATCGTATTTGTGCCGTCGCAATTTGTCGTTGAGGCGGCGGATCGTGCCCTCGCCGAAGCGCAGCTCGAGAAACTGCAGGAAGTAGGCCGTGTGTTGATATCCTCTGTCCCAGGCTGATCGGGGTGAAGGGGAAAAGGGGGGTTAGTATATAGCAAAGAGGTTGATATGAGGGATCTTAACATACCACCATCCGTTTCGCGCTTCCAGTGCGGTGGGCTAAGATCACAGTTGAGGCGCACCCAGTCGGCAAGCCCCTCGATCAGCCCCCCGGGACAGCTGCCATGGGCATCCCACTGATAGCAGTGCACCAACTCGTGGGTCAAGACGCCGGTGATCTCAGGGGTGAGCCGAGAGGGTGGCTTGATGGAGTTGATGTAGCCGAGGGAGAAGTGGATTTCTTTGTGATCGTTGTCTAGGTCCGTCTGTTTGGGAGGAAGGCAAGAATGACGAGTTGGATCGGGTTAGTCACATCAGACCGAAAAGGGAAAGGTAGCTAGAAGGTGAAAGGGTGAAGATGAGAGAGGGATCTTGTTGGTGGGAAAGGGCATGGGTGTCGAAGGAGTACGGGACATCTAGGACAAGATGGAGCAAGTAACTAGAGTTCCTACCCCCGTTGTATAGGCGACCCCATCCATGTCACGCAGTATAAGCGTCACAGACCGGGTCGGGGGCACTGTTGTGTGCCGGTCTGACGGCGAGCGATAGAGCAGTCTCAAGACATTGTCTACAGCAGTGGAGAGGACGGTGGCAGGGTTGACAGCGCCGAGAAATTTAGACGCGCCGGGGTGGTCGAGATCGTGGATCTGGAGGCGGAGCTTCGGTTGTGGAAAGGTGCAGTCCTCCTTTCCGTTTCCGCTCCGATCCGGCTTTTCTCCGTCTTGCTGTTGATCTTCGGCCGCTGACCCCGGGTTCCGTTGTGGGACCGCAACCGGGGAGGGGACCGGGCCCGCGGGCCCAGCGTTACTTCGTATCAAGGTATCGGGAAGACCTTCGGATGGTTTCGAGACGAAACCGGTTTGTTCGCGCAGCGTCATGGCGTCGGAGAAAATTGGATACTACGTGTATGTATGTACAGAAATCAAGCTTGCATGCACAGAGGTCATCATTATCGTGATGTTCGCTTCAGCCTGTTAATACAGTACAACTCCTTACAAATACGGATACCTACCTGGTAAGAAAAAGTTAGTCCGAAAAGGTGTTGTATATATCTGGCTTATATTGTATTTTACATTACTGTACCGGCAGCCTCTAGCTATCACAAGCTGATCCCTGCACCCTTGTTTATTGCCCCTGCCGTTGACTGGGGTTACGGAGAGCCCCGCGATTGCTAACCACCACACGGACATGGTTCAACTTTGAGCTAATTCGCGCCGACGAACATCACCATTATCACGATATCCCAATATCCCAGCAAGATCTTCGGGTGCCTACTTGGAGTGTCTGAAGACTGCGCGCTTTATCCAGATCACGCCGAATAGAGTGGCACTGATTGTTCTGTTAAGGATACATAATATTCGAGATCGAAACACCAAGAGGCCCATCAGCTGACCAGTGTTTTTTTTGTTTTCTTTCTTCCGCTTTCCGTAACCGACAATTACAACGTTCCCTGTACAGCACGCATCGATTGCGACACGCGCACTACTACAATCCTCTCTCTAACAGGGGATGGCAGAGAAGCTCACCGAAAAACAGGTCGCTGACCTTGTCGCCATTCTGCGCACCGATGCCTCGATCGATGCCAAAGTCCAACAGGTGACGGGAGTGAAGTCTAGCATAAAGCAGCACAATGTCCCCGAACCTTGCATCGTTCCCCTATTCGATGCGCTGCGCACAGCTTCTAGCTCCCAGCACGCCGTTCTCGTCAATGCTGGTTTTTCGGCCCTCAATCACCTGCTCGCCCGACTTTCGCGACAAGAGCCCAAGTATCTCTCCAAGGAGGCTTCCCGGACTCTACCGCTCGTCACCGAGAAGCTAGGTGACCAGAAGGAGAAAATACGCCAGCTCGCGATCCAATGCTTGGTAACAATATACAAGGTCGCTTCTCAGGACGTCGAGCGCCTGGTGCGCGACACCGTCATGACCGGGAAGAGCTCTAGGGCCAAGGAGGCCGCCTTACAGTGGCTTCTACAAGTGGGCATAAGATGTAAAGCCCAGTTACATGGCTTCGAATGAGCTAACACGTATTGTAGATGCACCAAGAACACGGCCTGCAGTTCCGGGCCTATGTCCCGGCACTGATGGAGCTGCTGGAGGATGCAGATGGCATGGTACGCGAGGTGGCCAAGTCCACAGTGATCGAGCTGTTCAGGTACCATCTTACAACCTGGCCCATACTCGGCGGGGCCAGAAGCTTACTTGCCAGCAGGAACGCCCCCAACGCAGCGAAATCAGACCTCAAGAAGCAGCTAAAGAATTTCAGGGTCCGGCCGGCGATAGAGCAGGCAATCGTCAAGGAGCTCAATCCTACGGGCTCAGGCCTCGTCTCGCAAACTGAAAGCTTGAGCGAACCTCTTCCGTCTCAACCCACTCTTGCCGCGAGTGTCTCGTCTCTCGCCGAGCGGCCCGTCACGCCGATGCTGGACAACCGCCCCGATCAAGTAGAGCCGCTGTACGTGAATACCCAGCGCGAGCTCGAAGAGATTTTGAGAGAGATGCATTTCCATTTCGACGGCAAGGAAACAGAGCAAAACTGGCTGAAGCGAGAAGAGAGCATCATAAAACTGCGAAGACTCATAGCCGGCAACGCGGCGACCAACTTCAGCGAACCGTTTCTTAGCGGGCTTAGGGCGCTCCTAGACGGGATCATCAAGGCTGTCACCTCGCTGAGGACCAGTCTCTCCAAGGAGGGCTGCAGTCTTGTTCAGGACATGGCGAGAGCGTACGGTCCTGCGATGGACCCAATGGTGGAACTGCTCATGCAGACGTTCGTCAAGCTCACAGCCGCCACCAAAAAGATCAGCTCGCAATTGGCAAACGCCACGGTCGATGCCATCATCTCGAGGGTTACCTACAACGCGCGTCTCATGCAGCATATTTGGCTTGCGTGCCAAGATAAAAATGTCCAGCCGCGGCTCTACGCATCTGGTTGGCTGAAAACGCTACTGAACAAGGAAGCCAACCACAAGAACCATGTCGAACATACTGGTGGACTGGATCTGATTGAGAAGTGTATCAAGAAAGGGCTCGGTGATGCAAACCCTGGCGTGAGAGAGAAGATGCGTGCGACCTACTGGACATTCGCCAATATCTGGCCGGCAAGGGCCGAGGCTATCTTGAACGGGCTCGATCCAACGGCGACGAAGCTGCTGCAGAATGACCCCCATAACCCGAACCCTCCCAAGAAGTCAGAAGTTGCCGCACGCCCTGGCTTAGGCCTGTCTAAGAGCACCATGGGAACTTCAAAACCGAGTCTCCGTGAAACCATGCTCGCGCAGAAGAGAGCAATTGCATCCAAGACCATCCCGCCCCGTCCGGGCTCAGCCATGTCACACTTTTCGCCTGTCCGGACGGTGTCGGGCACCTCTCAATCCTCCTCGGGCACCACAACATCCACAGTGCGCACAAGGCCCGAGTCAGTCATTGGCTCCACAGGCGGGCTCTCGGGAGCTCCTGTGAGGCCTGGAAGGAGAAGACCGGAAGTAGCTGCTCGTCCAGCGACAGCGGGGCCGTACTCTGTTAGAAGCCATGACCAGCCCTCAACCGAGCAGTCTAGCCCCCCCGACCTTCGCAGGACTAAGGCGGTCACACCCAAGCCAATCGCATCGTCACCGAAAAGGACAGTCCCTAAGACGGCTCGTCCCGGTCAAGTCGCAAGTGCCAACGAGCCACAGGCTCCAACGCCAACGAAAGTGGGAACCCCGAAGGCCTTTGCATCTCCTCGCGCCACCCCCACGAGAATTACACTACCCCCCTCGTCAAGCAGCCCATCAAAGGCGGACGAAGAATTCACCCTGATTGTGCCGACTCTGCAAGCTGTCCAAAGTCCCCCTCAAAAGGAGAGACCATCCACTCCACGCGGAACCGCGTCGCCGGCTCCGAGTCCCTCAAACACGCCTTCACGTATTCCACACCTTGGCCCGGCCCTTCCCCCAGCCCTCCTCGAGACTGCAGCTCCCATTGGAACAACACCGACCCCGGCTGGTTCTCCTATGCGAACGGTTGAGCCAGCCTCGGCTGCTCCCACCAGTCCGACCAAGCCGTTGGAGGTGTATGAGGACCCATCTACTGCGGACCATCAGGCGACACCTCAGCCAACCTTTAACAGTAAAATCCTAGAAGACAGGCCGATCAACGAAGATGCGGCGACCCTCCAGGAAGCCATCCGGCAACAACAGAACGGCGAAGCCAACGGCGTCCCTCACTCTCCGGAGCGCGGAAAGCAAAACGCGCGCCTCCTAGACAGCGGCATCGCCAAGGTCCAGCAGAAATCGCTGGACGTGCACGGCTTCCGCAAGCTGCAGGGGATCATCCGCGATAGCAAGACCACGGCGCTGCTAACAGACGATAGATTTGACGCGCTCGTGTCAGGCCTCTTTGCCTTCCTCGAGTCACCGTTGTCGAATTTGGCCCCAGAGAAATCCCAAGACGTCAAGGCGCAAATCTTGGCGACCATCAAGTTGCTACTGAAGAAGATGCGCGACAACTTCCGCCCGCACGTCTCGAGAAGCCTGGAGAGCCTCGTCCGTGCGCGCGCCACTTACGAAGGGCGGACGCACATGGTGAGCGGGCTGGAGCTCCTGGCGACCGACCTGGTTGCCCTAGGTGACCCGGCTGAGATGGTCACGGTGCTGACGAGGATGCTGGCGGGCATGGACGTGGACGGCGGCGTCGGCGGTGCGGGAGGCGGTGGTAATAGCGCCGAGGGAAGATCGTTGAGTATGGGGATGCACATTCTCCGGGAGATGCTGGATTCGAGGGCCGGCCCGGCGGGTTACGTGCCTTCGGAGGGGGAACTGCAGGCCTTGGCGGGGCTCGCGGCCAGGTGTCTTGAGAGCTTGGAGTCGGCGGTCAGGATGGATGCCGTTCTGCTCTGCGTGGCTATCCATGCCAGGGTTGGCGATGCCAAGTTTTGGGAGGCGGTCAAGGGCGTCAGGGACGATCCCAAGAGTTTGATCATGTACTATATCACCAAGCGGCAGAGAGAGATGGGCGCGGCGGCGGCTGCGGCTGGGCTGGTCGCTTGATTGGGCGGTTGGATTCGGGTTTTCGGTTTTATGTTCTTTTAATTGTGCCCGGGGGATTGGTTTGGTGCCGCGCCGCACCGCATCGGATGTCACGACGTAGGTTGTATACAGTACCATTGATCAGGGATCAGGACTGGGAAATGGCAAAGAAAAGGGAGAAATCGGGTGAATCATCAGGGGCGTCTTTGGTGTTGGAGTCTCCTCACTGGACACGGGCGTTGAAGTTATCGAAGGCTGTGAAAAGCGTCCTGGGCTAACTTTCGTGTTGTTTTCAAACTGCGAATGAACCCTATATCACCGGCTGGCCTTGATCGGTCAGTATCCGCAGCCTCGGCGTTGCTGGGCCGTTAAGTGTTTGCTGTTGATTATCCTGTTTAGATCAGGTCGCAGTCGGTACAGGTGTATGATACATAAGGTAGGTAATATTACAGCCCTTCTGTACTGCGATGGCTACTAGCTGTTGCTCACCAAATGACCAAAGTGTATGTATGTACAAGTATGTACATAGTTAAGGTACCTCTATCTCGCTGCTGCCCGGTGATGTTGTCATACTTGATCGTTGCAAGCTAAGCTCAGCAGTTGGCCCTTTATTACAGAAGCAATCACTAGGTACCCCTTTTCTGATGGGTAGGCTTTAACAACACTAAAGCTTATCAGGGGCGAAGGACGACAGCGTGAAACAGTCGTCATTCTCAAGACACAGTGCTTCTTGCGAATGGCTGTCATCAACAACAACAAATACCTAATGAAGCAACTGCTACCTATGACCCAAATGGAGGGTTCCCTTGCAGCATGATGCATGCTGCTGCAGTGGAACGCTACGATAAAATTGTCACCTCCGCAATGATGGGGGTGGAGGTTTTCAACAATTGATTAGGGATCGTCTGAGCCGAGTTGATGGAAACACCAGCAGCGCTCTTTTATTATTATGTAGGCAGCAATCTGCTGGAGTCGTGTGTTCCCAAGGCACGAGGAGATTGAACATGTTGACGACACGTTACAATTAACAATGCCCAATGTATGTGCGGTGCCTGGCGGTATCGCTTCCGAATTTTGAGGTTCTTGGGTGACTCTTAATGGACGGATTATTGCAGGCGGGATATGCCGTTCGGCCGGGGAAACATGGGCTGTAGGAGAACTTTAGGTCATGTGTAAGTCTCCTTTCGTTCTTGAATGAATCTTATAATGTTTCCCACGATGCCGGACCCTTGCTTTGTCTGTGCTCACTCGAATGCGTGATCGGCTGGGAGTGAGCGAGAAAGGAAGCCGAGGCAGTCAGAGGAGTCAGATCGTAAAAGGGAAGGGATATGGACGGTGTTTGCGAATCTAAAGTGTGCGTACTTACAATACACGACACAACGTGTAACAGTGTAAGGGACGTGCTGACGTTACGCAACTATCCTCAACACTGGGTGCAGTGGCCTTATTCTGAAACGCCAAGATAAGTGGGTCGCAATCGTGGATCTTCTGCAGCCCAAATTGCAGATCCGGCTTGTACCTAAATGCCAGCCTCAGGTTGGGCCAGCGTTAGAGCAAAGCCTGTCTTGTTTTCAATGGAGCTGTATGACACAAAAGTACCTAGTATGGAGGTAGGTGGTCCTGTGTGTAATACTTAATGGTAATCAGTCTCTAGAATCAATTGCTATATGGAGCGTGTCGGACTGTCATGCAACTTTCTTCGCAGGCTGTATGTAACGTTGTGTACAGTACACTAAGTACCCACAGTACGATAATTACAGGAACCGCAACAGCCGTCGGCAAACTGCGCCGCTCTCATGAAGCGCTCGCCTGTGTCAAACTTCGCTGTGTAAAGTCGGCTACCGCCTACATTTTATAGTAAAGCTGGCAAGCCACTCATCAAATCTTGGTCGAGGCTGATTCGTTTCTATTCTTGCCGTCGTCAAAGATCCACGATGCAGCTTATCGGCTTCGGCAAGCTCGAGGCAAGCCTGGGAGTCGAGCAATCTTGGCCCTAACGCAGCTAAGCTGCTTAGTCACAGAGGGGGGGGAGGAGAGGTAGGGATCGCGGATGCGTCCAGTTTCGACGTCGGCAGTCCGCAATCGATAGCCGTAGGGCTTGCCGTCAAAATCAGCATAGCAACTCGGAATCCTCGCCCTCACACCTATAGCCCTTGGGCACTTCGAAGTTCAGTCAGTCAGTCGAGCCATAGGATGGTTGATCTTGCGTGGAGTTATGCGGTGGACACGCCTTGGGCCTATTACTGGCGTATTCAACAATCTGAGACTGCAACAATGCACGCCGTCTTCATCGAGCGGTGAACGTGTCCAATTGACTCTTTCCCGCTAAGGTATTCGTCCTGTCCCTGTCCTTGTCACGTAGGACGAACATCTGGCAGCTCGACAGCAAAAAAATGTCGAAACCTCTGTAACCAATAGGAAGCTCTTTTCATCTGTTTCAACTACTGAAACTTCTGCTGATGGCGTAACCAAAGTCCATGAGGCACAAAAATGCGTACAATACCTACATAATGGAACTTAGGATTCCTTTGATCTGATGATTTCCGACCGAAAGGCAGAGCCCGTTCCTGAACTTCAGACACATGGGATGAAAGACTCGTCTTTCAATTAGGTTAAGGATTCCAATTTTCGGGCCATTCATCAGTGCTAGCAGGAGGATTGTCTGACGCAGCCGGCTTTTAACATCTCCACGTTTATCAACATTAGTTAACTGAGAGGACGTTGCCAGCTGTAGCTTCAATCCCGTTAACTATTGGTTCCCCAGATGACCCTGTCGAGGTGCCCCTGACCCCATGTACAGTAACTGCCCTGAGCCCCTGGGCTTGGCCCCTTTCAGGCTTTCACAGCGGCGGAGCCCTGGGAAGCCAAAAAATCCCTGGGGAAAGCAGTGATCCCAAGTTCCCAACCTCAGTGAAGATTAGTGCGCGAACTCGCCTATTTTTCTCACCTCAGCTCAATGTCAGACACCCGATCGGCAACATTGGAGGTGCATCGAACTGCATCGACTCAACCTTTTCCCCTCCTTGTGTCCTTGTTCAGGGCCGCTTCTCTTTTCCCTTTCCCATCTGATTGGGAGAGATTGAGACATCCCATCAACCATTTCCCACACTGCGATCTGCATCGACAGTTCGACACGCATCTGATCTGGTTTGCTCCACTTGTGCCTTGGACGAGCAACCCTGTTCTCACTTCCGACAACAACCCTCCATCCTGCTCTGCGGCACTCCTCGGCTGTCATCCGGTTGCTGCGAGCCGTGGGACTGTCTCGCTGGGCAAGGGGCTGTTCGACATCGTGGCCTTCCAGTTTTTATTACCTTGTCCTAATAGAAGCTCACAGCCGAGCATCTCTTTTTCTTCAGGGAGCACGACTTGTTGATTTGTTCCCGCAGACTGCAGCTTAAAACAACCGAGACAGGTGAACTGGGCTTTGTTTCTTCCACTACCTACGGATACCCTACCTCCATCAGTGCCGAACACAAATCGACGGGCGGATATATAATACATAGCCAGACCGAGACGTCGCGCTTCCGACGCGGCAGCCTTGCGCCGCTGTCTCAACACACGCTCGACGCATCGCCCACAGTGCATGCCGCGTCGACTATCCGTACCGTTTCGTAGCCGGTGCACTGCCGGCTAGCCGACCCAGACCGAACAGCCTCGCTCAGTCACCACTCACCCGCCATGGACGACTATCTGGATAGTCCTATGGACGCCGATGACATATTTCCTTGCAAAGGATGTGGTCTGGTGGGTTCCGCAAATCTCAATCGCGTCTCTGGCCGATGCTGATCATAGAGTCCGGTAGATCCTCGAGGAGGGCAAAGCCTTCGAGCTTGGTATGTGCTCGGATCCTCCGAATCAACAGTTTCTTCCATGCCCTGCCGTAGGAGGACGCCCGTCGATGGCCGAATGATATGTGTTGGGGTTTTTCTATATCAACGTGCTAACTATACTCTAGCCGGAAACAGATGGCATCTCGATTGCTTCCGATGCAACACTTGCAACACTCTCCTCGATTCGGACGCCAACCTACTGCTGCTCGGCGATGGCTCTCTGATTTGCAACAATTGTACCTACAGCTGCAGCGCTTGTGGGAATAAGATAGAGGACCTCGCAATTCTGACAGGAGACCAGGCATTCTGCGCGACATGCTTTCGGTGCAGGAACTGCAAGCGGAAGATAGAGAATTTACGCTATGCCAGAACCTCGCACGGAATCTTCTGCATGAACTGCCACGAGTCATTGATGGCGAGACGGCGCAAGAAATCCAAGGCAGCAGCACAGGCGAAGCAGAGGGAGAAAGATGCCTCTCCCATGATCACAGACAAGTCGCTGCCAGCATTGCCACCGAATGCTGTGCCCCCTAATGGCTTCTCGGGCGAACGTGTGACGCCCGATTCCGATACCCCGACCGAGCTGTCTCCCCGTCCCCGAGCAGCGTACGGCAGAAACGAATCATCATCTCGAAACGGATCAAGGCCCGATCGTTCCCCAGAACGGCCCCAGGTGTCCGCCAAGGAGTCCTCCCTAGCTCCTGCTGGCCAGAGCTATAAGCATAACCGGAATTCGACCATCGTCTCGGCAGATCTGAATAACGGGGATTCCGAGGGCTTTTTCATTCCCGTTGCGCTCGATCCCAGTCCTGCACCTTCGCTGACGCCGCAGTCGATGTCGGATGCGCTCGCCGAATCGAGCAGGAGGAACAAGGACAGCGACTATTTCAATGCGCCAAAGCCGCTTCCTCCCCCCGAAAAGCGGTCCGACTCCCAGGCGACGCCCCATATCGCATTCCAGGAGAAAGGACGGCAGCCATCTTCCGACTATGAGATTCCCCAGCATGAGCGGCCGGCCAGGAAACTGTCCAAAAGGAATGGAGCTTCAAAAGTTTCACCTGGTGCCGGGGACGACAGGAAGGTTTCTGGTGCAAGAACGCAGCCGGGCGACGATTTCAGGCTTCAAGACGCCCCGAGGGGCAAGAAGGCTTCGAATTCCAGGAGCAACTCTGTGTCTCTCAATTCTCTAGACGTGCCTACGCCTGCCAAAGCGCCTCCGCCCCCGCCACGGAACACAGAGGTTCCAACGGACACTGATGTTGACTCACCCGCCCAGCCTGGGCTACCGGACAAAGGTCCTCCCTCAAGGTCTTCCCAAGACTCCCGGCGGAGAGATGACGATGCGGTTCGACCGTCGCACGACCCAACAATTTCCGGTCGGCCGGAAGCTCCCCCTGCGAAAGCTATCAATAGAAAGGAGATTCCACAGAACCCGCGGAATGGTGAGGGGATGATATATGATTCCGTGACAGGGCTTGGATACTAACAGCAAATTTAGTGAATGGCAATGACTCTGGTCTTCCCACACGGCCCGTCTTTCCTGAGACGAAACTGAGCGACACGTATATGTCACCCAGGGCCCCGCCCCAGCCGCCCACGCAGGCCCCCAAGGAGCCGACAAGCGCAGCGAGCGAGGGGGCGGAGCCGAAATTGCCGCGATGGAGCTCCGGCGGCGATTTCAGCCTGGACGAAGATATGGCTCGAATCTTGGGCACCGATGAAGGCTCATCTTCTATCCTACGGCGCGTATCGAATGCCGTTCGGCATGGCCGAAATAGCAGCAGCGAGACCGGCAACAACCACGGCAGGCTTGGCCATAGCAGGAGCGTGAGTGAGACGACAAGGGGGACGGTATCACCCCGTTGGCCTAGAACCCCTATTGCTGAAGATCCGGGGCATGGTGGGCAGATGCCCGACATCAGCAGCCCTATGTCACTCTCCGGCGGCGCGCAGGACGATCCGGCGTTTTTGAAGCGACAGCTCAGGAATTCAGAGCAGCGAGTAGCGGAGTTGGAACGGCAGTTCAACACGGAGAAAGACCTGAAGAGCTTGAATAAAAAGCTAATCGAGAAGAGGAAAACGGTTTCGGTTCTGGACACTCAGACAGAGATCATGATTCGCCAAATTGAAGTTCTGGCCAAATACGTGGAGCGGGCGAAAAAGACGGGCGAGCCGATCGACACCCGAGAGCTCGAGGAATCGGCCATCAAGGAGTTTGTGCAAAAGCTGGACAAGGTCAAGCAGAGCATGACAGCAACTATCGAGCAGCTCCATGCTGAACGAGACGAGCTTCTGGACCAGAAGAACCAGGCAATTGCTGATCGAGACCGGGCGCTGCTCGAGTTCGAGCAGCTTTCGTCCAAGAACGCTCAGCTAGCTGACATGAATAACGACCTGACTCACCAGATACAGGAGAGGTTTAAGCAGCAGGTTAACAATAGCGACATCAGGATGTCGCCCAGTGGCCTGGGCATCTACAGCCATGCCAAGGGAGTATCGACGGCATCAGTCAACATGGACGCGGCCAGCTTACAGACGGGCACTACAATGATTGGCACTGACGCCGAAGAGCCGGTCGTTGAGGGCCCCACCGTCGTAAATATCCGGAAGGGCCAAGTCAAGAAATTCAATTGGAAGAAGGGATCGAGCAAAGTTGCACACAACATCACTAGAGGAATCAACCGTGCTGCAGGTGCCTTCCAGCAGCAGGATCAAAATCGCGTCCAGTCTCCGCAAGGACTGGGCGGTGATAGCATCGGGCTCCCCTATAACATGACCGTCGCCCAGGTCGACTCGCCAGTTACCGTAGCTCCCCCGGGCGGTATTAACCGGGCTGCCACCGAGGGCAACGGGCGACAAGGGTTCGGCTTCTTCAGCAGCAAGAAACCAAACGTACCCAAGTCGACATCTGTTACGAATGTCTCAGCGCCTGCCGTTGCCGAAGCCCCTAGCACCCTGTTCGGCTCGGATTTGGTCGAGCGGGCCGATTATGAGAAGCGTCAGATACCCAGTGTCGTGACACGCTGCATTGAGGAGGTGGAGCTACGCGGCATGGACATTGAGGGGATCTACCGGAAGACTGGCGGCAACTCGCAGGTCAAGATGATACAGGAAGGGTTCGACAAGAATGAGGACTTTGACATTTCAGACCCGGCTCTGGATATCACGGCGGTCACGAGCGTCTTGAAACAGTATTTCCGCAAGCTGCCAAACCCGCTGCTTACGTTTGAGGTTTACGAGCGCGTGCTGGAGTCGAATGGTAAGCTCGGTTGCATCTTGCAGTTTGAACAATTTCGTCGAGCTACGGTCCTGCTGACACATGGTGCAGTGATCCAGGACGCAACCGAGCGCTGCGCGCACCTGAGAAAAACAATCAACATGCTGCCCCCTAAGCATCGCGACTGTCTCGAATTCCTTATGTTCCACCTCGCCCGCGTGGCGAGTAGGGAGAGGGAGAATCTGGTACGTGTGATCGATGACTCGCTTTGTATATCTACTTATCCAAGGTCATGGCTGACTGGAACTTTCTTCTCGCAGATGTCGCCCAAGAACCTTGCCGTCGTGTTCGCCCCGACAATCATGCGGGACCACAGTCTTGAAAAAGAGATGACGGACATGCACGCCAAGAATATGGCCGTGCAGTTCCTGATTGAGAATAGCAACACCATCTTTGGCGAGGCTTGAAAAGAGTTGAGGCTTCTGTCGGAGTGAATGGAGGATTAACCGTGTTGAAATTTGATTTCAACCTGCTTTTCTGTTTTGACTCATCTATTCCTGTTCGGTCATGGCATTGAGAGCGAGAGAAATTACCCCTGTTTAGTCTTCATCTTCGATTCGGTCTTCATCGTACGCCAGAGTTTCTTGTTAGGTCTAGTTTAGTGTCAACGTTTGAGCGTGTGTATGGGAATTGGAGTCTTGTTGACTTTCCAAGCTGTGAGGGTAAATATCTTCTGCCAAAGAGAGCGTTGTCTTTAGCAAGGGGATTGGGTGGGAAACTAGATGGAGGATAGTATTTTCTTCATCCCAAAGTCTAGTTGCGGTTGCAGCGGGTGATTAGCTGACCAACAGATGTGTTGATTTTTAAGGAGTCCTACTTTGATTGAGCAGGATAGGCAGCGCAAACCTACGGGCTTGGCTGGTTTTGAGACTGGCGGGGATGGTTTTGTTTCATGCCTTGACGGAAGAAGCACGTCATATGAATAGAGAACGGTGTTCACCAGTGGGACCACCTCTCAATGGAGGTAGAAGTCAGCTCGAATTCAAATGCGACTGTTGCCCCCCGACTCCCCAATTCCAACCTTTCATCCGTGTCCCTATTCATGGTCTGGTGTTACCTTGATCCCGTTGTCCCGTTGTCCCCAACCAGCTTCTTCACCCTGTCCAGCAGTATCTTGCTTTCCCTGCCCAACTTGCGCTTGCCGTCCGGGCCGGGGGCTTTTGCCTTGGCCATGGCCTTGCGGTAGCGCTCGCGCTCGGCGATGCGCTGCTGCCGCTCCTGCTCGCGGCGGGCGAGCTCGGCCGCGCGCTCCTCGGCCTGCTTCTTAGCGCGCTCGGCGGCGGCTAGCTCCTTGGTGTAGTAATCCGGCTTCTTCTTCCTCCTCTTCTTCGTCTCGTGCCTGCTGGGGGGTTCCTCCTGGTCGGGCTGTTGTTGATCATCGGCTGTTGTTGATGTTGTTGGGTTGGCCGGGTTGGTGGTTGTACTGTCGGAGGCTCGCGGGTTGGAATTGTCGTTATTGTTGGGATAAGGGGCCACGTCAAGCATGGCTTGCCGCTCGGGATGCATTTGTTGCCCTTGCTCTCCACTGTTTTCGTGTTGTTGTTCCTGGTTGGCGGCTTCTTGTTGCTCGGATGCCGTTGCTACCGCTGCTACGGCCTGGTGTTTCTGGTGTTCTGCCTTGATCTTGGCATACTGCTTCTTTACTTTGGCCTTGATGATGAGTTCCTTTTTAATCTTGGTCACTATAGGCAATAAGTCAGCGACTTGCCTGGATCAAGGTGTGCTTTGAAGCCTTTAACGGCGAGCGAACGGGTTGTCAGTTAGTTACCCTTCCGTTTCCAGGGGCCGTCGGGAAGGTTCTCGGGTCCCACGCGGAAGCCGTGCTTGGGCTTTTTGACCTTCCTCGTCTTCTCGCCTGCATCGGAACCAAGGTCTTCGTCACGGGGCCGCTTGGAAGACATGATATTCGTCCTGAGCAGGTGGTTTAATGCGAAGGGAGTTTGTATTCGTCGCTTGCTCCGTCGTTTCTTCGCCCGTTCGGCAACCGTTGTCCGCAGCGTCTGCCGGTGAACATTATTTTTTTGGCCGATGCAGCTCTTCCCCGGTCCGATAAGACGGAATTACGTTATCAGCGTGGGTGGTGAGTGATTGAAGCCGGACCCGGAGCTAACCTGGAGTGAAAAAAACACTGTGTTGAGCCGTATTATGTACTATGTGTACTGTATTATACATACAGTACAGTACCTGATGTGGCTAGACAAGCCAACACACGTCTGCTGCAGGCGGTCAAGTGAGTGACAGCATGGCAGGGGCAACCTAGAGCAGACCCAACCGAGCCAACGCCATCCGCGGCTGGACATTGTCTCAGTCCAGGCAGTGCCGCGTAGAATGAAACCCCGTCAGGCGTGGCAGTTTGCAATTAAGTGGCGATGACGCACATTGGCTAGCGGTTCCTGCACAGCAAGGGGTTGACGAAAATCTCTCTGCATTGTACGGAGTACAGACTATAGCTTGCATTCATCCACAGTAAAAATATACCATTTTAAGTAGGGTTTCCGCTCATTAGCGATCACTAGCCACTGAATTGTGGCTTACAGGAGGCTTTGTGGCTGTCTTGAGCGGAAACCCACCATGAGCGGAAACCCTAATTAAAATGGTATGCTCTGGCAAAAAAATTAATCGCGTAGACCTTTTTTAATAATCGGGTAGACCTATACATACTTCAGTGTCTGTAACCAATGGGCGTGCTCTTCTCCTCAGCCAGGCGAAAAGAGCAAGCCACAGGCTGGGCGCATTGGATGTACTTTATACTCTCTCGACTCTTGACTCTCTGGCTCTCTGGCTCTCTAGCTCTCTAGCTCTCTGGCTCTCTGGCCCTCTTGAACTCTTGGAAAGCTCAAATCTACGATTAAATCAAACGCGTGCATTTTCACGAAAGCTGACATAAGCAGCTGAAGCCGCTTTTCCACCGGGAGCCCGGCCGGCCCGGACCACCCACCGCGATTGACTGCAGGTGCTGTAGCCACGGAGCGGTTGCGTTACGACGGTATGGTAATGATGACTTGAACCAACAATTGTCCAAGGACCAAGATATATTGCAGCATCAACGCTAGGCTCGCTAGGCTCAATGCTACATAGTAACAACGGCCTGAGGAAGTGATGTGCCCGGTCTGTGGCTTGCTCTTTTCCCCCTGTAAAATGCGTGGGGAGAGCAACGCGCCATTGGTTGCAAACTTGGAGGTGGGTAAAGGTCTACCCGAATATCAAGAAAGGTTTACCCGATTATTTTTTCTGTGCTCTGGGATGGGATGAGACTTATATGCTACAATAGGGAGCCAATTTACCTCGAGCAGAGTGTTAAATTAGACGCGGATATTGCATTCAATATCAAGAATTATACACTATGCCTTTATAGTGTGCACTTAGCTGGAGATACTAGTAGATATACTTGTACTATATACATTGTAAGCTGTAGCTAACCTGTACGGTGTATGTGGTATGTAGGAAGTCTCAGTATTGATCCTCTTGTCGTAGTACGAAGCCTACAGTGCAAATGCATGCTAATATAAACACTGTATACGGAGGTACTGTATGTATAGTACAGTACTTCGTAGTGTATGTACAGTACATACAGCATTTCTACCGCCAAATCTCAACCCCGGTTCTTTCATGATAATCGCCAGCACCTTCCTTCCACCCGTAACTTCCCCGAGCATTGCACGCTTCCAACGAAATCTGGGAAGGACAAGACAATTAGTGCTTGTTGTCTTCTGAGTGTTCGTCCTAGCCAACAACGCCGATTTCGACCTTGATTTCGCGGCCTTTGCCGATAATGATATTTGACTGACTGGGATCGTGCCTCTCACTTATTCAACACTTGTCGGGCCATGATGTGACTGTATCCACCGCACTCCGAACAGACCGCCACCTTCCGATATCGTTCTTTTAACCATCACCGACTCATTTTGGGGCTTGTGGATGCCGTAGATATTGCGTCTTTTGTCCCACGGTCTGCCGTCTTCTTTCCAGCAAACCGGAGCAGCAGCCAAGCGGGAAACAAAGACCCGTCAGTGCAAGCTGGGGCCGCCCAGCGCTTTCCGAATGACATAAGGTGACTAGGTGGCTACATCTAGTTGCTCGGCTCATCTGACGTCGCTTTTCCCGCTCTATCACCGCTCGCTCTCTCAGTCCCACCGTGTCGAACGATATTGAACGAGCCCCAGTTGTAGCAGCCTGACCCTCTTGGCTGCTGCGGCCAGCGGGTAGCCGAAAGCATCACAATGCCCATGTTCCGTGAAGACGATCCGGGGCAGAACGATACCACCCCGGAGCACCCTGAGCATGTCCCGATGCCGTCTCTGCAAGCCATGGATCCATGGTTGACGCGACGGCTCTCGGAGGAGAGCATCCGGACTGAGCTGTGTGAAGGTCCCGTCCCAGACGACTCTCCAAAGCCAACCACACCCCAGCCCAACGTCTGCCATGTGTCTGACCGGACTGAGCTCATCGAGCGTATCAAGAGAGGCGAGAGTCCTACGTGGGTTCCCAACCGCCATGTATGTCCTGAATGTCCAAAAGGTTCGTATTTGTCGTTTCACTGACCGCCTCGTAGCTGGAGTCACTACTTCACGAGGATAAGGCATCTTCTCCGCCCAGCACACCACAGCCGCCAAGTCTAGCCTCACCGGGTCTGCTGCCCCCCGCCACAATAACTCCTGATAAGCAGGAACGGGGCTACGCCGAGTTAGCCATTGACGAAGCCTTTCAAGAGGGGCTAACTATAGAGCGCCCGAGATCTGCGCTCCATAAAGGCAATTTTACACCAGAAGAGTCATCTTCGGGGCACCGGCCCCTCCAGGACGCCATTCGCCCCGGAGTCGAAACCCGAAAACTGTCCAGTGACGCTATCTGGATAGCTACTCCGCCCCAGAGAATCCGGACGTCCTTCACCTTTGAGACCCTCGCAAGTAATTACAGGAAGGAAGCATTTACATCGCCCGGCCCTTCATCACTAAGCTCGTCGCTTTCGTCAAGCTTTATTTACAAGCCTCCTACGAGCCCCCTGGTTCAGTCTGAGAGCAACGACGAGATTGACTTGACGTTACCTCTGAACCGCTTCAATTTCGATGCAGCCAGTCCCCGCAGCTCTAGGCGCCATACCGTTAACTTCACCCAAGCCCCTTTCCTTAGTACCGCCGCTCATAGGCACACTGCCCTCCGCCGGGAGAACGCGCATCCTTACCAAGCTCACCAACCTCGGCGTTCGCTGAACTCCACTCCTACCTTTTCGGCCGTCGGCTCGACACCCCCGACTCCGGCTTTCTTGAGGCCGAGGCGGCCATCGTTTAGCTCGGATGTATCGCCTTTGCAGCACGCGTCCATGGTAGGCTCGTACGAGGAGAGCATTCTTAGAGGCCGTATGTCCACAACACCCTCCAAGCCGCTGGAGTTCCTGGCGCAGATTGGAGTTTTGGGCCTTGGAAATTGTAAGGCGAGTTTGCGATGCCCAGCCCATGTGACGCTGCCTTTCTCGGCTGTTTTCTACAGCTATGCTAGCACCTCCTACGGGAGGAGCAAGATTGAAGACGGACCAAGTCCCTATGTGGGCCAAATCGACCTGGAGAATGGGCTACCCAATCCCGATGAGGGACAGCGAGCAAGAAGAAAGCTACAGTCAAGATACCAAGATCACAAGAGATTAACAGACGAAGAAGCCTCAGTTCAAGGCCATTCCGCAGATCTGTCAGAAGAGGATGCGATTGGGAAACCCTCCAGGCCCAAGAGACGCTCCAGATCACCAAAGGCCCCCCTTGGCGGCCGCTACCGCATCCCTGAGAAGGGACAGCTCCAAATCATCATCAAGAACCAAAACAAAACAGCCGTCAAGCTCTTCCTTGTTCCATATGACCTTTCAGGCATGGAGCCCGGCACGAAGACATTCATTCGCCAGCGCAGCTACTCGGCCGGGCCTGTCATGGAACCGGACGTCCCCCCTAAGACCAGCGACAACGGTCCGGGGGCCGCTGACCGGCCCACCCTGCGCTACCTGATCCACTTACACATATGCTGCCCTTCCAAGGGCCGGTACTACCTGTACAAGTCCATCCGGGTAGTTTTTGCCAACCGGGTGCCCGACGGCAAGGAGCGGCTCCGCAACGAGATTACTTACCCGGATCCGCGGTTCAGCCCATACAAACCGACACGGGTGATGCACCCACCCCTGACGGGGATCGCGAGCCATGCCACGACCTCCTCCATGAACATCGGCAGCAGTAGCCACGCGCCATTCTCGGACAACCCGTTCCTCATACCCTCCAGCAGCAACACATTTGTGTCCTCCAATCAGCAACAACGAACTGGAATCCCCACAGGCATGACGGGTTTCGCCCCCGCAGTACCCGACTTCTCCGACAGAGATTCAATATTAGGGCACATGGCGATAATGCCAGGGCTGGAAATGACCGGGCCAGCAATCTCCTCCACCATCTTCACCATCTCCAATAACAACGATAACGACAACACTGACGAAAAACTTGGAGGCCTGAGCAACAACTACTACGACAAACTCAGCAGAGGGGACGTGGGCTACGGCGGCAACGCCTTCCTTGCTGCCACCGCTACTACCGCGGTTTGCGGCGGAGGCGACGGCACGCCGGGCGGAGCAACAGAGGGGCTTTTGTCACAGCGCCTACGCTCCCTGGGCGTGCAGCAGCAGCAGCAGCAACAACAACAACAAGCGTCCATGACGAGCATGATCGACGGAGCCGAAGGCCGCGAAGACAGGGGCGGAGACGGGGGTTGAGGGGTCAGTATGTCCTGACGTGATGTGGCCGGTCGCCTCGCTTAGTGTTATGTTGGTACTCGTAGTTCGATATGCTATGATGTGTTGTAGTAGTATTTGGGTTGGAATTGTGAATGGGAGGGTATTCGAATGTTTTGATCTGGCGCCCAAAGGACTACAACTGTATCTATACTACCAGATACCTATGAAACTCAACGGACGGATAACGGAACTGCAATGGGCCAAAACATAATAACCAACTGACTTCAATAAAACGTATCAATCTCATGCGCATTTGGTCAGAGTGCGAAAAAAAATCATTTCTACGTTACTACAAACAGGCGAGACCGTAACGTGGCGAGAAAGATTTTGGTGCCAACTCTAGGATTGGGCTCTTCTTTTGTTTTCTCAGCACCACCACCTCTCTTGTTTTCCCCTCCTTTCCATGCTCCGGGACTCCGTTATGCCCCGGCGGATACCCTCGGCATACCGACACTCATTGAGGCCGAGGGATTATGAAAGAAGGAATTGGACGCCAATCGGCAGGCGTAGCTTATAGCTTGTCGTAGTACTAGGCAGGCTGGTTAGCAACATATTCCCCATGTGGCAGAAGCCGAGCGAATTACTTACGTTGTCGACACCCGGAATCTCCACCTTGAGACCCTTGCGCTTGCGCATGTCCTGAACAATCTGCGCAGCCTTGCTGACACCATCCAGAGGGAAACCCATCGAAGCGGGCAGAGCCTCCCAGTGGTCGAACACCATCTGGGGGAAAGCCTGGCCACCCGTGTTGGCACGGAGATCGCCGTTAAAGCCGAATGATTCGGCGACGGGGAGATAGGCCTTGATGTTGAACAGAGGAGTACCAGGGCGTTGGTCCTCACCGAAGACTTGGCCTCTCCTGCGGGTAAGAGTGCTGTAGACACCACCCATGGCAGACTCAGGCACCTGGATTTCGACCAAGAACATGGGCTCAAGGAGAGTAGGCTTAGCCAGAAGAGTTGAAGCATACAGCACACGACGAGCAGTGGGAATAATTTGACCGCCACCACGGTGGATAGCATCGGCGTGCAAGGTGACATCGAGGATGTTGAAGCGGATGCTGCGCATGGGCTCCTCACCAAGGGGACCCTCACGGGTGGCCCACTGGAAACCGGACACGACCGAGTCCTTGATTTCGTGGAGGTACTGGACGGCCTTGGTCTGATCCACGAGTAAGTTGGCACCGGTGGTGTCGGGACCGAAAGCCCAGATCTTGCGGGCATCGGTGACATCCCAGCCGAAGTCGTCGGCGAGGACACGAGCGCGGGCCTTGAAATCATCACGAGGCGAGATCTTGCCGGCCTCAATCTCCTTGCAAAGCTCCTCATCCATAGGCTCGGCGACCATGTAGAGACGGTTGTGCTTGTTGGGAGACTTGGAGAGGGCGGTCATGCTGGACTTCTCGGTGACTGTCTCGCGGTACTGGACGACGGGGTCCGAGATAATCAGAGGAACACCGGCGTGATCCTCCTCAAGATCCTTCAAGCAGATCTCGAGATGGAGCTCACCAGCACCGGCGACAATGTGCTCACCAGACTCCGAGGAGAGGGTCAGGACGCAAGGATCAGACTTGGACAGGCGCTTGAGACCTTCGACAAGCTTGGGAAGATCCTGGGCGTTCTTGACCTGGACGGACCGCTGCACGACGGGCGAGACCGAGAACTTCATGACCTTGAGGTTGTGGGCGGTCTCGCTAGTGGTGAGGGTACCCGACTTGAGCAAGAACTGGTCAATGCCGACCAGACCGACAATGTTACCGGCAGGCATGTCGTCGATGGGCTCGACCTTGCCACCCATCATGAGGACAGTACGCTGAATTGCCTTGATGAACAGATCCTCCTTCTTGCCTGGAGTGTAGTTGGGGCCCTGGATGCGGACCTTGAGACCAGAGCGGACGGTACCAGAGAAGACACGGCCGAAGGCGTAGAAGCGACCCTTATCCGATGTGGGCACCATCTTGGAGACGTAAAGCATGAGCGGGCCCTTGGGGTTGCAGTCGCGGATGCTGATGGCAGCCTCGTCGTCCGGAGGACCCTCATAGAGAGTCTCGGCACGGTACTTCTGAGCAGTGACGGGCGACGGGAGGTGGAGGATCATCATCTCCAGCAGGCAGTCGGCAGCCGGGAGGAAGGTCCGCATAATAGCCTTGAGGAGCTGCTTGCCCTCCTTCTCACGGTCCTCGGAAGGAAGCTTGAGGTTGAGCTTGTCGAGAAGGGTAGCGATCTCGTCTTTCTTGAAATTCATGACCGCAGAGAAAATCTTGAAAATGGGATCCAGAATGAACTGGCAGAAAGCACGCTCAAGTTGCTTGCCCTCGTGTGTGCTGTTCTTGGTCCACTTCTTGGTCGCGGGATTGAAGTAGTTGTCGCCCTGCGTCTGGTCAGCTACGAAAGACGGACTGCTAGTCCAAAGACAATGCGACTCACCCAGAGACGCTCCATCATCTTGTTCCGGTCAACGCCAAACTTCTTGGCGTACCGCTGGGCGAACTGGCGGATGGTGAAAGCCCAGCCGTGGAGACCGGAACCGAAGGCGACAGTGCCCTTCTCGGGGAATACCTGGACATCACCGAGCGACTTGTCGAGGTAGGTTGAGATAATGACGTTGACCGACTCGATGGTACGGGAGAAGGACTGGTACAGATCCTCCTTGGAGACCTGAAGTTCGAGGAGCGCACGGTCGACCTTGTTGATGATGACAACCGGCTTGATGCGCTCACCAAGAGCCTGCCGAAGCACAGTCTCGGTCTGGACGCACACACCTTCAACAGTATCGACGACGACGAGAGCACCGTCGGTGACACGGAGAGCAGCAGTGACCTCGGATGAGAAGTCAACGTGGCCGGGGGAGTCGATCAGGTTAATAAGGAAGTCCTTGCCTGCTCTTAGGTTAGCTCTCCGGCGGCCGACCAGGTTGAAAGGAGTTCAATGACCTTCTGTCTTCTGGCCCACAATGTCCTTGATATCCTCCTCATCGGGCAGGGAGCCGTAGAGGGAAATGGCCGTGGACTTGATGGTGATGCCACGTTCTTGTTCGTCTGCTCGAGTATCTGTCGCACGAGCTTCTCCCGCCTTACCGGACGAGATGATACCGGCCTTGGCCAGGAGGGAGTCGGTCAGGGTGGACTTGCCGTGATCGACGTGCGCAATGACGGACATGTTGCGCACGTTCGTGGGCTTGTCTGCAAACGAGTAAGATTTTCGCCCTGCTGGAACAAAGATGTGCCATTCTGGTCTGACTTACCCATCAAGGCCCGAATCTCCTCGATCGTGAAGCTGTAAGGAAACCATCGTCAACACCATATTTCCAGCCATCGGATGACCACATTCCTTATCTCCGGGCGGGGTAGAAAATCATGTCTTCATACGGAGACGACGACAGATTTAAGGGCTCTTCCAGGGGGGCAAGAGCGTGACGGGGAGCTCAGGAGTCGACTTACTTGACCATTTTGGCGGTATTGACAACGACCTGCTGAAATGGGGTTTGTGGTTTGGTGGATGGATGTTGGGTAGAGAATCTTTAGTAGCAGAGATTTTTTTTCCCCTTCCCAATGCTAAGTTAGACTTGGGTGAACCCCAGAGGTGAGGGACAGGCTTGGCTCCTGCAAGTCCTACTCGGTGGATCAGCTATCAGCCCCAGACCGACAGCTCGAGAATAAGAAGCAGCTGGTGAGAAAAAGAAGGCGGCAAAGAGACAGTGGAATTTGAGATGCCAGCAGCTCCGTCGCCTTTATTACGGGGAGGGAGGAAAAGTGAACGGTCGCGGGAACTTGAAGGGGAGGAAGGAGGGGTAAGAATGGTGGGGCAATCGATATCGCTTTACTGCCCCTCGATTGGCTCTCGGGCCCTGGCACTTGTGCGTCGGCTGATGCAACCGACACGGGCGAGGGTCAAGCCCTGCTTTTGCCCCTCCTCAATCAACCCCGCGACGACGAAATTTTTGAAGCGGTCGAGGTGCGAGTACTGTACCGCACTACCACGCTGTAGCATGGACTGGTAGAACGGCTGGGTACATACCTGGTAAGAACTGTTTGCTGTTCGTGCCTTGCAAGGTCGGATAGGCAAAGGGTAGAAAGCGTTAACGGAAATAGTAGCAGCAATCTCGAGGGCTCTCAAGCTGTGCTAAGTGCTCAGTGTTGCAGCTCATGCTAGCAGTCGGAGCTTGGACCCGGTCGAGCTGGTTTACTGAAGGATGTTATCTGGCCCGTTCGGCTAGTTTAGGAGTACGGTACATGGGATCCTATGAGCAATTCGGCGTGCCATGACATGACAACCTCACTCGCCATGAATAAGGGACTCACCTCAATGACTACGCAGGGCAATCCGGCCTCGTCATACGGTAGGGCTTAGCCTTCAGGAAACCTCATGAAAGCAGCCTTGTGGCTGAGACATGTGCGCCATGACTCGAGCTAGACAACATATGGACGAAAAACCGTGCGGTACAGACCACCTAGGTATTCTAATGCCCCAGCAACGACACAAGCGCAATATGGATAAGCTCCTGCTTACGGAGTCCATCCCCTGCCATTGACCCTTGGTATCCAAGCCACAACTCCAATGCAATGCTGGATCAATACGCATATGGAAAACAGCCTCCCCGAACTTGAGGCGGGTATCTAAAAGGCAGTCCCGACAACACCGGCACTCAGACAGAAACAGTCGTTACTCGGTACACCAATGGCCTGCGGTTACTTTCCCCAAACATTTCGGAACTCCTCCTCATCATCAAGGCTATACTGCGGATTTCCGCTGCGGCCTGACCCGCTTGCTTCCTCCTCCCCCTGCCGAGATCCTTCCACCTCTATACTTTCATCCTCCGGCGGGGGCGGCATATGTCGACTCTGTTTAGCATTTTCTTCTTGAGGCTTGTGTAAACCGCTCTCCGTGTCTACGTTAAAGTCGTCTTCCGTGATATGCGGGTGTGTCCCGATTGTGGGACCATAGGCAATTTCGAGAGGGTCTTTGCCCATGGCCTGATCTGAATTGGAATCACTGGCATCTGCCCGTGCCTTTTTCTTTCCTTTCCTGTCCCCGACTCCGGCTTGGGGACCTTCCGGTGCGTCCTTCTTTCGCCTCTCGAGAGGGTCATTCGGGTTGAGCGATGGAGCGGAGCTTGATGAAGAGCGCTGATAAAAACTACCAGTCGGCGTGTTTTGGTAGAGGCTGGGGTGAGGCGACATATACCGCGCGCTTGCCGGCTCGGTTGCTGTGATGACGGGATACTAGAAGCACCATTAGACATCAGGTCATGAAAAGGGAGTCGCAAGGTCACTTACATTCCAATCCCCATATTCCAGCTTCCTCGCGCTCTCATACAAAGCCTCTTCAGCAGGATCGAGGACGACCTCTTCAAAACTATTCGTGTGGGGCGATATAGAACCGTTTCTCCTGCTTGGCCCGCCATTGCCGCCCAGGAGAGGAGTCGTCTGGTTTATCTCGTCTGGTCTCGGAACCCAGTATTTTGCTTTCCCTCCTCGTTCATACCGCATTCCTGCCTTGATCCGCGCCAAACGAGACGTCGAGGCTTCATGTGCCATGATTTTATCTCCGGAATCGAAAATGCGATATCCATATTTGTCACCCTTAAAGGTCTCCTTGGAGTCCTGAATGAGGTCGCGTATTCCAAAAGCATCCCTTGCGGCATACCGCACCGGCATCCGAGCCGATGCGATCCTGTTGTCGGCGAAGTCGTGCCATGAAAAGGCATACCAGTGAGCAATGGCAAATGCCGGCATCTCAATGCAGATCAGAAAGTCTTGGATAGCCGCAGCGAGGTTATCGGGAGTATAGCCCTCAACTTGGTCCGGAATGGCGCCTAACCATACCAGAATAGACAAGAAGAATCCCTGCCAATATGAAGCAAAGATAATGAGCTTGACGCAGAGAAACTTGGGCACCGGCCGGAAGGGTTTCAGATCCCCATGCATGCAGACCCAGAACAACCCCAGCGAGTATAGACTGACAGTGACGCTGAGGTTGTAGATGATGCCGCTCCAGAAATAGCCCGACTTGAGCCCGATATAACCTTCTTGATATGTGCCGGTCGCCTTCATGATTATCGCTGCCAGCGCGAGAATAGGCTTCAACCAGGCATACTGCAAGATGCCGCGTTTGATAGCGAGGAACGTGTATGGATCCGAGATGTCGACACGGGGAAGGATATGGTTGAGTGGCCAGAGGTGGTGGACGGGTTCCCGACCGTGCGTCATGATGATGAGGGCTCGTTCACCGCCGAGATAGTTGATCAATAACTGGAAGAAGGTGTAGATTGTGAAAGCCTAACGAGGTCAGATTTGCGTCCCTCTTTGTCCTGCAGATGAGGCGTACCTCGTAGATGTCTCGTATCGGATCGAGAAAGGCGGCTGCTGTCTGGGAGACCATGCTGGTCCATGAAGCAATGGAGTAGATAGGGACCCTAGAAACGACATCTCAGTCCAGTTGACCTCAATCACAGGTGGGCAGACACGCACATCAAAAGAATGCGGACGACGTATCGCTGTAGTAGCGGTTTCCGGTAGTTTTTCCTGCGCGAGTCGTCGTGAGCACGTGAGGTCCGAGTTGGCTTGTGTATCTCCTTACGTCTGCAGCCATATTGATCTGTTCGAGAAAGCGCGTTAGTCTGCTCTCCGATAGAGAGTACGATGGCCGCGTTAGCTCCAGTGAAGAGGTTTCATACACGATGGACAGCAATGTCGCGACGAGGGACGCGACGCCGGCGATGACGGTTGCTGCCGCCTCTAACTTCTGCCCTGTGCCTCCTGTCATTGTCATGGAAGGATAGGCGATCGTCGATATAGGGCTTGTCCGGTTCAAGCCGCTGCCATCAGGGCGCGATGAACATTGGCGTTGGCGTTGACCGTTGGCGTTCGTGTGGGAGAAGCCGATGTCGAAAAGGTGCGGAATGATGACGACGACTTGTTGGAGTCGAGAACCAACTGAGGTGGTGGTGTAATCAGATCGACAGGGATACCTTACCTGACCTCCCTGTCTGCCTGCCTGCCGCTGTGGTCACTGGTCAGGTTACACAGCAGCGCACAGCAGAGCTCTTTGGCGCATGGAGCGCTGTGGATGGCCCCCAAGATGGGAGGATGGGTGCATTCCCCGCTAAACCGTTCCCTGAATGGCCCGAGCCACAGCAGTGGCACCCCACAGCGGTTCCGAATCGGTGCAGCCTTGTCGCTTCCTTAATAAATTCATGGAAGCGCGTCCCTCGCGATCCAGGCTTAAACCGAAAGGAGCACCCGGCAAGGGACACCTCAACGCAGCTGGCAATTGCCCTCGATCCGCTCGGCCACCATGCCATAATCAACTCTGTGGATCTCTAATCCTATATTCGGCCGGCTCTGTCTCCTTCCCCCCGTCTCTCCGTTACGGCATGGAGGGCGCCGTGTCTGGCTGCAGCTCTGGGGTTGAGTAGCGTCGCGGTGGTCTGGTTTAAGACAGAGATCCATAAGAGGTTCACTATATACGCTCACCATGTCGAGCGGTGACATTTTCAGCGGTAGTGCAGGATTTAACGCGTACGCCACTACATTATACATGTCTATCCCAGCTGTATTCCGGTCACCTTGCTGACCTTCAACTACCTACTCCAGGCCGTTCCTCGGTGTACTTATCGCAGCCGGTGCCCTGTCAGTGTTTCCTCCAACAACCTATGTGCTGGATCCGCTGCTGACGGCCAAGTAGATCGGTGTTCTCTCTACTATATTTCAACAGAGTCTTTGCGTCGGTGGTCTCGTGGGGAATAAGGACTTACACCTGGCACCGCTACCGAGTCTACATCGACATCCAGGCCCTCCAAATATCCTTGTTGGCTGGTCGCATCTTCTTCACCGGTCTTCGATATTACGGAAACAATGAGACTATCCTGGTACAGAACGGCCACATTACTTGGGCCTACTGGCTACGCAGAGTTCGAGATGTAAACGTGGGAAAGGGAGAGGGAATTGAAGGGCCGAGTAATGGGGGCAGCGATCTCGCCCCAAAGCTTCCATGCCGCATCAAAGTGTCCCTACTGGGTCTCGAATGGTTCATATATAACCGCAGCCCTGCATACGACTCGATCCTGTCGGGAATTGTTGATCCAGCGGAGGTCAGCAGAGAGACGGATCCGGCAATGAGAGATCCAGGAAGACCGCCCACTCCTCCTCCCCCAGCTCAAGTGCGAATAAGACAGCGACGGCAGCGGCAGCATGGTGCGTCCGACAGCCCGCCATCCGCTCGCTTTCATGCAGTAACCGAGAGATCAGACAATGCCCCAGACGAGCCCGTCAGTGGCTCGGCGGAGAGCCGCCCCGCCACTCTGCTGTCGTCAGCGTCCGAAAACAACGGAGGCCAGGACGGTCACCACCCCGGAGAAGATCCCGAGTTACCGCTCTTTCTACAACTCCTTCCAGTACATTTGGAATGTGAGCGGGCCGCACTGGTGATGGGCAACGAAAACACAAAGGCAGTCTTGATTGTCAAAGCAGACACGTTGTCGGGCGAGATTGATGCCTCTAGAACGGACAGGCCTGATCCGTTCCGCCAGTATTTCCGCTTTGACTTTAAGCACCCGGTGATTGAGATGAGGGAGAACTTGGACTTTAAAGAGGAGCAAGCCGACCGCGCAGCCCGTGACAAGCAGACAGCCCAAGTACCGCTCTCGCCTTCCCGCCGGTCCTTCCTCCACTGGCAAAGACGCAGGTTGCGGGAAGGGCTCAGACGCTTGGTCCCATTCTGGAACAAGTCCGTCGAATCGTTATCTCCCTCCAGCAGGGGGATTGGAACTGGAGCAACTCAGGTTCCTGGATCCGCTGGTCAGTGGCAGGGCCTCTCCCGATACTTGTCAGACGACGTTGAAGACCAGAAGTCTCGGTGGGCGTCTTCAGAGTATGCTGCCGTGCCGACATTGCTAGACAGTCCTGAAGCTTCGCTGACTATATTCTGGGATGTGGCCGGAAAGGTCGGGGATGTATCCAAGTCGGAGAAGACCACTCCGCAGCAGAGTGACAACATCAACGGCGCCGAGCCCCCTGCATGGGCTATCCACTTGGCTCTTAAGGGCGGCTCCATCAATTACGGGCCTTGGGCTGACAGGAATCGGGCTGACCTTCAACGGACATTTGTACCAAACCTCTGCAAGGATGCAGTTCCCGCGCACCGTCTTCCCCCAGGAGCGTATCGGGTGCCGACTCAGTTCAATCTCTACGTCGAGCTTCAAGACACTACCAACATACGCATCCCCGTCAGAGAGGAATCGAAGAACTGGAGATGGAAAGGGAAAGAGCCCCTTCAAAACAAAATACCTGCTAGTGATGCTCGCAAATCGCGCAATCCATCTAAGAAATCAGACCAGCCGTCTCATGTGCACCAGCGTCCCTACGGGTGGCTCGATATCAGGGTCGCTGCGAATTCGACCGTGTCGTATTCCATGGACATCACGGCCGGCGCTTCGGGATACAACAATACACTTCATCTGGACCTGCCAACTACGGAGATATCGAGCAGTATCAATCATGAGCTGCTGTGGAAGTCCGGGCGGCAACACATCTCGTGTGATCTTTCAACGCCGTTACGCTGGAACGCCCTTCGGCAATGGCATTTTAACATCACTAGTGATGACCTGGAGCTCTACCTTCTGCGAGACCATGTCTTTCTCCTAATAGACCTAGTAGACGACTGGTCAGCCGGACCACCTGCTGACTACTTGGTCTTCACCCCTTTCAGATATCACCTTAATCTTCAGCTTCAGAACAGCCGGCTCTTTTTCAATCTCAATGATGCGAACATCGTGAACAACCCGGCCGACCATGAAGACAATGTGTACCTCGTCATTTCGAGCCCGCTGCTACTGGTTAATACATGTATACCGATCGACAATTACAGACCCCGAAGAAACGCCATTCCATTTGACATCCGCGCAGACACCGCGTCGGTCGACCTTCATGTGCCACCGTGGAACACGCAAGCGGCCTTTCTCACTTCCAAGGAGGTCGGGCGACTGGAAAACTTGGGCGTCGACGGTACATATCATTACAATGCGACTACGTCGTCATCGAACACCGACACCCTAGTCCTCAACGTCACCGGACAATCACCAGTTGCACATCTTCATGGCTTCGCCATACGCTATTTTCTCAAGCTCAAAGACAATTACTTTGGCGATGACATTCATTTCAAAACTCTCGAGGAGTATCAAGATGCACTGCGCTTGAAAGAGAGCGATCCTACTGCTGAGCTTGCAAACAAGCCGCCACCTAAGAAATCGAACGATTTAGATGTGATTCTCAGCATCAGGACCGACGATCCGAGAGTCCTACTTCCCGGTAACCTCTATTCCTCCCAGCGTCACATACAAATTGACACCGCGAGCCTGTCGCTCGATTTGCGTTTCACCAATTATTATATGGATATGGACCTAGTTGTGGCCCCCCTAACCCTCTCCCTGGGCAGCACCGACTCGGGATCGGAAACACCGATGAGCTCAACGTCAAGCACGCAGATTTTTTTGGATGGTCTCAACATCCACGGACATAGACTGTTCGGTCTCCCCCCAACGGAGCCAACCTACATGTGCAACTGGGACATCTCGGTGGGAACACTCACTGGCGAGTGCGCTACAGACTTCTTTCTAACCCTCACAAATGCAGTGAAGGCGTTTGTCTTCACCTTCGATGACGACGAAAATGCGCTAATTCCTCTCTCGTCGATCGTGGTGCACGATGTCACCTTCCTTCGAGTTTTGCTGCGTTCGGTCCGCCTTTGGTTGCATGTTGAGGACGCAGCGTTCCTTCTCTCGACGGGGACAATCGATATCAGCTACAACGACTGGGCAAGGTCGCATTACTCTAAGAGAGCAGACGTCAAAGTCCCGGACATCAAGCTGTACTGTGTAAACGCCGAGTCGGCCACAAGGCACAGAGCTCGTGCCCATTTTCCGGTTGAGTCGGACGCTCTTGTAGCGACAAGTGTACACTTGGCAATTGTCATGAGGAAGGCCGATTTCTCCAAACACAGGAAATTGCAACAAGAGCTTATTCAACAGCACGACCTACGCACACACAGAACGCCTTTCCTCCTTCTCCCCGAGATTGTTGAAGATATTACTGGTCCGGTGGATCCCCCTGCGCAAAGTGTTCCCCCGGTCCCTATGCCGGCCAAACCGGAGGAGCACGGAGATGACGGCGTATCTTTGAACTCCAAAGGCACCCCAAGGCGGCGTCAAACCCTACAGCACAAATCTTCCTTCTTGTCCCTGGCCAGCTCTGGCCAGAGCAGTGTGCTTAAACCCTTCGCCTTCGATCGGTCAAGCGGAAAAGAGAAAATTGCTCATCGTCCACATCGCCACTCCCCAGTAAATTCCCGAAACGGGGACAAAGAGAGCTTGTTTCCGCAAACGCGGGAGCTCTCTCCATCGACCCGCCATTCTGCTTTCTACAGCATGCCTGGCGACCACGAGGATCTTGCCCACAATACGGTTGCTTTCTCTAGTCAGTATTTTGCACCATATTTTCCCCTCGAAAATGTGAGACCAAGTCATCAGGATGCGATGATGCAAAGTATCGAGCAGGATGGAGAGGGCTTAGCCGATGTGAAACATGCCAGCTTCGACTTGGAAGACGTTGACCCCAGTCTTCTGAGCGAGGATTGTGCGTACTCAAGCGTCCTGATTGAGCTCCCGACAGGTCTCACAACATTCTGTAACCCTTCCTCGTTGAAATATGTCGCAGCTCTGCTTGGCGCCCTGCAGTCCACCGACCCCGAGAACGTCTTAGATTCGCTCCAAATCAGCGCTATGACTGAAATCTTTGATATGCAGAAGGACCAGCAGATGAAGGGCCGTATCAACGACTTGCTCATCAAACTCCCGCTGGTCGGTCTTCGCCTGGTCAACTCATCGGATCCGGATTCCTTGGATCAGCGGTCAGACGAACAAGATCAGTATGACGTGACGCTGAGCAGGCTTGCCTTTGCTTCCCGCACCCGGACCACTTGGCAAGACGCCTTCGAACCGAAGTCCAAGCAAGTCCGCCATTCATTACACGTGAAGCTTGACTCAATAGAAGTAGCAGTGGCGGAGAGGTTCCGCGATATTGGCAATTATCAAGCAGCTGCTCTAGGTCGCATTGAGAATGTGATCGCTTCAATGGGGACGAACGACATCACATACCTAGATGTCGAAATCGGCAGCATTCAGGGCAGCACATCCTCTGACAAAGTGGACTACCTGGCGGCCCTGGTTCAGCGTGCAAGTGGCTTAGGATCTGATATCGGCATAATCTTCTCTGAGGTGTCATCACAAGAGAAGATTTCTGTCCGAAACTTAGTACACCGTCTCGGCACGGCTTTTCATGACACCCCAGATCCATCGTTCATGATACGTCCCTCCTCGGTACTTCGCTCTGCTCCTCAACACTTGCGAACATTCGACTCGTGGAAGTTGATCATGCGTCTCCGCCAAATATGGACGATTCTGGCATCAAATGGAGAGCAAGCCAAGCTTGACTGTCTCAGCCAATCTCCAATTTCTCCGGCGGATGCGAGAAAAGAAGTCATCTCGGCCTTCGAAAAATGGCGAAGCTGGGATTTAGAGAATCTCGAGGAAAATGTATTTCTGAATATGGTTTTCAGGCCGGCGGAGGGCCTCCCAACAAACCCGACGCCTCGGGATAAAGCGACCCACGCGGTTGTTAGGATTAAGCAGCTTCAGCTCGCGCTCAACCCGGGACCCAAGCAAAATGCTGTCACTCTCGTGGATCTCACTGCAAGGTTACAGAGTGTGCACAACGGACCAACTACTCAGGGCGAAATTCCATCAAGGACTGCCAGTCCCTCGATAATCCTGAATATATGCTGTGGCGATGCTGTCATCAGTCTGAATTGGGAGCTCTGCGAACTGGCAAGCAATATTCTGAAGTTGGTGAAACGGATGCAATCCCAGATGCCTGCTCAATCGTTGATTGAGTCAAATCAAGCAACACCCTCGACGGCCTCAGAACCCACACAAGGGCGCACAATTCACTTTGTGTTTTCACTTGAGCGTGGCTCCTTTATTTTGGAAGCCGTCAACCTTCATTTGACCTCCTCGAGCCATGGAGCAAAAGTGTCGTTGCTCACGAGGAAACTGGCGGATGATTCAATGGATACAAGCTTGATTCTCAGCTGCGATTCAGTGAGCTCCAGCCTTCGCAGTCATCAACAGAAGCTCGCAAAGCTCGTCTTAGAGAAGCCAAGTGTCTTCATTTCCCACGAGCTACAGGCCACACAGAACACTAACTCCCATACCATCAAGGCAACTGCCAGTAGCCAGTATCTTGGTTTGATTGTCAAGCAGGATTCCATCAGCTTGGCTGAAGTACTTGATCTCGTAGTCCGCGACGAATTTGCCCAGCTCTACAAGCTGAAAGCACAGCTCCCCTCTTCAGCGCGGCCGACATCCTCGCCTCAAAGGATCGCCGATCGCTTATCGGCATTCAGGGTGAACGTTGCCTTGTTTATGGATCGGTACACCATCAGTTTGCCGCTGCTGCGCTCTCTGACCTACACAATCCACGGCACTGTTTCCAGGGCTGCAATGGCTGCTAACTTTGGTCGGGAAATCATTTTCGACTTTGATATCAAAGAGAACTCCCACGACATACAAGTCAAGGTCAACAACGTTGCTCGGAGTATTTCTCTGCTCCAGATTCCGCCAACCAACGGCCGGATCAGGAGTCATATGGAGCCAGGAGAGCATTCCATCAGCGTTTTTGCATCTGTTGAATTGGTGCAACTAGATGCCTCTGCCGTGTACAGCCTTCTCTCAGCTTTGAACCGGCCGGAGATTTCAAACGCCGTCAACGAACTGCAGCAGCAAGCTAGAATGATCCAGGACAACGTGAAAGAGGTGACCGGAGAGACGCCCGAGTTGTCCATGGTGGTGACGGAGAAGCCCTCGACCGTTTTGACCTATAATACTCACCTGACTTTTGCTGGTCTCGAGGTCTTTGGGAACAGTCCCTTGAAGTCTGAGACATCGCCCTTGGCGCACATCTCATTTGCGCTCGGCAGTGTTCATCTGGGGCTCTCTAACCGAGTTGAACAGCATGGGCCGACCCTGGCATACCCGGAATTCAACATCAACCTCCGCCGTGTTGCTTTTGAGATACAGAAAGGCAATATCGGGGCCATGAACTCGTGCGGAAACGTCGCATTTGGAGCGCTAGTAACTGCCTCGTCAAGACCTGGAGACCACGACAAAGAGAAGCGATGTTTCCATGTTAGAAGCGATGCCTTTGAGGTCGACCTTTCTCCGGATACTGTATCCACAGTCGTGGACGTCCTAGGCTACATGGGCGACAAGATCAAGGATCTAGACACCTCCCGAGAGCTCGAGTATATCCGGAAGCTCAGGCAATCCAGGCCTCGGATTGCTATCAGTGATGCCGATGCACAACAAGTGGAAACCGACCTTATCGATGCCTTCCTGTCATCTTTGACCTATACATTTGAGGTCTGCAACATTCAATTCGCCTGGCTGGTCAATAAACCAGGCGAAGATTCGCCCACGGGGAAAGAGGATCTCGTTGTCTCTCTTCACAGAATTGAGCTCAGTACCCGGACGAAAAATTCAGCCAGGCTCACCATCGAAGACTTGCAGGTTCAGATGGTATCCCCAGCGCATGGCATGAAGTCCCGCTCTCCAAACTCTGCGCTACTACCCGAGGTCATGTTTAATGTCGCTTACTTATCTACACCCGGTGCACGTCGACTCGCGTTCCAGGCAGTCGGAAAGCCACTTGATGTGCGCCTTACTTCAGGTTTCATAATTCCAGCTGCGCACCTGAACGACTCCATCAGCCTGTCGCTCAGGAATATCCGGCAAGCCTCGCAGAATTGGAACCCGGTTATTTCCAGCACGCAGCCGGTAACCCTTGAACAACCACGAGTAGCACCGCGGAAAAACATCCTTGGAGGGAAGAGACTAGAGTCCCTGCTCATCGATGCCGATTTTGCAGGGGCAGTGGTGCACCTGACGAGCAGAAAGCCAAGCGATGACTCTGCCCGGCTCGCCGGAAGGGCGGGGACGTCTGGAAACCAGGGGCAGCTTGGCCTGGACGAGAAAACAACCAACACAGCGCTGCGGTCGCCTGGCTTGGCCTTAAAACTGGAATTCCGAGACAATGGCAAGGATGATTCGTCTCTCCATGCCGAAGTCAAGATTGATGCATCCAACAACATACTGTATCCTTCTGTTGTTCCCCTGATTGTGGATATCAGCAACAGCGTCAAGGAAGTGGTGAGCAGCCATGATACCCGTCACGACAAACCACATAAACAGACTAGAGAGGTTGCTGCCAAACCCAAGCTCCCAGAGGAGGACAGCATTCTCACCGCCGATCCGACTACTGTTCTCGGCCATATGAAGCTCAACCTCGGACTGCGCATCTGCAAACAAGAGTTTTCGCTGAGCTGCCAACCTATTGCTCGAGTTGCGGCCACGGCCAGCTTCGAAGATGTCTACTTCACCGTCAATACGGTTCGCTCCGTGGAGCACGGCAACTTCTTTGCCATCTCTGGAGCCTTCACCAACCTCCAGGCCTCAGTCCGGCATGTCTACTCCAGAGATCCGACGGGCAGCTTCAAGATCCCATCAATCGTGCTATCTCTAATGAACAGCAAGCATGTTAGCGGGACCAGCGGTTTGTCAGCCATCCTCAAAGTCAGTCCCATGGTGATGTCTATCAACGCGAAGCAATTACAGGATTTTATGTTGTTTCGGGAGATATGGCTGCCCGGTCGTCCTGCGGGTGTCGCGTCGACAACACCGGCGGCAAAGCTAATGACCGAAACTTCGCAAGGCCATCTTGTGCAGCGTTATCAGCAGGTGGCGGCAACCGCGGCCTTTCCCTGGACAGCCAGCATCTCCATTTCATCGCTCCAAATTGTGGTAGACCTCGGGCAGTCTTTGGGCAAGTCAACATTCTCCATCAACGACTTCTGGGTTTCGTCAAAGAAGACGTCGGATTGGGAGCAAAACCTGTGCCTCGGCTTCAAGATGATTGGAGTCGAGAGCTCCGGGCGGATGAGTGGCTCCGTGGCCCTGCAGGACTTTAAGCTGCGAACCTCGATCGAGTGGCCCGAGCGGGAACAGGCGCTCAACGAGACACCCATAGTGCAAGCTTCGGTTGCGTTCAGCGAGTTCAAGGCCATGGCCGCCTTTGACTATCAAGCATTCCTCGTGGCGGACATCACTTCACTGGACTTTCTCATGTACAACGTTCGGCGCAGCCGAGACGGCAGTGGAGACCGGCTGGTAGCCATATTCGACAGCGAGGCGGTCCAGGTGTTTGGCACGACCACGTCGGCCGCCCAGGGCGTCGCCTTGTACCAGACGTTCCAGCGGCTGGTGCAGGAGCGCAAAGCGAACTTTGAGACATCTCTCAAGGAGATCGAAAAGTACTTGCAGCGGAGATCGGTCCCAGCGACCTCGGGCGTGATGCAGCGCCTCAGCATTCCCAAGCCAGCCCCCGACGATGAGCTCCACAAGGCGCCCATCTCACTCGACACAGACGTGGTGGTGACGCTCAAAGCGCTTAATCTGGGCGTCTTCCCCAGCACCTTCTCAGACCACCAGGTTTTCAAGATGGAGGCGCTCAACGCACAGGCGCGGTTCGCGGCCAGCGTCACGGCAAACGGACGTATTCACAGCATCCTGGGCCTGACGCTCGGGCAGCTGCGTATCGGGCTTGCCGGAGTGCGGACAAGCCCTGGGCATAAGACGCTCAGCGAATTGACGGTTGAGGACGTGGTGCGTAGCGCGACGGGCTCGAGGGGCGGCACCATCCTCAAGGTACCGCAAGTCGAGGCCATGATGCAGACGTGGCAGCGCCCGGGAGGCGAGTCGAAGCGCATCGAGTACATTTTCAAGAGCGCCTTTGAGGGCAAGGTCGAGGTTGGGTGGAACTACAGCCGCATCAGCTACATCCGCGGCATGTGGGCCAACCACTCCAAGACGCTGGCCCAGACGTGGGGCAGAGAGCTCCCCAACGTGACGGCCATCCGGGTGACGGGGGTGCTGCCGGAGACGGGGGTCGTGAGCGCCGCGGGTGACAACAAGGATAAGAAGAAAGCCGAGTCTGACTCTGGCGAGGCGGCGCCGGCGGCCGGCGCGGCGACCAACAAGATCACTGCCGAGGTCAAGGTGCCGCAGTCCAAGTACGAGTATGTGGCGCTCGAGCCGCCCGTGATTGAGACACCGCAGCTCAGAGACATGGGCGAGGCCACGCCGCCGCTCGAGTGGATCGGTCTGAACAGGGACAGGCTGCCGAATCTGACGCATCAGATTGTTATTGTGGCTTTGTTGGAGCTGGCTGGGGAGGTGGAGGATGCGTATTCCAAGATTCTGGGATCGACGTGATTTTTTGTTTCTTGTAGTGTTTAGGTGTGTTTGTATGATGCATGGGAGACGGGAAGCAGGTTATAGTATATTTGTACACGAGCTTTTTCTTGGTGTGTTGAGCTGGAGCGAAGCATACAACGAGGGGAAAGGGGTGTCTCTGGTCTAGAGGTGTACTTGTACATGATTGTTTGGGTTTGAAATCGATGGTTTATTCTTGGGTTTCTTTCTTCCACCTTAGGTGTCTCTCCCTTTACCTGGTGCCAGCACGACAGATTATGAACTTTACTTGACTTTGTCAGGTTGATGCCAGCAGAACTGAATTTGGTAAGGGATGTGATTATAAACTATCATGGAGTACTCGCCTTGGTTGAACCAGAAAATGCAGGTCAAGCTGTAAGTATAAGACCAAGCTACTAATCTACTTCGTCTAGGGCGATAAAAAAACAAAGAAAGCGGCATTGCATAGTTCCAGCTCAATGGCTGCCCCGAACTCCGAGAGTTTGCACCCAACGCCCGCATCTAACATTCCAGTAATAACTACTCAAGAGCCCGGCAGGCCTCTCAACGTTTTTATGCCCCTGCCACTTCCTGATCTGTCGGGTACCCTACGCAGCCAGTCAGCAAGCAATCCAAGGAGCGTCGAAAAGGGGGGTGAAGGGGTGATGCCGAGGGAACAAAATGTCTTTTCAGAAATAACTTACACCACGAACACACAGCAATGATACAGTACAGACACATGAGTAACATGCCCTCAAGCCAATGTGATTTCCCGTCGGCGATGAGGTAGTTGACGAGCAGCACGGCGACGAAGAGCACGGCGACCTGGAACGCGTCAAAGCTGAGCGACATGGCGTCGACGCCCATGCCCCAGCCGATGATGACCAGGAGCGGGATCACAAAGAGGGCGACCTGCATGCTCGAGCCCACGGCCACGCCGATGGCCAGGTCCATCTTGTCCTTGCACGCCACCGTCACGGCCGTGGCGTGCTCGGCCGCGTTGCCCACCAGGGGGAGCAGAATCAGGCCGACGAACTCGGCGCTTACGGCCCCGTTGGCGGTCACCGCCGAGATGCTGTCGACCATGAACTCGGCGCAGAGGGCGATGACGACGGTTACCGCGGCTAAGGTGCCGAGGGCGACGAGGAAGTGGAGTTGGGGTTCTTCGGCTTCTTCTTCTTCTTCGCCGTTTTCTTGTTCATGTGCTTCTTTTTCTTCCTCTGTTACGTCACCTAGGTGGTGGTGGTGCTGCTGCTGGCTGTTCTCTTGCAAAGGAGGAGGCTGTGTGAGCAGCTCGCGGATCTTTTCGTTCTGAGACCGCCGCGAGATGAGGCCGTGCCCGCCCATGAGCCCCGCGGGGGCCACGAAACCCTGCGCCACGGCGCCCTCGCTCAAACCAGGGCTAGATTTTGCCCTTTTGAGAGACGGGAAAGGCTTGGCCTCAACCTTTTGGCTCTGTAGGGCAAACACCTTGGAGTGGGTCTTCAGCTGGAACAGGAGGTAGCCGGCGTAGACGACGAGGAGGATGACCGAGGTGCCGCGCGAAAGCTTGGCCACGTCGCTCGCGGGCGTGTCGCGGGCGGCGTCGAAGACGGTCGGGACGATGACGCTCGCCACGGCCAACGCCAGCATGCTCGCGGCCGTCTGGGCCACGGTCGTGTTGAAGTACTGCTCCGGGCGCCGCAGCCCGCCAAAGAAGAAGCACATGCCCAGCACGAGCAGCAGGTTGGACAGGATGCTCCCGATGAGCGACGTCTGCACGATGACCACCTCGTTGTGGGCGAGGGCGATGACTGCGACGATGAGTTCGACGGCGTTTCTAGGAGGTTTAGGTTTGTCAGTCATTCGGTCACTTCAGAAGTCTTGTCTAATTCCCTGACAGCTACAGGTCTAGCTCCGGAAGGAATAAGGATATTACTCACCCGAACGTGGCGTTGAGCAGCCCTCCCAGGGTCTCACCGGTCCGGAGGGCTATCTCCTCAGTCGCGAAGCCGAGCATAGCAGCCAGGGGGATAATGGCGATAAAGTTGACGACGAAGACGGCCACGCGGGGGATCGACTCGACGTAGTTGATGGCAATGCCGACGGGCGCCGTGATCAGCAGCACGTTGATCCACGAGTTGAACAGGGTGCGCTCGAGCTGGTTCCTGACCGTAAAGGGTTCCTTGGGCGTCAGGTGCTTGAAAAAAGTCCGCGACTTTTTCGGCTTTTCCTCGTTCTTCTCCTCCTCTTGTCTCTGCTCTGAAGTCAGCGTCACGCTACGATCGGTCCTCGAGCTCCTCTGGCGCAAGCCATCCTGGGGTACTGCTGCAGTTCCGACTCCGCTTTCTTCGATGGGTTGGCTGTCGCCATCTCGACTTGAATCCAAGGCATGGCCATTGGGCTCTCTGCTACTGCTGGGAACTCCCGGAGATGACAAAGCTGCAGGCCCCGTGGATGCGCGCGGCTGCCGCTCGAGCTCGCTGCCGGCTTGGTAGGTCTCTGGCCGGGTGGACTCGGTCTCAGTTCGTGTATGGGGAAAGATATTCCATGGTGGGTTCCGCCGGGCTTCGCTGAAGGCCCTCATCCTGGTTTGATAGATATTGTCTGGGCAGGGCGTATGGTTAGCTACAGCAACTGCCATATTCACAGCGCAACATGGCGGCGGAAAGCGAAACACTCACAAGACATGTCGGTTGGGAAGAGACCGGGAGATGTCTTGGTGTTGGAAAGTGGTTTCTCAACGCTGCTAGCAGCAGCTTGTCCGTCGGCAACCTCAGTTATAACTTATGTCCGATGTCCAAATCCGCTGGTGAGGGCTTGAGGCCTCCGTTTGCTGCCAATCGATTCGCCCAGAGTCCGAGTCATTCACGGTCCTCGGGAATAAGGTGTTGCTGACGACGACTCGGCAATACTTGGTCCTATACGTTGGGATCTCCAATGCGTGTTTATGAACGAGAAAGGAATCTGGTCAGCCGCGTCCAAGGTAGAAAGCTAATCACAGGCCCGGTGTATATAGCGGATCCCAAGGCTATATGTATGTACAATGTTTTGGTTCATGTCGCTGGCACTGGTTCATAAATCCCGCGGCATTATCTTAAGGGGGACGGACCCCTTGCCCCTTGTCTCTGATCCACTCACTGCAGAAACTCACTGCTGTTGCACTACAGCGGAGATGAGCTGCTCAACCCTCGGGCAGACGCTAACTTACAAGAACCCTGCGGATTCCGCATTTTGCAACGCCCATCTCTGATCTCTCATCATTGACGCAACCAGAACCCACCCGATGCTGGCTCTGCAGTCTGCACCCTGTCATAATCGTAGCCGACTTTGAAACCCTCGTCACCCCGTTTGATCTGGCGCACTGGTGAGGAAAGTACAGCACATTGTCGACATTGTGTGTATAGTGCACTGATTCGCTATAAGATAGTACTTAGCATGATGTTCTGCCGCTTATACAATTAACTGACTACAGTGAGGAGACATGCTTCACTTCAGTCTTCGTCACTCATCAATTCGTCATCGACACAGAGAGAAGACAGGTCGTCCCATCGGACATGGCCTTGGCACAGCAGCCAAGCCAGAAATCAAGCTTCGCCAAGGGACCAAGGGAATGCTTGTCAATGCTTGTCTGCGCCTCGGTATGCACGTTTGCATCATCACCAAATCCATCGCCAATCCAATCGCTCTTTTGTTTTGTTGGTTGTGTTTGGACAGGACAGAGCCTCATTACCGGCAGACATCATGGAAGATTCAACAACCAGTCAGTGCCTTCACACCTACCCATGTGTCTAGCTTCGTATGTGCAGTACTGCCTATACACGTGCACGGAGGTATTTAGGTACATGCAATGTACGATTCAAATCCCCACACATACGCATATCAATGTACATACATACATCCCTACCATACCAATGAGACCATACTGTACACCATCTTTACCCCTGTTGCTGTTGACCCCCACCCCCGTCCCTAGCACTCCCACCACCACCACCAGTACTCCCACTCCCACTACCCGCACTACTCATCCTCAACCCACCAACAATGGCATCATATTGCACACTCCGCCTCCTCAACAAAAGCTGCGAGCTCGACAGCAACCCAGGACTCGCCGTCCGCGGTCCAGGCCCAGCAACACCGCCAACACCACCACTTCCTTCACTCCCACTCCCAGTTCCAATCCCTAACCCGGCTGCGCCAGGAGAGGCAAAGTCAGACTTTGAAACAGACGAAGCCAGCATCCCCGGCGGCAGGCCCAAAGCAGGTATATTCCCGTCGGCCACCGGCCCAATTCCATGTCCGGGTCCGAATGAGGGCGTGCCGGTACCGCCAACGCTCGTCCCAGCCATGGCCGCCGTTACCGCCAGGTCCCTGTAAAATGCCTCGAGCCCGGCCGCATCGCGGCAAAACGCCTCGAGCTCCTCCTTGATCACCTCCGGCTCGGGCGTCATCATCCACGTCGTCGTTGGCCAGGCGTTGTTGTTGGCGGCAGCGCTGTGTTTGGTCTGCGGTGGCGCCGTTCGGACGGCGGGCGACAGGAGCTGGGACGGTTTTAGCAGGGGAGAGGAAAAGGGCGTCGAATCGTGCATGCTGGCGGCGGTGGCGGAAACGGGATTCGGGGAGGGGTTGGGAAACGCAAACTGCGTGTGCGTGTTAGGGCCGCCCCCTCCGCCCCCCGCTGCACCAGTCCCGGGCGTGATGACACGGATGGCGCCGCTGCCGGGCCCCAAGCCCGGTGTACAACTAGCGCTGAGGGCGCCGGCCGCCGGCGCCGCCGGACCTGGCTGTTGATCGCCCCGGAGTTCCTTCTGCATCTCCCTCTCTCGTGCAGAGGCCGCTCGACTGCTGTATAGTCTGTTAGCTAAGAGGAGCAGGTCGCCGTCGTCGGTAATCTCGGCCAGGAGAGACCCCGACCGGTGGATGTACTGCGTAAACCTGAAGTCGGGCTTGCCCCACGAGTACGAGACGTCGACGTTGCTGGGAAAGTTGGACGCCGCCTCGGTGTCGAGCACAAAGTCGAACTTGCGTAGGATGGCTTTCTGGTAAAAGTGCCTGCCCGGCTGCACTTGCGGGGCGAATGAGGTTGGGTCGTAGTAGGTCATGGGTGACTGATCCGGGGGCCGCACCGCCAGCTTCACCGTGTATGGCCGCCGGAAGGGGTTGATATCGCTGATGGCGCATGCCTCGGCGATAGGAACTTCGACCAGTCGGAGTCCATATTGCGCCGCTTCGCGAGCCCAGTTATCAATGGCATCCTCGACCAGCTTGGCCGTCACGTTCATCCAGTCCACGCGGATGTGGTAGCAGTTGTCTGGGTTGTGCAGTCGGTCATAGTGCAGCTCCACAATCTCGGGCCGGTACGACCGCCTTCTGTGGTCGACATCGTACTTTATAACCTTGCTCAGCACCACTTTGGGCCTTTTGCCTGTCATGGTGGAAGGAGGCCCAGTCGGCGTTGTCTCGCCCGATGTTGGTAGGCTCTCCTCGTGAATTGACGTTGGTCGAGAGAAGCCTGGCCGACCGTCACGCGACACCTGCTCCGTCAACGGTGTTGAGGGCACCGATCCGTGAGTCCTCTTGGTATTGAACCAGCTGGGAGGGTGCGGCTTTGCATACTCGCTGCTGATTTGGTAAAAGTATTGCCCGTCCCTGAAAGGATGCCGTCTCTCGACGTGCACAAACAGCCCACCGCTCTCCTTCTTCCCATCCTTCTCCTTTTCGTCCGAGACCATGAGCCGGTTGCCTAGCGCTTCCGCCTCTTCGCGGTCTTCCAGGTCCTCGAAGTTATCCAGAAGCCAGCTCGTCATATCCGAGCCAATGAAACAGTTGTAGTGCAGACGAAAGTGCCATCTGCGGTTCTGCATCCGGACTCCTCCGTTCTCCACCGGTTGCTGGATGGCCTCGGCCAGCGCCGCCAAGCTGAAGTTCTTCTTGGAGAATTGCTCCCTGCTTCGTACCAGCTGCCCCTTGCGGTGCGGCCCTTCGAGCCCTTCCAGGATCGGCAGCGTTTCCAGCTCGGCAGCAATGACAACCGACGCATCCTCCGTTTTGTAGACAATGTCCAAAGGGTTAATATCCTTCTTGGAGCGGGGTCCTGCACCTTGAAGCCGCCTTTCATTAGGCGGGATGTAGCGGTGCCGCTGCCACATCTGTGCGAGCTTTCTGATTCCCTCAATACGGATCTCCTCCTCGTTGTCCCCGCCCTGCGTTCCAGGCACTGACGAGCGCCTGCCCGTCATTGGGATCAGGACGAATCTGGCACGCCAGAATCGGAGATGTTCCGTTAATTCGTCGCTGTGGCCAGCGACGAAGGCATCTATGAAGTTCCAGTTCTTCTCAGCCCTTGGCGCCACGAGCTCAAACTCGCTCGTCCTATAGGACTCGTCCAACAGGGTGCGGATAGCTGGTTTGTACAGTGGCGGGCCGCCATACGATTGCGGGAATGTGTCAGTCGGCTTGCGAACGAAGATATTGACTTCGACCTCGGTACCATTGACGCATGAGAGCTGGTGTATGGTGTTACCCACCGACATGAAAATGCTCGTGCCATCCTCAACCATCTGGTCTCGCGAGAAAACATCGGCAACTTTGATCTGTTTCTGTCCAAAGGCCTTTGCTACAGCCGGGCCTACTACGATTTGGAATCCTAGTGAAAACCGCAAACCAACCAGTTCCCGTAGCAGATCGTCACGCGATCTTGGCTCCTCCGAGAGCTCGTCATCGAGATCTTGGGATACGGCATAAGGCTGACGTTGGTATTCGGATTCGAACTGAGATTTGCTTGGGAAGTACTCAGTCGTCAGCGGCACCGCTGCTGGCGAGCATAAACTCTTCCACTTCATGACTCTCATTTCCTGGGGCCTGGGAAAGACATGCTGCCAGCGGCTGTAGAGCATAGCCATATCCACGTCATTTACATCTGGATTCGAGGGGTTGAGCAGCGTCAGCCAGGGCGACATGGCCGTCTTTGGCGACAATGTAGACGGCAATTCTGGGACGGCGCCCGCGAGAAGTTTCGAATTGTATATCTTCTTGGCATCCTCGGCTCTAATGGCAGTAGAGTACTGGAAGTCGCGGTTGTGTATCGGGGGTTCCGGCCGCAGGGTTGACGCAAGCACAGAGCCAGACAACATATTGGCGGCAGGCTTAGCAGCAAGTTGATGATCCCTAATCACAATTGGCCTGCTTGGCGAGTCGGTGGGAAACTGGTGCCCCTGAACGGGCGAGAATGGAGCGTGACTTGCCTGGGAAAGCGTGGGGGTTCCCATCGCCAGGCTATGGGGCGAGGCTGGCCGCTGCCCCGTCTTCACTGGGGTCATCCGCTGATCTTGGGTGCTTGGCGCAGGGGATCGAGAAGCCCCTACGCTTTCCATGCTCACTTCAGCAGTGGCGGCTTTGGGAGCGGCAATGCCAAAGCCCCGGTTCCCCAGGCTGATGTGCCGCATGAACTTGGGGGCTTTGGCCTTGGTGGGTGAGGTCATGCTCGACGGGTCGGTATTCTTGGGATCTGTGCTTCTACGATGGACGGGTGGAGCCTCCGGCTTCTCCGCGCCGGGACGGTAGTAGGGAGAAAGCTCGGGAAGGACTTGTTGAATGGCTGTTGGAGGCCGTCGCTCTGTCGAAGACGTTCCGAAAAGGCGGTTGTCATCATTAAAATGTCGCCGAGGAGTGCCACCGTCGTGATGGCGGCTATATTTTGGATGGTTAAGGACTCGGCGGGATGATGGCAAGCGTGCTCTGGAATCGTCGTACTCTACCAGTTGCTTCCACAGTGATCGCTCGGCATGTTTGCTGTGCTTGTCAGGGGCAAACTTCTGAAATCCATACACGTGGTCAAACAGCGTCTCGGGCACTCGTAGATTCTTTACAAACACGTTCCCTTGCAGGTCGAAATACGGTTTCGGGCCCTGGCCCGCCGTTACAACCTCGAGAGGAAAACAGGGATCAAGATGCAGCGGCTTGGTCTCGATCTCGTTTGTCTCCATCACACTTCTCATCTGCAAGTCGTACATGCGGCAGCGTATCGGAAAGCCCTCGCTACCCCGAGTGGGCGCCGAGTCGGAAACAGACAGGGCGATGCCTTGGTATGATAGCTCCTCTTCAGAGGCGCCGGTCCAGTACGAAATGTGAAGCCATTGCGGCACAGCAGATGCCCACTCATCCCGTGAGGAAGAGGGATTCGAAGATTCACCGTGACGCGAACCGTCGGCTCTCTTGCTCGGGGAGAAGGACCCAGCAAGACTGCTGTAGCTGCCAAAGGGAATGGTTGGCTGGTTTGGTGTACTACCCAGACTAAAGTCCGTGTTGCCCTTGGGTTGTGCGTGCACGGCTTGTTGTGGGTTGCGGTATCGAAAAAGTGGCACCGAGTGCAGTGGGATCTTGGGGATGCATATCAAATCGATGCCAATTCCGTTACCCACAAGCGCCTCGGTAGTACGGCGCAGCGCATCATAGTCAACCTCAAAGACGCCGGGACTTGGGCTGATGACCACGACAGAGACACCTGTTCTGGTCAAGTCCCTGTCGATGTAATCGTGGGCGTACAGGGAGGAGGCCATGTTGATGGCCTCGAGAAAGTTCCCGTGGACAGCCAGGGAAGCCTGAGCCTTGATCCTATTGACCAGCGCCTCTCCATCGGTGGAATCCTGCGACGTAAAGGTCTGGGCCATTGCCTTCTGGTGGTACGTGCTGATATCCTTGCGGAAGTAGTTGAATTCCCGCTTAAGCTGGTGAAGAATCTTGGTCCATTCGCCGCTAGCCATTTCACTCACTACAACACGGTAGAAATCCTTGTATGGACGCCGATCTCCGGAGATCTGAACGCCGGTGTAGTAGTCATGGTGGGCTGAAGCACTGGCGAGCTCAGTGGAGATGCCCGTGTCGTACTCAACGCGCGCGAACATGACGATGGTGACGAGGTGTTTCACCTTCATGGCAGCCCACTTTTTGAACAAGGCCGGCAGGAAGCCATTGACGACCTTGTTGAACATGATTTCGCCCGAGCCATCGGAATCAAAGTCCCACATTTCGCGAGCCATCTGGATGAAGAGCACATAACGAGCGGATTCGCTACGGAAGATGGGCTTCGTATCGCGGCCAAAGAAGGCCGACTGCACCTTTCGGCCGTCCACATAGACAGCAGTGACCTGTGCCTTGACGGTGCCCATGAATAGGACCATCTGGCCCTTGTAGACGGTCCTTTCGGACAGCTCTCCGACCGCCATCCGCCACATGTCTGCTCTCGAGAGATACTGGTCTCTGAAACAGAGCTCCACGTGAGAGGCCTCAACGGCAGGATTATTTGGGTCAATCTGACGCGTTGTTAGTCTCTGCTACTGATTGGCGAGTAGTAAATAGGGTTGAGTTTAGAGCAGTACCGGAGTGAGGGTGACTTGAGTGCCCTTTTTCATGCCAAAGGCGTCGGCAATGTGCTTTGCGACATAAACCTCGACCATTGGATAGCGCATCTTCAAGTCCTTCTGCATGCCCTTAGCAACACAGATGTAGCGCCTGTCGGCTCCGGCAGAGGAGGCATCTTTGCGGTCGTGGGGATGCTGCTTGTGGTGGGTGTTTGCCAGAGGCTTTTCAGCGTCTGACTTCAGCACATCGATAGCCACCAAACTACCGGGCTTAATCTCGTCGCCAATCAGGTCGAAGTTGAGAAGCACCTCGTCGCGGGCAAACGACTCGTTGACGGTGACGGTCCATCTTCGCTCGCCGCGGCGTCTGGAGGAGGGGCGCTCACGGATGGTCGAATTACTCGACGTAGTGTCGCCGGGCGAATGCGAATACGGATGCTCGAAGTGCCGGCCAGAGCTGGTCTCGCTGAATTGACGAAGGTGGCCGGGCATGTTTGGGGCCCCTTTTGCCTTGGCTGGCCCTGGCGTGGTGGCCGAGGCATTGCGGGCAGACATGGATATTGAGAATTGGAGACTGTCGATCAGCAATCGTCCAAACAAAGAATTGAGTGCTCTGTTGAAGCCGACATAGCGCCCATTATGAAGGCTTTTGTCGACAGATGCGGCTAGCTGACAGCAGCACGAACTTGTCTCGTCCTGTCAGTGACAACGATAACGTTAGTGTAGCCCACCTGCAGATCTACAAGGCAAGAGGTTAGCTCTTACCGGCAGAATGTGAGTGATGCCCGCTCACCGCCTTCCTTCCCCAATTCTGAATTGGGCCCAGGGAAACGCATTGACCAATGGCATCTTGATCTTCACGGGTGGAGTTCGAGCTCATCTTACCTCCGTACTGCGGCGACTCCAAGGCACTGATGAATGGCCCTAAGAACCAAAAGGAACAACATGAACTTGCAACACAAAATGGAATCGCGTCCGCCTCCTTTGTATCAAGTCATTCACGAACCAATTACATTGCCCGTGGTCTGGGGCCGGATTGTCCCTGGAGGGTGACGGCAGATTCGGCTTGCATCACCATGTTGAATGAATCTGATTCTGCGTTGCTGCAGCAGTGCATGTAACCCGGATACCGGCATTGACTACCTTACTGCAAGCTGCCATGCCACGAATGTCTCTTGCCGCTTCGTTTGTTGCGTTATGCGAGGTCGCGCATCAGTCCGACATCAACCGTACCTCTTGAAGACAGGTCGCTCGACTTGAAGCAACGATATAATACCTAAGGTAAGGTAATGGAACTTATCTTGGGACCTAGCTGTTGGATTGTTCTAGGATACATCTCATACAGCCCATGTTCGAACATTTCATCCTCAGAGAGACAAAGATATTCAGTTTCCAGAGAACTAGACTCATCGCCAGCTGCTCTTCTCTCTCTATTCATCAATCGTTTTGGCTGAGCCACATGGTGCACCACTGTGCCCTCCCACAGCGCCTGGCCAACGAAAGCCGCTGTGCATTTGCCTTTCACTTCTCCACATCACCCTTACTGAGTTCCAGAAAGTAAACAAGGAAACAACATGAGTTGATCCCTGATTCACATATGTTGTCTTTGTGATGGATAGGGGCGTGCAACCCAAAGCCGGAGCCGGCCATTTGTTTGTGGCGGTGGCCATCCACTCTCATATGCCACCTACAAGTCCCTATATACTATATATGCGAGGATAGAAGCACGGAAATACGCATCACTACTGTTGGACACAGCATTGGGTGCGAATGAGACCAGGTGACGTTACTCTTGTGTCAAGTATCACCACCCTCGGGCTCAAGCAATCTGGAAAGTTACGACGAGCGGCGTTCAAGTTTCGCATCCATTCCTCTCCCAGTTTCTGCCCCAAGCGGCATCTTAAGCCTGGATCATGGTATTGAAACTGAGGGATAGGCAGCGAGTTGCCATAGCAATAGCTATAACCTTCTCCTTCTTCGTCTGTGAGCTCATAGGTCGGTAACGGAAGTGTGTCAAGGAAGTGGGAGGCCCAGGATCCGCAGCTGACACGCATCTACTTTGCCCCAGTTGCCTTCAAGACGCAGAGTCTAGCCCTGATGGCCGATGCCTTCCACTATGTGAGTCAGCCCCCTGGATCAGGCAATGCAATTCTAAGGTTGTATTCAGCTAACCCCGTGGCTACTATTAGTTGACCGATCTGCTCGGCTTGGTCGTGACCTTGACTGCCATCTTCGCAAGTCGCTTTTATCAGTACTAGTACCTCCCGGATGGGAAACTACTAGTAGATCGGTCGGGTATGGTGCTGACTCGATAGGCAGATATCGGAGCGTCCCGATTCCCCGCAGGACCTTTCATTTGGGTGGCAGCGAGCCCGGTTGCTTGGTGCTTTCTTCAATGGCGCCTTCCTGCTTGCGCTGGGAGTCAGCATCCTCCTCCAGTCAATTGAACGCTTCATTTCAGTCCGTGAGGTCGAGGATGTGAAGTTGGTCCTCATCATGGGCTCTATAGGCCTTGTGTTGAACATCATCAGCGTTGTTCTCCTGCATGGTTAGTACTATACCACGGGGCGGGGTGACAGGACATGTTGGGCATCCAACTGACATAGCCTCTATAGGGCATCACCAACACGGCCACCATGCCAAGACCGACATTGAACAACGCTCGAGCTGTCCATCTGATGGGTCATTCTCAAAGGTAAGTGTAAAGCGAGCACATGGAGAGAGCGATACAGTGCCTTGCTAAGCATCATCCATGTGCAAAAGAGCGTCGATAAGCATCTTGATCATCGACACGCCAGACACACCCTCAATACCCTCAATACCCCGAAGCGAGACCTCGGCATGGTCGGAGCTATGCTGCACGTCGTCGGCGATGCGCTCAACAATGTGGCAGTCATCACCGCCGGGGCCATCATCTGGTTCACGTCCTCGCCCATGAGATTCTATGCCGATCCCGCCGTTAGCATGGCAATATCTGTAATTATCTTCTTGTCAGCTTTGTCTCTGGTCAAGAAGAGCGGCAGGATTCTCCTCCAAAGCGCACCGCGGGGAGTCAACCTTGCAGATGTCAAGCACGACATTGAGAAAGTGTGTACATTTTTTACCCTTGAAGTGCGTCATCGGCAAACCTCCCTTAGCCTACTAACACGCGCCTTTCTCCCTATAGATTCCTGGCATCGAGTCGGTCCACGAACTCCATGTCTGGCAACTCGACCAGTTGAAAGCCATTGCCTCGGCCCACGTCACCGTCTCGGATTCCAACATTGACACGTTCATGGAAAAGGCAAAGACGATTGGCGAGTGCCTTCATGCCTATGGAATCCACTCGACGACGCTGCAGCCGGAAATCATGTGCACACCCCTGGGGCCCGGTGGCGGTAACGGAAGGCAGTTGCCGTGCCAAGTCATGTGCGGTAAGGGCAAGTGCGAGGAGCTCATGTGTTGCAGTACTACTAGTATCGTGCAGGAGTACTAATGTCCTCTCTCACCGTCATTGGGTTGTCTGATAATCGGTCGTCTTCAGGTTGTTAATCGCACTAACACATAGTTCTTTTTCGTCCTTTACTTTGTGATGAGAGAAGAGCGCCCCCTGAGCGAGTCAGTTCCGAGTTGAATACAGGCCAGACAGTGGTAGTCCGTATGCACTGCAACATGTAAATATAGGTAGTCTTCAAATTCCTACACATTCTTGACCTTCAACTTGAACCTTGTGCTCAAGATAAGATCCTTCAAGCACGGCCCTCAAGCCCTCCTGGCTTGTGGACAATGTTTGTATGGCTGCACGAACAAGGGCGCGATACTAGTAACTTCATGGAAGGCCGGATTCCTGAAGTAGGACGAGCCGGCCAGAGAAGCAAAGCAATATTCCAGTGGTTATCAATGCAGTAAGCGCGGACGACTCTTGCCCCTGACTGGTAGAGCCTCATCCCACACTATCCACACTCAGGTACATACATACACGGCACCGAGAACCTGGTTCTTTTGGCACCAGATACGCCATTTCCATGAGGGGCCCCTCAGTGCCGGATCAGACTCGGAAGAAGCATCCCTATGCGCCAACCAGATCACCAACCCACGCCTCGCTTGTTGTCTGCGTTCGTCTCGTTTTGCCTTTTTTGGCCTGCCCGGACCCATCCCCTGGGAGTAACGAGAAGGAGGATCGCCCCTGTTTCCTGCAGCATGGAAAGGGGCGTGGGGGATCGCAGACTTACCTTTTATTCTGTAAGGAGGTACTTACCTTCTCCTACAAACATAATGCACATGTGTTCAGAGAGAAGAAGAACCACAGCCAACATCTACATCGCCTGAGCTAGAGGCTAGAGGACCTGATAGATCCCTGGTTAACGATATCGTTGAACCTCTATTCTCGGGCTGCTTTTATATTCCTGTTGAGTTGGAATCCTTTGCATCCACGCAGAGGCTACTAGGAAGGTATGTAGCATACACCTAATTGCCCGTCTGACGTTTGGCTTGTAAGGAATCAGGTCGTGTAATTTGGTTAGAGCGTGCCTAGGAGCATCTTGCTCTTGCTGTCCTACGACCTGGATGCGGACGGAAGGAGCAAGTCCAACCCAGCTCTTACTGTTTCAGGCCAGTATAACCCCCCCCCTCCTTTCCTCCTCTCTCCTCGCGCAACCGAGGTGAAGCTGAAGATCGCCACCACCACCGCCAGTATATGGCCAAGAAACTACAAAAAGACGTGAGGACTACAAAAAGACATGAGGAATAGTTATCCAGGTTGCCAGGGGGCTTACACGGGCGCAGGAGACGCTTTGGATCGAGATGTGAAGACGGTGATCGGAGATACTGCAACTATATACACTACATAACGTCATTTTCTGCCAGTTCTATTGAGTATCTCCAGATGCAAACCGCGATTCATACAGACATGCAGAACGCAGCCAAAGTGCGGCCAGCCAACATCGACTTCCAGGTTGACGTTATCTCAATCGACGTGTGCTTTTCAACGAGGTCACAGGGGCTGGGCTTCCCGATTGGGCCATGTCGGCCTGCCCTCCGTCGACATCATTGGCTGTGTGCCATTTGGGCGTGCATATTGCAAGGGGCGAGTAGTTAACACTACAGGAGATTATGTAGGTGAGGCATGCAGGTGTGTAAAAGGCAATGACAACCTCAAGCACTGAAGCTGGGTAGGCAGGAGCGTTGGCTATGCTTTCAAGGAAAAGAAAACTACCCATGACTTTTATTACTGTCCAGCTTACCCAGGAGGAGACGGGGTCTTTATTAGAGAGTGTCTCGCCGCACTATGTATTTTGTCTCTCCACACTATGATCCCGACAACATGCATATACATAACCCTAACCATCTTCCAGCCTGCTTTTCCAGACCACAACTTACCATATTCCACCATACAAAGATATTTTGAGGCAGCGGGAGCAGGCGTGCTTGAGCACTGGCAGCGCAGGGTACGTCAAGGAGGGACGAGCGTGTGTCAGGGTTATGTATGTGCATGTGGTAGGGTCAGTGTGTAGTGAGACAAACCACATAGTGCGGCGAGACATTCTCCTTTATAAATGCCTCTTGCTCGCCGCAATTGTCGGAGGCATCCGCCCGGCCGAGGCATCCCGGAACCGTCCGGACGACCCGAGAACTCAGACGAAGAGAGCCTGGAGGGCCGGCAGTCAAAGTAAAGTTGCACTACCTGGGAGGAAGGTATGCTGTAAGATACCCGTCATAATTATCGCGCAAAATTCATCCACAATGATCATGCGCTTCGTGTCTCTTGACAGGTCTATATCTTGCTTTTCCCTAATTCTTTGACTAATCGTCCAACTGCCGGCGAGGCCCGGCTCCAAAACTCTGCATTATGACAGTGGAATGCAGTGGTGAGAGTGGGTAGGCTGGGTGGGGAGACTTGTCCCCCGACCCGCATCAATCACCAATCGTCACGGCGAGCCAGACGGTCGGAATTCAACCCCTCACCCCAGCCCAGTGGCGCTGCCTGAATGCGGCATCGTGAAATGAGAGTCCGTACTTCGGACAACTCGACAACCACACTAGGAGAAGCGCGGAAGGGTTACTTCATCGATATGCTGTGCTGGGTCGCGAGTCTTGAGACAAAGACAAATGAGAACCTTTGGAAAGAGGACGAAAACGGGTATTAATATCCCGTAAACGGCTCGGAAGGTTAGCCGACGGCGGCCGGGCCCGCTGCAAAGTGATGTATTGCACATAGGTAGCCTCCGTAGCCAAATATGCACTGAGGTTAGTCCGGTAGTGTGCTCTACTACCTCAACTCTCGTTATTTACCGGCATGGTTCGGCGGTTGAATTATAAGAGTGTATTCGTACCTGGTCCCGGAAAGTGCCAACCAGATTCTGCGTGCCGACGGTAGCAAATCCATGACGAACATCGACTCCTAACTTCAGACAATGGCAGACAATGGACGACTAGTAACAATGCTCATACAGAGTATGATCTGACCTAATCGAAGAGAGATTGTGTTGTGCATGCTGCAATGCAGGTGCTCGGCGTCTGCCATCGAGTCATCGTACTCTGGGAAACATATAGAGCTTCACCACACCTTGTGAGACTGTAGCTTGTGAGGTTTCGTGGCAGAGACTTGAGGTTGGACGGGGTTATTTTTGGTGCCCAAGTCGGCATGGCGGCGAGTCTTCTGTACCGGTACCTCAGCTGTCAAGTTGGGCTGCGCTGCGTTTAAAATTGGACCCACCCATCTGCTGCATCGCTCTGTTCGAGCCGCTTCGATTTGCAAAGCTGCAAGCGACATTTGCCCTTTGCCGGTGCCCACCGGGCCCCACCGGGTCCCGCCGGGTCGCACCGACAGCGCAGCACTTGCACTTGTTCTTGGCCCTGTCCTAGCAAGCTGCAACACACCAACTGGAGCGCGCTGGACGCAGAACATCCACCGCCGCTTTCGTCGTCACTCGTCACCGCCATTCTCAACCCTTGTACCGGTATCCCCGCAAAGCAATCAAACAGAACCGGCGACAATTGAGTTCCCTCGTGATCTAGGCAGACAGACATTATATCCAACAAGACGCCAGAGCCGCGCAAAGCGTCATTTTCTATCTTCTTCTCGGGCCACACTCCCTTGACAGAGTTGAAGTGACTGATGGGAGGAACTGTGCGATATCCCGCCTACACTTATTCGCCCGCCTCTCGCTCCTCCCGGAACCTGCGATCAAACGCCCTCCGACCTTCGGTATGTATGTACGGTCCTATACACCTCACTTACCTAAGGCCTAAATTACTCCACATGGCGAATTCTTTGAAAATCCCCACAGGCTACCGCTATTCCTGTGGTAACGCATGAAGTTCTGTACTAACCGCTCGGGAAGACAAGACGCCACGAATAGCGGCTTGCCGTGACTCTCATTGGGAGGAGCCCCTAGTCAACTAACAAAACGCACGTATGCACGCCCTTTATGCCCTCAGGCCTTCGCGTGTCCGCCGTCCACTCGTTTTGCTGGGTACTTGCGCACTCCTGACCGCAGCGGTGTGTTTTGCGTAAGCGGCTGGACTTTCTCCTTGGCCGCCAAACCTCTGGCCTTTCCCAGCCTGGCGTGCTAGGTGCTAGGGTAGAAGGAGAGTACGGGGTGGTGTTGTTGCTTGACGGGCTCGGGCATCGGGACCGTTATCGCGTCTCGCACGGTGCTGAGATTGAGCATCTGGGATCTGCGCCCGTTGCCGCGGTGTGCGATGCCACACCACGCCTCGCCGTTCCCGTACTCAACACAGCGTATTCTTACTGCTTTGCTCACCTCAACACGCTCCCATCGCATGGCGGCATCGCCAACCCCGCCAGCAGCGATGCAAGTCCGGCACCTGCCTGCCGTCTGAACTTCCGAAGGGACAGACCCCACGACTTGCACAGCGCGCAAACTTGCCCGCAACTCTGTGATGCTCGGAAAGCTCTTCAACCTTGGCGCTGGCTCCGGGGCCGGGGATTCCCCTTCTGCCCAGACCCAGTCGCACAAGCCCGTCTCTCTCGACTCGGTGCAGGAGGACATCCATACCCGGAATCTGCTCTTCCCTGATCCGCAGGACCTCTATGAGCACCGCTTGAACCAGCTGTACCCCCTCTCCAGCGGCTCTTCTACACCCGTCAACTCACCAACCAACGCCTTTGACTACAATGGCGACGTTGAGCTCGACGTTCGCGATGTCCGCATCATCATCATGCAGGACGCCCTGAGCTCCGTCGCAGCGTCTCTTCTCTACGACAGCCAACCTCCCCCGTCCGTCCCGACCGCTTCCGTGGATCGCCCCTCGGCCACCGCCGGGTCCTACTCGGTGCAGGAGCCACGCCGAACGCCTGCGTCTCCCCGAAAACCCAGCATCCACTACTCGCAGCGCCCTATCGTGATTCAACCCGGCAGTCCCAAGACTCGGCAGGGCGCCTTCGATAGGAGACCATCAGTCCATAGCCGTAATCAGGGCCATGTCGAGAGTGAGTCGCAGCGCGCTTGGCGGGAGTATCGGGAGGAGCTAGCTACTTTTTCCAGCTGCATATTTGGCAACTCGGAACTCATGGCGTACAAGGGAACCTCGACCAAGGTGCACGTCGTGCCGTCTGAGGTTCGAACTGTCGAGAGCACGTCGAGTCCAGGGGACGGCCGTGGCTCCCTTGGCAGGTCTAGCATGCGGGCAAGCCGGCTCTCACAGTCCTTCTCCATCGAGAACCCCCCACCATTCGCCACTTCCGCTGCCCCAAGTGCTGCAAGTCGTGTCTCCGACCGGAAGAAGGTGCTAATAACGAGACTGTTCCCTGTTAATCTACCTCTTGACGAAGACCCTATTCTTCGAGGCTCCTTTTCCGAAGACCCCACCAGCTACCCCTTCCCGCCGACCGCGGACGACGTCAGGATGAAGAGAAGGCAGCCCAAGCCCAAGCGAACGCCCATGTACGCTGTGGCCCTCATCATTAGCCTGCCACCCTCACCTTCGCATTCGACGCCAGCACCCGCATCAAGGTCGGCATTCCGAGGTCCCAGCTCCTATTCTGAGCAAGACTCGTTCCCCTCATCTTTCAGCTCTACCCGGCGATCGGGCTGGACCTTGGTTGGTCAAGGAGGATTCGGTTCCGATTCCTTCGACGTGGGACTTGGCACTGATGTTGAAGACCAAATCGACGCTATCACGCAGCATTGGGATATCATCATGCGGACGCTGAGCCACTTGCAGTCCATTGTTGCCACCACGCTCCTAACCATGCTCAGACAGGCAGACCTGGCTTCTCCGGACCCGCTCCCAACTTTGTCAATCCAGACGGGCAGGGGCTCTTCTGTATCCGGGCGCCGTAGTGAAGACGGGCCGCCCGTCAAAATCCCAAAGGCAAATACCAAGCACATCACGCTACTTCCAAACTGCCTGCTAGACAATCGGCGCATCGGCGCCGAAGTAGAAGCCGCAAAGACGAGGGTAGTGGCCGGCATTCGAGCTTCTCGTGTGACGACGGGTCAGAACCGTTGGCCAATCTGGCGGGAGGAGGCTCGGTGGGTAGCCAAATGGGCTGGTGGAAAAGAGCAGGGCTTCTTCTTTTTCAATTTGCTAACAGGGTTTCTCGCAACACATACCGACTGGCTTCAGGCGTTGAGCCCGCCGTCTTACCGGCGACGCCACTTCTTACAGCAGAAAAGCAAAGCCGAAGAGGATTCCTGGGTACCCGCTCGCACCATCATCATCAGTGACAACAAGATAGCGGCGCGACGCTTGGTCTTCCTCCTGGCCGCATTCCTCCCGGCTTCACAGCCGCTTCCAGGTATTCGGACCCATCGGCCAAGCACTCCAGCATCCCTGGGAGCCTTGTCGCACTCACCTCCATCCTTCGTCGTGCCCATTCTCAAAGAGGAGTCGCTCCGGAGGAAGATCAATCGCCGCCCTGGGTCGCGCATGCCATCACATTCTCGAAATCTCAGCTTGCAATCGCACAATGCTCGCGCTGGCGCCGTACCTCCTCCGCTAGCGCACCTGAGCATGGAAGGCCGACACGAAAGACGGTCTTCAGATGCGATGTCAATCAAGACGAGCAAGTTGCCCATTCACGGCAGCGACGTAATGACACGCAAAAGCAGCGCTGCCACAACCGCAACCATCACGCAGGAAACCAGCATTCCGCACTTCTCCACTGTTCATCGAGCCGACGGCTTTTCCCAAGGCAGGCCTGGGACCAGTACCAGCGTAGCAGCGGACGATCTAAAGCGGCTTACCGGAGATGAAGGCCCTGGGTCTCAAGCTCCGACGACTAGTGAGCGCAGGCAGAGCTCGAGATGGAGCGTGATCAGCGGCCTTTGGAGCGTTAGGAGAAGAGACTCCACAAACAAGGTTCCCTTGCAGGACGACGCAGGGAATGGAGGTTCTTCGTCGCCTACAAAGACGCGGCAACCTTCCGACTCCTCGCTGTGCAAGACGCGGCCAGAAGTTGAGACTCCCGCGGATCCGAAAGGGCAACAGCTCGGTGGCACCCAAGATACTTCGGCGACGGGTTCCGGCGATACAATACCCCCTGCCCGCCCCTCCACGGACACATTGGGACTCTCCGGACAGCCTCCCGCTCTACAGAAAGCACAAAGGATACCGGACCCATCTGGGGCTTTCGAATCTCCGGTGAAAACATCAATCAACATCGACGATGGGGTTATCGACGTGGATGTCCCGTTGCCGGATTTTGTCACTTCGTTTGAGAGCGCCGTTAGCTCGCCTTCGAGCAGTGGCTATCTCTCTGCTTCGGGATTCTGCACAGGACTCGATGCTTTTGAGCACTCCTGCCGCTTCTCCCCAGACGGGGACATGCCTCTCAATGTCGCTGGCTGGCTGCAGCAGTACCACCCGGACTTTTTGCTGCAAGCATTGCCGGCCCAGGATGGTATTATAGAGCAGATCAAGGCATCGATGCGAGTCGAACCATCCCCTCCCCAGTCTTCTAGCGCACAATCCACTGGAAGCACCGCTGAACGGTGGGTGGACATCAGCTCGGCCGTCGTGGCCGACACAACTACGTTCAACATAACGCGTATACGTTACCGTCGCTTGGTCAAGCCCAAGCCTGGCGGGGACCGCAACACGGCGTCGACGACACCCCTCGCCACCCAGGAGGTGCAGCTGAGGGAGGAATTTATCGAAGAGCCCATTGTCTGCTTCGACGACGTGCTCATCGAGGCCGTGGAGAAGGTCATGGCGGCGGGCGGCGCCGAGACGGTTAGCAAAGCGAGCTCGGAAAACTCGTCGCGGTCGGCCAGCAAGCGCAGGAAGAGCACATCTGTTGACTCGGAGATGGGGCAGCACCCCCCGTCCACGATTCAGGGCAGTCTCATGGTGCCGCAGGAGGTGCCGCGGTCCAAGTGCAAGACGGTCGTGCTCTCGGCGTTGGAGGATATAATACAGGATGTCATTGCGGAGAGGGAGCAGGAGCAAGAACAGGATCACGACGGTGCTCAGGGCGAAAGCCTGGTGAGAGAGGGAATCGGAGGAGAGGGACGGCAAAGAAGATACCGCAGCGAGCGTGCCGCCGCTGCCTTTGCCGCGAGGGAGCGGGAAAGCCCGCTGCGCGAGGCGGTCAGGGCCTGGATAGAGAGCGTGGATCTCGGCGATTGAAGAAGTGATACCCCATGTCCTTAATGTTTTCTTCTTCTTCTCCCACATTTCGGTGCTACAGTATCCGACTTGGTTTCTTTCTTCCTTGTTCTTTCGTCCATCAGAACTTGACTTGAGTCGAAAGGAAAGGGCAACTCTCCTTCATTCTGCATTCTCAAATCTCAACATGACCTTCGGGTTACAGACGCAGACGCTTTACGTTATGTTACGATTAGGCTCCAAAATGGATGCGATGGGCTCATGGCATGGGTATACCGTGTCAGCGGCGGACTATATGTCGAACGTTACAATCAAGGGCTTAGATAACCTCTAACTAGTTCCTCTATAATGAGAAGCCACTAGTAACTATTTACATACAGTAAAGTACTAATATCGTTACACCTGTGTCTGTGTCGTTTTGCGACATGCATGTCGTTGCTCAAGTTGTCAAAGATCATGCATTATCTATGATGCCTACCGCCAGCCGTATGGAGTTCTCAGGGGTTCTGGATTCTGATTAGCATGTCCCCTTTCCCGTCCCCACCCGACAGGAGGAGGATATGACTTGTTTCTGAACCCGTAGCTGACGGAAGTCGGATTCCTTTGAGTTACTTACTGCCTAGCTGACGTGCTGGCGAGATGCTATGGATGATGATGGGCACAGAACTACTTCGTAGGTACTGTAGTGTATGTACAAGTACCTACTATGTAATACTAGCGCTGACGTGTGGCTGTTTCATCAGTTTGTGCGTTCTATTTCTCAGCAGTAAAAATAGCCAATAGGGGCTAAGGTAGGCTTGAAATTCCTCTCGTTGACTTCGTACCACCCAAGTACGTAGGTTTATTTCCATTCCGGGCTCTTGTCCTCGTACGGTATCCTGTACTGCGCTCTTCATCTCCCACCCATGACCGACACGAGAAGCCCCTTTGTGTCGAGTCTCGTATGTCGAGTCAACGTGGTAACTACCCTAACATACTTAGTACCTTAGTCGGTATGCCGGTTTCGACTGGAGCTTACAGTATGTATTGTACACACATTCGTACATAGGCAAACAGCAGAAGCGCCACAATTCTTAGCGGCGGCGACGACATCCTTCCCCGGGGCCTTCGCAAGCTACCATTTTCCGTAGGGCTTTTAACCACCGTCAGCTCTTAACCATGGCCAATGGGAATTGGACCTGCATCTGTCAAGTCTTGGCACAGCTGGCAAAATGTGGGGCTGGTTAAGAGCTGACGGTGGTTAAAAGCCCTACGGAAAATGGTATGCTTGTTCTGTCTATCCCTTCTCACAAGATTACAAGCAAGTCAATTCTCTTGCATGCTTAGTCTGGTATGGGTCCGACTACATACTGTATCAAGAGGATACTAGTAGCGTAGCTGACGTCGCGAACGCCGTGAACGCCGCGAACGCCATGTGGGTCATGACTGCGCGGCCAAGACCAGCACCGGCTAAAGCTGACGGGTAAAGTCGAGTGCGAGGTCAACTCCTCCCGGCGCTTGCGAAGCTAGGGATGGAGCTAGGTATGACTTCTTGAGTATGTATAGTGTGCGCTAGAGCTGTGACAGCTCAGCAGCACCAGTCCGTGTAAGTCTTGGTAAACTTACTCCACGTGCGTTGACGTTGCTAGGTCGATACATAGCAGGTACCAACAACTGAAGGAAGGGATGAATGCTTGTCGTGGCTGCGGGCAGGCGGATGGAAAGCCAACCCCGTCGATGCTAGACCGGGACTCGGACCTGGACCTGGACCTGGACCTCGACGGTGCTTTGCGGAGACAACAACTGTTGTCGTTTCTTCGGTTCGTTGATCTTATGATGTGAAAGTCCCGTGGTAATACCACCTTTCAACTACCGTGGTAAGGCAAGCCAGCGACTTAGAGGATCAACCGTGCGTAGAGCCGAAATAGGAAGGTCAAAAACACGCGATCAGACGGTTTCGTGAGACTCTGATGAGTACTCGTAAGTGACTGGAGTTTCTCAATGGTTCAGGGTCGCTGGAGCCAAAGAACTGTCAAAGGTGGTACAGCTTGGCGTAGCTCTACCCAAACATCGAAGAGGTGACAGGTGAAAGTTGCGATGCTAACGGTAGCATGGCGAATGCGAGTGCATTGGCCGATTCCTACCACACAAGCCGGGAAGAAAATGCTTGATTCTGTTGCGGATGTTACATGAGATATAACGTCGCGTATTCTTCAACGATGCTAATGTAGGTACCGGCAGCCGTACGTAGCGCTTTGTTGAACAGCTTAACGGTCGATGTTGGACCTCACAACTCGAGTCCCGCTGTGCTGATTGGTTGTTAACTTCCAACTTCTTGGGATTCGTAGGTAGGTAGCTTTGTTGATATTGCAAGCAGCACGCGGGAAGCAATATACTATCGTTGACGGTTGATGCAACCAGTACCGTTCTCGAGGGCCCTGAAGTCAACTAGATTGGCGGCCCAGTCCGTCGAGAATACTGGTAGCAGGTCAGAAGCAGTGAGACCCGCAGATGCGTAAAGCTGAATTCAGCGCCGAAGTTGCAGCAGTCGCTGTAGGGACTGTCGATTGTGCATCACGACGTCGAATCTTCAAGAGTCGGCGGCGTAAATAGTAGTTTCGCAATCCGTGCGAGGATGGATATCTCGGGTCTCTCTTGTAGAGCCGGTAGTTTGTTGAAGAGACGGCGACAGGATCTGATGTCGACGACGGAATGGACCAGTTCTCCAGGCGGAGAGTGACGGCCAAGGCCGACGTCCTCCGATCCGAGCCTGCCAACCCGGAGTGCCGGCACCGACAACCTGGCCCAGCCTGGAATGGAAGTAAGGGGGGTTCCGGTTGGCTTTGGCTTTGACACACATGCAGATTAGTTATATTGCTTTGAAAGCTTGTCTTTGAAATCTGTCCATAGCCTGAGAATTTGTCATGACTACGGAATACTTCGTAGTAGTCTCACAATCGGTTTGCGCTGGGCATGTGCCGAAATTCATCTTATGTGCGACCCAACGATCCAACGTCAGGTTGATGAAGGAAGCAAGAAAACATTCCAGCATTGGACAATGGGGGCTGCCTTGGCAGTCGGCAGTACCTTCCGCTGGAGGCTGATCGCTGCGGCCGAATTCAGGGGCAACTTGCAAACGGTGCGGCGGTGGCCCTTTCCCCGCCCTCCTTGAACCCCGCGCTTGTTTGAGCCAGGCACGCTTTTTCAGGCGCTGCCCCTGCATCTCGCAATCCCGTTGGCTGCCTCGAAACATTCCGGAATCCCCACTCTTTCAGCTAGCTTCTGCAAGAGGATTGGGCGAGAAAGAGCGAAGGGTTTCCTCCCAAGCCACATCAAAGATCGGCGGAGCCCTACCAGCCATTCCTTTCGATGAGATCCTTCCTTTGCAAGATTCCACACGCGCGACTATGCAGCAGGTTGATTCTTCACCTCTGTGACGCCGCAAGCCGCCTGTTTCTGGTTGTACGCCGAGTCCTGTTTAGAGCGGGCGGATTGGTCCCGTCTTGATCGGGCCGGGTAAATTAAGTTCAAACTGCCAAACAGCGACTTTGGTCGACTGATCTTAAGGCATGCGGAACGAGGCACTGCAACTCCCGCTTCCTGATTGCTGCAAGGGGTCCTTTGATGGGTTATCCAACAACCGTTGCTCACCAAAGAGCCGGGCCACAGGACCCTGGAGTGGCTCAGATGACAGCAAACAATGAGGCAATGAGGGACTCGGATGTTCTTGTGGCCCTCATCTGACTACGCGAGGCCTTTCGCCAATCCCCGGCCCGCATTGAGCCCAGCAGTGTCATTGTGCTTATTGACAACGTCGATTTGTCCGCCGTGCCACGATCGACGTGGATTGCTCCTTGTCATTAAAAGCCCGCTCTGCCGCCTTTCTGGGAATTCGAGTTCAGGATTTGTTTCAGTATAGACAGACGTTCTTTCCACCAGCAGGGCAACTCGAAAACGGTAGCTCATTCAGCATATCAACTCTCATTTTCAGCAGTAGACCTGCACAAGCCACCGATACCGAATACCTGCTATCTCGGTTCCTGCTGCAGTAGCCTGCGCCAAGTCTTCACTGCACCACTATCTTAGTCGCAATGCGGACTTCACACAGCATCGCTGCCGCACTGGCGGCCGGCTTCGGCCTGGCGTGCGCCGAGTGCGGTGCCAGCTCCTCCTTTCTCTATGTGACGTCGTACCCGCCCGAGGGAGCAGTAGGCAAGGTCACGACACTCAAGCTTGGTGATACGGGCTTGGAATCTATCGGCGCTTCCGAAGCCTGCGGTCCTTATCCGTCCTGGTTGACCCAGGCCGGCGATATTCTCTATTGCGTCGACGAGGCTTGGCCTAGCCCAAATGGCTCTGTAACTTCACTCAAGGTCGGTAGCGACGGGCTGCTGACCAAGCTGAGCTCCCTCCCGACCTTGGGTGGCCCGGTCAGCACAATCGTCTACGGTGATGGCGGTCGTGGATTGGCTGTGGCCGATTAGTGAGTAGTACTCAGTCCCTGCCCATGCCCGAGGCCCGTCCTCTACGGTGATTCCGTGCGTAGTTTTACAGTCCTGGGAAGCGTGCAATCTTCTCGGCCACGGCAGAGGTAATGCACAGCTCGAACTACTGCTAACAGCCTGGCGCCTGTAGCTCCGGTGCCGGTATCCAAACTTTTAACATTGCCGATCCGGCGGCGATTGCGGCGCTTCAGACGGAAGCATTCGCGGTTCCTGCCGACAAGCGCCCAAGCCCTCAAGATCAGTCTCGTCCTCATCAGGCTCTTCTAGATCCCACCGGCGACTTCCTCGTCTTCCCAGATCTGGGCGCCGATCTCCTCCGCGTCTTTAAGGTGGACAAGGCAACCTTGCAGTACAGCGAGTCGGTATGTATTTCTAATCCATATCCCCGTTGTAGTGGACGAAGACGACTGACAAAGCCCATAGACACCGCTTGAGTTTGACCGTGGGACCGGTCCCCGTCATGCGGCCTTCTACACGACTGAATCCAAGACGTTCCTATACATCATCAACGAGCTGCAGAACAGCGTCACCGGCTTTGCCGTTGCCTACAATGACGATAAGACCCTAGGCTTTCAACAGGTCTACAATGCCACCACGCACGGTGGCACCGACCCCGTGCCGGCGGGTACGGCAGCAGCTGAGATTGCTATCTCTGTAAGTCTGGCGCAACTGTCCCTCTTACCTGGCAATCAGCCCTAGCAAATCACACTAACCGTCGCGAAACGCGAACATAGCCCGACAAGAAGTTCTTGACCCTCTCGTCGAGGCTCGAGCGGAGCCTCACCTACACAGTCGCCAACGGCACGCAGGTGCCCTCGGACCCCCTTATTACCTTCTCGATCGACGGGGAGACGGGCGTGCTGACGCACGTCCAGACGGCGCCCGCTGGCGGCGTCAACCCGCGCCACTTTTCCTTCAACAAAGACGGCAGCCGCGTCGCCGTCGGCCTGCAAGCCGATGGTCGCGTCGTCGTCTTTGAGCGTGACACGGCCACGGGCAAGCTCGGCAAGACTGTGGCCGAGGCAGATGTGCCCGGTATGCCCAATTTTGTGCTATTTAAGGAGTAGGGAAGGGGATTGTAGGATGTTTAGACATTGCAAAGGAACATCATGGGAAAACAAAACGGATGGCTTGCTCTGATTTTTGTATTTTAGAATTCGAGAGCTTGTGGCGACGGAAAAGCGCCTGATTTTAGTTTCATGCCGGCATCATGACTGAATGGATGATGCCCCCAAGAGAGAATCCTGGTGGATTCCATCAACATGTTAAACAAGTGAGCATGAACAGTGATAATGTGATGAACCTGAGACGGATATTCAAGCAGGTAAAGTGACTGGAGGTCCCCGCCTCGACTCATGTACTGTATGTACATACACCAACAACGGCAGCGATCCCTGTGCGGGGCCGATTCCGTCGGCGGATCCGAGGGCGTGGTATCACACCATTTGGACCAGGCGACGATACTCGATCTTCAGCTTCTTATTATGGGCTGAAGCAAGGACTCAGTCGATTAATCTGGGAAACGGGGAGGAAAAGATACTCATTGCAGTACTGTATCATCCGAACTAGATTTTCGTACTACTAGTAATGCTTGTCATTGTATGTATTGTACATACATACAATCCCGCCCGTGCCATTGCTAGTGCCCATGCTCACGTCCGGAGAGGCGGCTAAGAACCGGGTTGAGTGAGGGTGGCCAAAGTTCAGATGAACGGGTCGAAGTCAATGCCCAGGATCTGCGGTTGTCGCGGCGGTACGCCGGCCGCCGACAGGGATGGAGTTTCTCCAGGCCTACGTTAGTGTATGTTTCGTGTAGGCCCGCGGGACATAGAGGTACTAATATGTCATGAAAATTGGATTTTGGGCGTTGTTGCAAGTGTGCGCACTAAGGCACTTAGGCAGGGGATAGGGGATGGGATCCCATACTGGTACTATTAGGAGGAGGTAAGCTCTGCATGGTATGTTCGTATGTTCGTACATACTTGATACGGATCCCTACTTAACTAAGTAATGACGTTAGAATCCCTAACTGTACGGAGGAGTGTAGGCTTCTTCATAGTCGAAAGTGCAGCAGGCCGTGCCATTGTGACTGACAGCATGACAAGCAGCTGCAGAGCAGACCCCCAAACACGTGGCGGGGCTAGAAGTCACGATTCTACACTAATATGGTTACCTTATGTATGAAGGACGCCACCTAGGTAGTGTATGCCGGCCATTGAGCGGTCCCCTCGAGTGGTTCTGGCTGCGAAATGTGCCAGGTTTGGCATGAATGATGGCCAGAAGCGGAATGACAGCTGTAGTCTCAATAGTGTCAGGAGGCGGAATGTCCTGCACCCTAGCGAGTACCTACACGTGCAATTTGACTAGGTATGTACAGTCACTATAGTCCATGCAGGAGGGCGGTTATGGCGAAAGCGGAGGATGCAATGTCTGCCAGTCTATGCACCTCTGCAGCGCAAGACCACCAGTTTTGGAAGGGACAGCATTCGCTACGACCCCCAAAAGGGGGCTCGTCGCAGCCCAGATCTGTCAACTGGAGGCGGCAACTCTTGACGGATTGCTTCGGCTTCCGATGTGGCCGCGCCCCCGCTCGGAGGCTCCCGGCTTGGTAGCGATTGACACGGCCATATGCAGGCACGGGAAGGATCCTGGTGCGGGGGAGCAACCCCAGGCCGCCTGGCCTTCTCTGTGGAGCAAACAAAGATCCAAGGGGCGGATCGGAGATGAGCCGGGCGTTAGCCGCGGTGTAGCTCCTCCACCTTTGGCCCGAAAAAGTTCCTCGCTACCACAACGCAGCTTGTTAGTGAAGTTCTAACGTTGCTAGAAGTAGTGGAATGGAATGCACAGTGTATTGTAAGTTGAGCGTCACTGGACGGTAGTGGGTAGGTAGCTGAGGGGAAGAAGGATCATACAGCCGACTGGGTACGTGTGCAGTACTCCGTACTTGTGTAAGTGCAGCTTCCGAACGCCGAACCAGAGACGACTGCAGTGCTGACCCCGAGAGAAGGAGGTCCAAGATGCTCTCGGGCATCCGAAGGCCTTGGCAAGAAGCTTGCCTGCCGAGCAGAGCACCGAGGTCCGGCAGTCGGTATTCGCGGCTGGGGGCAAGCTCAGTAAATGGAACCCTAGAGTCTACAGCAGCAATCCGTTGATAGAGACCACGACTGGACCGCGCTTACAGCAGCACTGTAAGTACAGTACTCGGAACAGTACAGGACATACCTACAGGGTCCCTTCCGCCGAAGAGGAACCCGGCGGCACAAACAGACGCCATTTCGGTAGTGCAAGCGTTTAACTTTTTGAAAGGAGTCCACGTATTGAATGGGGAGGTCCTAACCTTAGCATCCGCGGGGACGGGCGGCTACCCTGACTGACCAGGTCTGGAAGGGGCCCCCCACGACCGCGCGCAGCATGGTGTTCCGGGAGGAATGGGCTTGCAATATCGATTCCCGTCGCCGCGTGGTGGAGTCTAGACAGCCGAGCCCACCTCACCCTGTCAACGGTGGGGTGTGCCGATTAATATGGGGCTGCCGGCTCTCCGGGTCCCATGACCACTCGGCTCTCCCGTGGAGACGGCAGGGCCGTGACGGTGATCGGGCGACCGGTCTGGCCCTAGTCAAATCCAAGGTCTCGAGCTGCCGAAAGGCCGTGATTCGTGATGACTAAGTTAACGTAACCGTTGGAGATAGCTTCCATGAGCTCTACCTGTTATTACAGATGAACTGTTCTTATCCTGAATCTTGAGCATACTGTCTGTGTACATACACACCTTGGTCAGGTTGACAGTCGACCCGATCTTCCATGATCTTTTTGGGTGCTCTTTTCATGGTCATTTTGTTGGTCAGCGCTAGGATAAGCGAATGCCAGCGAGGGTCAATGTACTGGTTAGGTCGATATCCATAAACCGATTCTTGCGCACAGGTGATGACTTCAGAAGGGTCTAATTGCAAGTGCCTAATCGGACCGAAATTGCTGAGATGGTTCATCAAGCCACTCACGTCTTACGTGCTTTGTCCCAGATCCCAGATGCACGTGCGTGGTGCAGCGCCGTCGAAGATCAGCCACAGACGGTCCTCAATAACAGGAGTCCGGGACTGCAAAACTGCATTTCTTCTTTGATGTTATTACTGTGTAAGTACGGGGAGTCTTGGAGATCTCGACGGTGGTGTGGGAGCGGAGCCGTCATCACTGCAAAACTCGGTTGCTCAATATACGATGCGTATAGACGCCCCATCCTCCCAATATCAGCAATCTCTCGGTTACCTGAAATAGACTTGGCCCTGCTCGCCACTCGAATGGAGGCTGCGCGAGTGGGCCATAGAGTTCACGGGACTGCTCGACCAGAAAGGAAGGAAGAGCTTGTCGCGGTCAGAAAGTCATTTGTAGCCGCGCTGGCGAAGGAGCTCCCATCGCCACATGACTCTTGAATCCGCTCAGGTCATGGCAAACGGATGGTGAAATCGGCATACACTACAACTGATGGTATGGCAATGTTACTGTCTCGATGCACCGTTGAAGAGGACCCGGGCGGGGTACGAGGATCATCACCGCACAGGGAACAACCTCCTGTGCCTTTTGGAATCCAGAGGCGTCAAATGTGGGGTGGAAGCTGCTTCTCGAACTCTTCCTGCTCCTCGTCTCCGGTGCTAATGCGGAAGCGTAACCGTGGTTTGACGGCCTCGAGATTGCAAGGAACGACGCTGGCAGTTGTGTGATTTATGCTAAATTGATGGGTGCAAGGGTCATGCAAGCCTCGCAAGCCACCATCACACAAGTGGACTACATAGTTGAGGCCATAAAGCCCCTCGGACGAGGGCGATGGGAGCTGCCTCTTGGCCGTCTAGCAGTGCCAGCGGCGGTCGACAGCGTTGTCGGCGAAGAGTCCTGGGAGCTCATGGAGAAGAAATACGATGACCTGCCCGATGAAGATGGCGATGGAAATTGATGACCATGGAAGCCGCCCTAACTACTCCGTATTGTAGAAGCGTTTCACGCTGGTCGTGCGGGGTTGAGAAATGTCTACCTAGATGTAGGCGCTGACCACATGCGAGCTCTGAGGTTGGCCACTGTAGCTACTGTAGCCTTTCCAGCAAGATGTCGCAGAGGAATGGAATCTGTGTCGTGGTTTGAATTTTCCAATCTAGGTAGTTCTGACCGAGGGGCAACCTGGAAGTGTCCTTAAATATAACATTGGTGATGATGATCGAGGTGTAGACAACAAAGGGCGGATTTCCCATATTCATCGACATACCTTCAGTACTCAAGATATACTGGCGAGGCGTGACGCCGTTTGGCGTCCACATTGTTCTGCTCTCAGGTGCAGACTCCACATTATGCCGCCGAGGTCCTGGTGTAATAAGCGATCGAAAGCTATCAACGGAAGAAGCGGAGCAACGCCCTTGGAGACTGGTTTTGGCTGTTGGGGACCCCACCCCCGCGTTATTGATTTGCACTTCCCTCCTTCATTTTCTTTTCTTCTCCGCACAAGACCCACACTCCGTCCCAAGCTGTTAGCTGGCGGTGTGGTTGGGAAGCACACGCTCGCCCATCCATAAGGATGATACGGCTTTCCATGGCTCGCTTCATGTAACATCAGGATTTCAAGACGACATGGACATGGTGGTGAGAAGTGTCATGCCATGCTAGAGTACGGAGTGAGGATAGCCCGAGCTTAAACACATCAACGAGCAAGCACGACACAGACGCATTTACAAGTGAACGTACCCCACATCGTTACGGTTAAGGTAAGGGACTTCTTAAGCACAGTAACATGCAATACGCTCCACAATATGCCTTCGCTTTGCTCTTGAACGGCACCTATGCGAGCTAGCGACATGGGGTCGTCAACCACCCAGCCAGCCAGCGTCCTCTTCCCACAGCTTGTCGGCACTAGCGCATGGCCCCCCTGTGCCCGCCGTCCCGCCTCCGTTATATCTGATTATTGGTGGCCAGACTAGCGTTGTGTAGGTGTAATTACGGACCCAGTAACTGGCTCAGGGCAGCTTTCCCCCGCAAAGGCTAACGGCCTGCGTAACTCGGAACCAGCAAACGCACAGACACGCACCCTCACATCACACCTTGGCCTGTCGGGGTGCTCTGGTGCAGTCAGGTATGTACCTTTTGGGTACCCTGCCTCGCCTGCTTCCTCTTGGCCACGCCCAGCGCAGACCAGACGCTCGGCGAAGGCTGATCCAGTCCGTGAATGAGATATGAATCCTCCACTTCCCAAGGTCCCGGAAAATCCTCCACACCCGTCACACCGGCTCTAACGCAACACACCGACCGAATACACACCATCCGAAAACCGCCTTTGGCATTTGTCTTCGTAATAGCAAACCGATATGCGAGTACGACTGCGCGCAACAGGTCCAAGTGTTTACGGTGTTCATGGTGTTTGAAAAGTTCGACTTGTCGTGCAGGAGCAGCTTCTGTGTCAGGTTGGCTGGGTAAAGATTGGGACTCGTCGCGATTCTGCTCTGCACCTCGGTCCGCGAGGTCTCAGGCTGTTGGAAGGAAGCCTGATTTTCTTGTTCATCGTCTCCGTCTTCCAGCTTGCGCAGCCCCCGATTCAGCATGTCGCCGTCCTCGAACGGCGACTCACCGCACTCGGCAACAGCCACCATGACAGGGGCTACCAACGCCGCTGTCGTCAGGCCGTTTCCGTTGCCGAATCGAGACTTTTCGGTTGAAATTCCATCTCCCCAACTTGGCGCAGCCACCAATGGCGCCAATACGTTAAAATCGCCAACATCACTCAAATCGGCGCGAACGCCCAGCTTCAGCCGCGAGGGCATTCTCGGTTCGGCACAGAAGGCTCGCAACCTTTCACAGACAGCCGAGAATAGACCGGAAAACGCCACCAATGGCATTCCGAAATCACAGAGTGATGTCGAGAGCATCAATCCGCTGAAAAGAAGAAATACAGATGCCGGGGTGGATTATCCAAGGCGGAGAGCTACCATTGCCGTACGTTGAGCCGCGGTCAAGCACCGGCTGGGAGCTGACCAGTTTGTAGTGCGAGGTATGCCGGTCGAGAAAGTCGCGATGCGATGGGACGAAACCCAAGTGTAAGCTCTGCACGGAGCTGGGCGCTGAATGCATCTACCGGGAGCCCGGGATCAAACTGGATGCCGGGGACAAGCTCATCTTGGAGCGGCTCAATAGGATCGAGAACCTGCTCCAGATGTCGATTGTTGGCAACGGGAGCGGCATTGGTTTATCGCACGATTCGCCCAACATGAGCAATGGCACTGGTCTCAGCGGCGACAACCTGATGATGCAGAACGCCGCCAACTTCGTCTCGGTTATCCCGAGCGGCGGTCTTGGAACCTGGTCCGCGACAGCCACCAACAACATATCCACCATGCCAAAGGTGCACACGAATGCGGCTCTTCACCTGCTGCAATGGCCGCTGATTCGGGACTTGGTTTCGCGGCCCTACGACCCGCAAATTCTCCTTCAGCTTGAAATGGCCCGCGAGCCGCTGCATTCGCTTACCAAGACGCCTTGCGTCGACTTGTCCAACACAAATGCCTACATTGAAGCCTACTTTGACCGAGTCAATGTCTGGTATGCGTGCGTGAACCCATACACGTGGAGGAGTCATTACCGGATTGCCCTTTCAAACGGTTTCAGAGAGGGGCCGGAAAGCTGCATTGTGCTTCTCGTCCTGGCGCTCGGCCAGGCGAGCCTGAGAGGAAGCATATCGAGAATTGTTCCACACGAGGATCCCCCTGGGCTTCAGTATTTCACCGCCGCCTGGTCATTGCTGCCCGGCATGATGACGTCCAACAGCGTGCTTGCGGCGCAGTGCCACTTACTGGCTGCCGCCTACCTCTTCTACCTCGTCCGGCCCCTAGAAGCGTGGAACTTGCTCTGCACAACCAGCACGAAACTACAGCTTCTGCTGATGACACCCAACCGAGTCCCGGCCGACCAGAGAGAGCTGATTGAGAGGATCTACTGGAACTCGCTCCTCTTTGAGAGCGACCTACTCGCAGAACTGGACTTACCACATTCGGGGGTTGTGGCGTTCGAGGAGAATGTCGGCCTTCCTTGCGGTTTCGAAGGGGATGAGCAGGAGGCGGTCGGCCGAGACGACTTGTGGTACTTCCTGGCCGAGATTGCTCTGCGGCGGCTGCTGAACCGAGTCAGCCAGCTCATTTACTCCAAGGACTCGATGGCCTCGACGACCAGCCTCGAGCCAGTGGTTGCCGAGTTGGATTTCCAGCTGACGCAGTGGTATGAGAGCCTGCCCTTGCCACTGCAGTTTCCTTTCACACGCACCATGCTCCCTGATCCGGTGCAGACAGTGCTCCGACTTCGATTCTACGCTTGCCGAACCATCATCTACCGGCCGTATATTCTCGCTGTTCTCGACAATGAACAGGCCGTATTGGACCCCGCGGTGCGGGACAGTTGTACGAAGTGCCTAGAAGCCTCAATTCGGCAATTGGAGCACATCACTGCACAGTAAGTTGAATTTCCGCCCCCTCCCATTGGCTGGAGTCTCTGCGATGTTCTGCACTCTCCCCCTCCCAATCTAACGAATTGGCCGCAGTCACGCCGGACACATGCCGTACCTCTGGCAAGGCGCACTCTCCATCGTGTCGCAGACCCTCTTGGTCATGGGCGCGACAATGTCCCCATCGCTGTCCAGCATCCTCTGGAGTCTCGTACCGCACCGCGAGGCAATCGATCAGATCATCAACGATGTCATTCTGGAAATCGAACGCTACGCAGTCCTATCACCCAGCCTCAGCCTCTCGGCTGAGATTATCAAGGAAGCTGAGGTCAGGCGCCGGACCTTTCTCAGCGGTTGAACCCTGCGAACCGACGCGGAGACCCGCCCCGAACGTGCATGAACGCATAGTAGCATCTTTCGCCTAGCTCGAACTGAACCCAACTGAACCCACCTTTCCGGTCCTCTGGGAGAGGCCATTGCCCCTTGGGGTTTTTGACCGGGTTGTCAGAAAACCCCACGGGCTGCAAATTCGCTTATGGAAGATGCATGGAGCCGATGCACGCCCGGCACGAACGACTTTACATGCCGCCCGGAACTTGCCTTGCCCGAGCGCTTCATCAGAACCGCGCCAGTTATGCTACTCACTTCCACAGGCGTACGCAAATACCGGGAACTATCACAACGCCTTAGCCGTGAAGCTGATGCATGTTGGATGGAGGAGGAGGAAGAGATAGATTTGGTTGGTCTTCGTGACGGCTCCTCAGCGTCCATGCGGACACGGCCTGGTTCGGCAGAGTTGAAGGAGTCTATTCTGGGGCGCAACAACGGCGGTGCGCCGTCGCCTTCAACGCTTGAGACGCCATCGGCACCACCGTTTTCCAATCCTACGTTGAATCAACCGGCAGAAAAGCATCCCATCAAGGTCTAGCTGCCCTGCACCGAGAGACAGGCTCCTGGGTAGCTGCGGGCTTTTGGGCTGCGTGTGGCACACACTTGAGCTCCCTTGAGGCGAGTTTAAAATTGGCTGCAGTTGAGAGTCGCGGACTGATGGTAGAACACGGGCTCCACGGGCCGGGATGCCGGCTTTTCCACTCTTCACTCCCTCGCTTCGTCCTTTTTCACCCCGCATTCTTTTTTAATGTACCCCATTCTGATATCACCCGATCGGGGTTGTCCTCCCTCCATCTCTTCCATCTCGGCTCCTCCCCCTCCTGGTGTCGGGCGTCGATTGCAGTCAAGCTGGAAGGGGAGGAGGCGCGATAGCAACACAAGACGCCGTTTGGGATAATGCTGTTGCGAGGTCGATTGATCCTGTGGCTGTACTCAGGCTTTCCGGCGTTTATCTTTATCCATTAGGGCGGAAATACCCCAAAGCGGGTTCGGGGTGCACCATGTACACGGGTTTTTGAATATGCATGCCAACTAGATACCAAGCTTGTATTTACCCTTTCCGTTGTTGTAGATATTGAAACCACTCCTCGATTTCCCTCTTCAGTCATCCGCCCCGGTTTAGTACATAGATATGACATCAAGCCACAAACCTTCTCGTACAAATGGTGACCTGAAGTACTTTTGAGTCTGAATCCTATCTCCATCTTGGCCTCTTTGCTGATTCGTCATGCTGGTAGAGATCGAAGTTCACATGTTGATCTTCCTGTGGCCCGCGTACACCGACGTACACTAGGTAGGAGATCGTTCTCCACACCACCAAACCCCTAGATCAAGGGATTCCCCATGGGGCAGCCCATGATGATTACCTAGCCTTTGGAAAGCTAACCGACGCTGGAATACAAGTACAAGTACATGGCTTGCCCACATACTCGATATCACATCGCCCGGGCCCGGTTTCCGAAGGGGTTCTGCAAGGTTCAACTCGTTCAACCCCACAAAGGATGGAATTTTTGGGATTCCTTTCCTGATTCCAGTGTGGGGACCTTGTGGTTTCAGCTATGATATGGTGCGGGTCAAGGTCGTAAGAATGTATTCCCTGAGTACCGACATACATACACGAGAACTGTCGATAGACCTCGATTGCATTGTTGATGTGATGCAGATCGCGGCGATCTCCTCGCCTGATACAGTACATCGGACGAGAGTTCCCCCTTCGACTTACAAACATGCCATGGCCACCTGAGATGGTTGGGCAGCAGCACGACATGGTATAAACTACCTCCCTAGATATCCTGGATTCCGGTGTCAAGAGCGCTGGGAAATGGGATTGCAGGAGGAGGGGGGTTGGCACGACGTATGGATGCATTAATGTACTGTGTAGAGAACAACTTGAACTTGAGGAGGCCGTGCTTTTCCTGGAACATATGCCCATCTCCTGTCCCTTTTCCTGTCTTCTTGCCGTGATCCGCGATGGACTGAAAATAAAAGTACGGGTGCCTAGGTACTGTACCTAACTACCTACTAGTACCTGACCTACCTTAGCAAGGCTGGGTGAACTGAGCACCTCAGTTGATCTTGCCTGTCATCTCCGTCGCTGCCCCGCTGTGCAACAGTACAGTACCTTACTAGGTAGTAGGTTCGAGCGAAGCCGAACTTGGTGATGCGATTCTGTTCTTGGGACTGCAATTTTACACCACTTCGGTAATTTGATTGCGCTGGTATATCTCGGCCGCAAGTCAGATGCCCCGTGCCTGGCATCCATTGAACTGCCTGTCCGACACAATGACGCAAATTGTTACGTCGAAGAATATTCTGCACTGCATCCAGTTATTTGGCCCTTAGTTGCACGACATTCTCGTGTGCCCCTTATTAGTGTAGGTAGCTGTTCCTGGCCAGGCAGAGGCAGCCTCGGCAGCTCAAGCCGCGTTTCTCGCTGGTTTTATGTTCCAGGGGGGAGGCGAATGGTGAACGGGCCTGGCGTAGTGTAAGATGTTGGCCATTGGCGCTGCCACGCGGGAGGCCAGAACCTCGAAGCCTGGCCGAGTCCGGCTGGGGACGGCCCGGCAGCAGAGCCGTACAACACGGATCCATTCAGCCCCGGCTTTCGAAACGCTGCGGTGCTTTCATCCTGACGCAAGTGGCTCCTGCGGGCTCAACCAACGGCCGGATCATGATAAACTATGGGCAGTGGCCGTGACACTCCTCAAGCAGTTACCCGGTACGTAATCAACAGAAAAGACTCTGCCCCATGGTTCGTCCGTCTACCCATCCTTAGCCGACAACCGTTATTTTTCCTCTTTATTTTCGTGATCTTTTGAAGTCTATCTTCGTATGAAACCAGGACTTACAACATACACCGCCAAGGTGCGGAAATCCTCGAATAAACTTCACAGTCTTATGCCAAACTTATCTCAAACCATGGGAGCTTGTAGTGCCCGGAGCATCCCTGCAGCCGGTTCGGTGCCACCCGAGCCTTGCGGGGCCGGGCCGGCAGTGCCCGCTAGCCGATTGCGGGGCCGCAGGAGTGATGGAAAAGCTGCGGTGCTCGGGAGAGGTCCGGATGGGCTGTTCAATGGACTCAAGCGCCATCTGTCGCAAGCCGGTAATTCCTAATGCTGGAATTTGACCCGCGCCCAAATGACATTAGCCTTTTCATGGCCTGTACGGAGTACAAAGTAAAATAAGAACGAAGTACTTCGTACAATCCTCGGAAGTTCCGGACCGGTTCTGATGTGAAGTGTTATGTAATCACGTGACTTATCACACAAATGCCTGCCACCGGATTTTTTGGTGGATTGCACCTGCCACTTGTTAGCGTTATCACGGACACCCGGGCGGGAGATGGTGATTGCGGTGCATTGATTTACCGCGGTAATCATTCAGTTCTGAAAAACACTGGGACGAGGTTGGATAGGTCCATACGGAGTACGAAGTAAAACCCTCACCAACCTCCTCTGGACCAGGCATGGCATGAGCTTGGTTGAGCAAGTGCAACTTGCGCTCGTCACCCCTCGACCCCTCACCCGGGCCACTCCACTACGAGCGGCCTTACCCGATCATTCACCCAAGTAAGGGGTCCCGGTAACTCACTTTCGATCCCCTCCTCGCGAACTGCCCGGGCATCTACACCTAGGTATATCTTTCGGCGGTGCCCAAAGCACATTCACAGCCTGCACCTGCGGGCTTGTCAGGTATTTATCAGGCGTCGAGGGCTATCTTGCAACCCTGGTTTTCTGTGGGCCTCAGGGGTGGCTAAGGTTAGGCTCATTCGAGGGAGGATTTGTTGAGCTGGCATGCCATGCAAGTTCGACATCCGCGAAGCCAATTGCAGCTGTAGAAGTCACCGACCCGCCCTTGCCTGGCCAACCACGCTCAACCAGCTGGCCGACGCTCACCTCTTCTCGCAAGCTCGATTCTTGCTGCCGCCACTGCCCGACTTCCACACGAACCGCCAAAGCGGCCGGACTACGCTTCTTGTCGTACCCGAGTTTGCTGCTACTCTAGAGTCTAGGGCTGAGTGCGGAACGAATGGCCGACGTCGAGCAGCAGCAGAGCGGGCCCATGAGCTCTCGACGAAAGAAGCATGCTGCCAAAGCGAAGCCCCAGCCTGCAAGCGATTGGTCACGGACCAGCGAGCCACGTCCTCGTGCCTCGCCTCGTCTGAAACGTCATGGAGATATAGACGGGGACATTGTCGAGTCCTCAGACGATGCCAGCGACGACAAGGCCAAACCATCGTCCCGGAAGCAGCAACGACGCCGTCGACCGCAACAACTCCCCACGAGCAGCTCCGCGGAATCAGACACGTCCACGCCGCCGCCGAAGACCAAGACCCCGCATCGGTCGCCCCGAGGAGACTCATCAGCTATGCGCGTGCCTAACGCCTCTGTGCCTATCTTAGACTCCGCCCCAACCCTGTCCCAGCATCGGCGCCCGACCTACATCTACGAGGAGGACGATGACGAATACGACGACCCGCCCCGGCGCCCCTCCCGGCCCGTGAGTCGTCAGACCGTGTCCCGTCGTGACGCGAGCACTCACCGCTACCGCTCGACCCCCGAGTCCAGGCGCTCTCCCAGGACTTCGGTGTCGGACTCGGAAGACGACACACAGGTAACCTCTGACTCGGACGAGGAGCAGGCCATCCGGCCCCGCGACAAGCACCTTCCCCCGGCGCCCGTTGCCCCCGCCGTTCCCGCCGCGCCTTCAGCGCCCGCTATTTCCAGCTCCTTGCAGGAACGCCTCAGTCGGCAGCCCGAAATGGAGTACGAGGAGCCGGACAGTACCTCAAGGTACGCGCCGTCCGTGGGAAGGCATCGCTCGCAATCGCGTCCCGCGTCCAGCAGGCGAGATGAGTATCGGCGGCCCAGGGACATATCCATTTCCCGCCCGCCGAGCGTTGATGAGGCATTATCCCGGTCAAGATCCAGAAGGTAGTTATTCTACCTTGATCCCGGAGCCGACCTGACAGTCATTTCGCGCGCTAACGCATACAAATTAGTAGGAGGCCGACCAGGCGTCATGGATCCGACGTGTACGTGTCGAAAACGTCCCTGTCCTACAAGAGACCGCATACCGGTGCTGCATCCCATGCCGCGTCGAAACGCAGCCTAAGCATGTCGACGAACTTTTTTGGAGACCTTGCAGCGCCTGCTGCTCCCGTTGCTCCCTCTGTCCATCCTTCTCACGTGGAGAAACCGGCTAAGCGGTCAGTACCTGCCCGGGAATTGACCTGCATTACATAGCCCTGACTTTGGTTTAGCCTCACGACCTGCGTTGCCTGTAGAAATGACAAGACGCCAGTTGAAAAAACGGTCAAGCTCAAATGCCGGCATCGCATGTGCCACTCGTGCCTCCGCCGAGCCTTCAAAAAGTCGCTCACTGACCCCCAGCACATGCCTCCGCGGTGCTGCACCACGGACCATATTTCGCCTAAACACGTCGAGAAGCTCTTTGACGCCCGTTTCAAGAAGGATTGGAACCAAAGATACGTGGAGTTCACGAGAAGAAACAGTCTATACTGTCCTTCCCGTCGCTGCGGTCAGTGGATCAGCCCAGAGGATATCCGACACGAAGGCGGGCGCAGACAAGCCCAATGTAGTCGTTGCAGCATCAAAATCTGCGGCTCCTGCAGCCGAAAGTGGCATTATCAGTCTGAATGCCCAAGGGACGAAGAATCCACGCAGTTCCTCGAACAACTAAACCGAGAGGTATGGCAGCGCTGCTATCGTTGCAAAGCCACCATTGAGCTCAAAGAGGGCAGCAATCGCATGACTTGGTGAGCGGTTTTCCCAGTTGCCCAGACTCGTTTGTGACTAGTCCTTGCTGATGCTGTGTCCCTTCCTGTAGCCACTGCGGAGCAGAGTTCTGTATGGTATGTGGGGGTAAGTGGAAGACTTGCCGCTGTCCATGGTTCAAATATGACCCGTTTGAGGGCGAGGTGAACACGCGGTCAAATCCCTTCATGTCCGAGCCCGCCTTTGGCCCTAGCCCGGCCTCGGCCCAGGACTTCGAATCCGAGTTTGTGGACCCACTCCCCGCCACTGCTCGGCCCAGGCCATCAAGCTACGAGGAAGAGGCGTATCTGCGCCGGCTCCAAGAGCAGCGCGATGAGCATCTCGCGCACAGGATGCGTTCGTTTGACGCCTTCGGCCACCACGACGACCACGCCGATCTTGGTCGAGGTAGGCGCGATTTGGACTTCGGCCACCCCCGCGAGTCTCGGCGTCGGATGGAGCTGCGAGGCCGTGGTGCTCCGTTCGCAGACGATGAGTACCACCGCCGAGCCGCAACTGTGGTTGCACCATCACCACCTCAGACACACATCGCAATGGCGCCGCCGCCGCCCCATTCGGCCTTCGAACCTCCCACACGCCGCCCCTTTGATCGTGCAGCGTCCGCCTTTGAGTATGGCGCCGGCGTACCCGGCGACCGAGGGCTTCGCTACGCGTCTCCGGACAGATATGATGATGATTATTTGGACGATTTCTTGCCCGATGCACGGCGCGCTGGTTCGCCCGACAGATGGCATGCACTCTCGCGTGAGCATCGACCTCGGTCTCCTAGCAGGCGACACGGATATCCACCTGAATCGCGACCTCAATCTCCGGAAACGTGGGAGCAACTACCCACACGCTACCCCTCACCCGACAGGCCCGCGCCGGCCTCGCACGAGCGACGCCGCGCGCCTTCGCCTGACACTCCTCGACGCGCTACATCACTGGAGAGACGCCTGGCCGACCGATTCAAGACAGAGACCAGACAGAGCCCCACCGGCCCCCCACCGCCTGTCGGCCTTGCGGGACCTCCAGGGACCCTAGGACCCCTCACTCCGCTCGGTCCAATGGGGCCCGTTGGTCCTTTGGGACCTCTCAGTCCCACCAGAGGCGGCCCACCCCCGCCCTCACGGGCCGCTACTCACACCGCCGTCCCTGGCCACGTCCCTGGCCACATCCCCGGCATGCCGTTGGCACCTCTCCCGCACCCCGGGCCACCACTTGGCCCAGCTCACGGCCTCCGAAGACACACGATGGACGAGGACCCCTACCTTGCCGGACCCGGCATCATACACGGGAACCCATACCCTCCAGCCCCCGACTGGTTTGGGCCGCCTCCGGGACCGGGACTACCTGGGATGGGAATGCATCCGCACCACCACGCCCATCCCCACCACCACCCGAGCATGCTCGATATGAATAGCAGCAACATGGCCGGGTCGCCGCGTGCCCCGCACGTAAAGAGGCGAGCGCCAGGCCAGGCGCATCGCGAGCACAACAAGCATGAGATGCCGCGGTCATCGGTGCTGGCGGGTTTGGGCGGCATGGGAAGGGGAGCGAATCGCGTTTTCGAGTGGGTCAATTATATCGAGCCTGGACCGCCTGAACCGGAAGCCCCCAGGGCGGGTGGGAAATAGTATTCTTTCTCTTTTCGCTGTCTGACTGTCCTGGTCATTTGGTTGCTTGGATTTCCGTCTTCCCGCCCTTGTCTCCTTGGGTTGCTTTCTGCTCTGGTTAGTTCAGCGGGCTGCTGCTGCTGCTAGGTGTATTTGTGTTATGCTCGTTGGGCTGTGTGTGCGTAGTTAACGTCACGTTGCCACGGAGGGTTGTTTATCTTTTCTTCTGTCTGATGATGCAACGGCATATCTGATTACGTACCGTACCCTAGGAGAGAACTGGGCCAAGAGACGGAGTGCATGAGTCCATGTATGTAATTCATAACGACATGATGATGATGATGATGATGGAAATGTCATGTATACCTTATGATATGTATGCCGGAATAATGCAAGGTGTTGCGCCAATATGCCTGGCGTTAGTGTTATGACGGTTTATGAAGTATATGTATGTGCTGTATTGTATTGCATGTAGGTGGACATCCTGCTGTTGAAAGTCAGTCCTAGTCAAGTCAACTCAAGCCAAGCCAATTCAAGCCAAGCCAAGCCAACACAAGCCGACTCAAGCCAAGCCAAGTCAACACAAGCCAATCCAAGCCAATCCAAGCCAATCCAAGCCAATCCAAGTCAACTCAACTCATCAAGCAAGTCAAGTCAAGTCAAGTACATTCAGGAAAAGTCAAGCAAAGATGACTATAGTACCAAGTACTACACCCCTCAAGACCGCTAAATCCTTTACCTTGTTGAAGCCGGGGGATTACTGCGCATCCATACATATCTGTATTTTGTTCGAATAAACGCTCGTTGCTCTTGGGCCCCAGCGAGTATGCTGGGGTTTACATCTACTAGATGGCTGTTTGCGATTTCCTCATCAATGCTTAACAGTATCTGCTGATATCCTGCTCATGTATATACCAAAAGAATCGGTTGACTGACTCCATCATATCAGTTGTGTGCCGTTCTTGAACCCCAACCTCAGCAAGGAGGAAAAGCGATGTAACAGGTATCATCGTCTTTGCCAACTTTTATTGCAACTACAATGTATATACAGATACGGGTGGATATCCAGCGGGCAGTATGATGATGATACATGTCGGTCGCCGCCACTCCACGCGAGTTCATCTCCTCCCTTTCTTTGTCGGCCTCGCGTTCTTCTCGCGCCTCCTCTCCTTCAGCTGCCTGGCCTTGCGGATGTCGGACGCGCTCTTGAGCTCGCGCTTGCTGCCCTCGCCGTCCTTGAACTTGCCGATGCGCTTCTCCTTGGCCTCGGCGACGCGGCGCTTGCGCACGTGGTAGTCGTCGCGGTACTTGTCGGCGTCCTTGGGGGCCTTCTCCATCTTGTGCTTGTATCGCATGCCATTGGCAGCGGCGGCACCGGGCCCACCGCCGGCAAAATTGCGAACGAGGTTCGACTTCTCGGCCTCGCCAACCTGCGGCAGCCGGCCGAGGCGGTTCGCGCGACGCCACTTGTCGAAGCGGCCGCTCTGGAAGCTCGCGGCGATCTTGACGCCACTCTCGCCGCGAATCATCTTGACGCCGCGCGAGCCGTCCTCGTCGTTGGTGCGCGCCACGTACTTGCTGTGCCGCTTGTCCCAGCGCATCTTGGAGCGTGTCGGCAGGCCGAATGACTTGGCGCCCTCGTCGTTGGTCAGGTCCATGGCGGCGTCGCGGGCCGCCTCGACGAAGTGGGCGCTCTGCGTGCCACCAGAGTGAACACCGTAGGCGTGCTCCTCGGCAACGCTGGTGGTCCGCGGGGTGTAAGACATGAAGACCTCAGGGTCCTGGAAGGATGTCTGGCCCTTTTTCGACTTGCCGCTGCTTGTCACCGTGACCTCGAGCTCCGAGTCGGAAGCCTCGGCATCTTGCCACGCTTCCTCGTCATCCTCGCCGTCTTCCTCAAAGTTCTCAAAATCGCCGCCTTCACCTGGCTGCACTGGCAAGTCGTCGGCGTCTGCCATCGCAGTGTCCTCCTCCTGCTTGGCAGTTTTTCGAGGCCCAACCCTTGATCTGAAGCTGCGCATGACTTCGGCAGCCTTGTTCTGCGAGGATTTGCCCTTGGGCCCGATTTCAAAGATGGTCTCCTGTGGTTTAAAGCCACTGATCTTGGACAGCAGTCTATCCCGAGCTTCCTCAGCATTCGCCGCCGATTCGCCGAACAGCGCGTGCACTTGAGACCAGCCCTTGGAAGCGATGATCTCACGAGCACGCTTCGCGCTCTGGCTCGATGCCGAGTTCCTTGTCTTCATGTAGAGCTTCTCGGCCTTGATAGTGACTCGCTTGAGCGCACTAATGTCGTCGTCCTCCTTGAGCAGCTTGTTCACCCACTCTGTGTGATCTTCAAGCTGGTTCCTAATTAGAGAACCTACCACCACGTCTTGGGAAAATGACGGATCTTTCACCTCCTGCCCAAGCACCAGCTTCCTGCCGAGGAAGAGCTGGAGATCGAGAAGATAGGGGAGATCCGACTCCCTTACCAAAGCATAAGCCCAACCGCGCTGGCCAGCACGCGCTGTTCGGCCGACACGGTGGACGAAGACCTTGGGCTGAGGAGGGAAGTCGTAGTTGATGACATTCGCGAGTACGGGTATATCGATACCGCGAGCCGCGACGTCTGTTACTACCATGATATTTGTTCGCCCCCTCCGGAAGCTATCGACCTGGATCTTTCGGGCGGTTTGGTCGAGCGAGCCGTAAACATGCGACACAGAATACCCGGCGTGACGCAGCAAGCTTGCTAGGTACTCGACGTGATGCTTGGTGGCGGTGAAAACAATCGTCGAGTGCTCTGTCGGCTTCTCTTTTGGGTTAGGCCTGTCTGAGCCGCGTTTTCTTTTTTTTGATTGGTGCTCTTCATCCTGCTGGGCTCCTTCCGGCTCGCCCAGAGGCATCTTGATGACATCGCGGAGAAGGTGGAGCAGAGCACCCTCTTTTTCACCTCCCTTAACCGAGAAGAAGGCGCTCTCAAGATCGGGTGATACCTTTGTTTCAGCATCTAATCTTACGAGACTCGGTTCTTGCAGACCGGCTCGGGCGAATTCAACCAACGACGACGGCAGCGTGGCCGAGAAGAGCAGAGTCTGCCTCGAAGGCGGCAGAGCATGGAGAATCTCGGTAAGCTGTGCAGCAAAGCCCATTTCGAAGAGCCGATCGGCCTCGTCAAAGACGACGTACTTGATTGAGGAGAGGTCCAGCGACATCTCAACCTTCAGGTGCAGGAACCGGCCAGGGGTGGCGATGATGATGTCCGGGTTTGCGGCCATCAGGCCGAACTGTTCCTCCAGGCTGTCACCGCCAACAAGCAGAACCGTTTTGAGGTCGGTGCCCTTTCCCAGTTCCTTGACAACCTTCAATGTCTGCAGCGCCAGCTCGCGAGAGGGCGATAGGATGAGACCTCTGGCGCCGACCCTGGCACTGTGAGCCTTCAGACGCTCAATCATGGGGATAACAAAGGCGGCCGTCTTGCCAGACCCTGTCCGGGCCATGCCCACAACATCCCTCTTCTCCAGGATCAGGGGTATTGTTTTACGCTGGATAGGGGTGGGTACCGAGAAGCCCTTCCGTGTAATCGCTCTTAGGAGATTCGCATTGAGGCCTGAGGAAGACTGTGAGCTCATGAGACTAGATAAACGTAATGGAAAGAAAAGTATCGCTTACCCATAGCCTGAAAGCCGCCGCCCTTCTTGACCGACTTGCCCTGCAGATTGGACGCCTTCCGGTTGGAGCTCCGCTGTTGGAGGGCAATGAAGTCCTCGTCGCCGCCATCGTCGGATCCGCTGGCGTCGGCCGTATTTAGAATGCTATTGAAATCTAGGTCGTTGAAGGTCGCATTACCGGGTTTCTGCTCGATTTCGCCATCGCTGTCGGCGTCGTTGGCAAACAAGGATCCTGCAATGTCCACTTCGTTTTCCGACAGGGCCGGAGACGCTGCTCTCCTCGGCATATTGGAGCTGTATTGCGTCTGCTTCTGCGCGGGACAGCGGCCTGAAGCTGAAACTACAGATGCTCCTCCTGGGAAGATGATTGCCAGAAGGGTATTCTCTTCAAGGGGTGTACAGTACAGGTCCATTCACAGTAAATTTTCGAAGGGACCAGATTCCAGAGCAACCCGCCCAGGGCCCCAGAGCAATTTTTAGTGGGGCTCAACGCTTATCGCTTATCGCCCGCAGCGCTTATCGCCCTGAAATGACGGCAGTTGCATGAACTGCCAGCTCTTGGACTGCCAACTCTTCTTTCTGTCGCCAACCAAAACGTATACCGTACCTACAACCTCAAACCGCTCCCACAACAGGCGTTCTACTACGTTCACACAAAGCTGCGTGGAGATGTCTACACAAGAGGAGGCCCCGGCGGACAACCGAGATGCACTGGAGGTACTCGAAGCGGAAGCCAAAGAATGGGACAAAGTGCGTTTGCTTAATCGCTCTCCCTCCACGACGACAGTCTGCTGACCCTACCAACAAGGATGCCGAAATCGACCGCATTCTCAAGGCCTTCAGGCTCAACGCGTAAGCTCTCCTTGGAGAAAACCCCCCCTCCTCCATATCCGAGCGACTGTCACTAAACCAGTCTCTCTCCTCAGCTACGCCGTGCTAGGTCTTAAGCCCGGCGTGCCCGAGTCCGACATCAAGAACACATACCGCAAAAAGTCTCTCCTGATCCATCCAGACAAAACCAAAAATCCGCTCGCACCCGAAGCGTTTGACCGTCTAAAAAAGGCGCAGACGGAGTTGATGGACGAGAAGCAGCGCAAGCACCTGGACGAGGCCATTGCCGACGCGCGCATGCTGCTGATTCGCGAGAACAAGTGGACCGTCGACAGCCCGGAGCTCAAGACAGAGGACTTTGAGCGCAAGTGGGCCGAAAAGACCAAGTTCGTGCTCATCGAGAACGAGCAGCGCCGCCGCCGCCAGCTCAAGGCCCAGATGCAGGAGGAGGGCCGCGAGCAGCGCCGCCAGGAGGAGGAGGCCGAGGCCAGGCGCCGCAAGCGCCAGCACGAGGAGGACTGGGAGGCCACCCGCGACCAGCGCATCAACAGCTGGCGGCAGTTCCAGAAGGCCAAGACGGGCGGCGGCGGCGAGGGAGGGGCCGGGGAGGGCCCAGAGAAGAAAAAGAAGAAGAAGTTGAAGCCTATTGGGTGAAGGAAATCCAGCCTGCCTCTTTTATAGGAGGTCGTCTTCCCGGTTTCGTCTGGAGTCAAGGCTTGCGGGCTCTGTTACGCGCGGTTGCCGCCACCACCTGTCTTGTGAGTCTGACTCTGGAGGGAACGAGCATTAAGTGGACCCTGACAAGACACCCAAAGGCTTCTTCACCTACTTCGAACCCAGTATATACCCCCTTAACGTGAGCAGTCTCAGAAATGCATGATTGGTCCGTCTCGGCGAGCTCCTTTTGATCAATTTTGACATCTCAAGTATTGACTTTTTATTTCACAGGGCTCTGACTCTCGGCTGTCAGAGACGCCGCTAATATGTGCTAGGTGGGTCTGCTATCTGCCCAGTCCATGCCGGGAGGGGGCTCAAGTTACCCAAGCCGATACCCAGGCAGCCATCTCATCGCCTCCTCTTAGCCTTGAAGAATCTCCCCTCCTCATTTCGGCGCATGCTTCTTCTTGTACTGCACAAATCTACCCAAGTTCAAGGCTGACTCGTCCGCTCGGATCCTCAGCTCCGGCTGAGTCCGCTTATCGATCCCTTTGGCTACCGCCTTCATCTTGGGCAGGAATTCCTCCAGGTGCTTGAGGAACCCGTCTTTCCAAAACACCTCCCTATCGCACTCGGCCTCTTCGTCTCCGTACATGTCAAACAGCTGGTTCAACGCCTCCACAATATCCGCTGGCGGCGTCTGGGATGTATCGCCGCTCAGAAGCGTTACCAGGAAAACGCCTACCTCTCGATTCACATCGAGCGGGGCGGGGTCGCGTGCTAGCGAACCCAGCACACCAATGCATTTAACCCCGAGACCCTGGAAGGGGTCTTGTGCTTCATTGTCGTCTTGGCCCGGTTCGCGTTGTTGGGCGTTGGTGCCCTTCGAGGCATGGTATAGCGATATGAATTTGCGGTGCTGGGTGCCATCCGACGGTGTTCTGCCATAAAGACTGCGCGAGACAGCCCAGGCCAGACTGGCCACCTGCGTCGCCAGCCGGAGGTCGGCGCTGTCAGCTTCGAGAATGGGTGCTATTGTTTTAAGCCAGATTCTCTTAGCAACTGGATACCAGGCGCTGAAGATGCTGGCATTCTCGCCCCCAGCGAACTCGAGGCAGGATATTGTCCACGAGATATTATTAAGTGCGGACAGCGCGTGCGACTGGATCTCAAGGCTCTCGTTGCTGGTAATGGGAATATTGGATAGGCGAATGAGTTGAGGAATGGCTTTTTTGATAATCTCTCGCAATGTCGGCAAGTCGTCGAGGTCGCCAGCTTCTGGGCTAGGGGCATCCGGGCCGGTGACGCGTTCCATATCTTCATCGAGTTCCGAGTCGTCTGAGGCGTCCTCCCCGGCTTCTCCATCTTCCTGGCCTGTGTCGTCTTCATCAGGACTGGCGTTGGATTCTTGGTCGACATCCATTGCATCCTCATCGCCAAACCCGTTCCATTCCTCCTCGGCCTTGCCAGGACCTGATGGCGATCGGTTGCCTTTCTCGAGTGTTTCCTGGAGGTGGGTTCCGATCGATGCCAATATTTCCAGAGCAACCTGTGCTATCCCGGCGTGGCTAGAGCTGCCATTGGTCATCCCGCTGTTCGCCGTGGTATGCTCCAAGGCTTGGGACAAGCTGGCGATCAAGATAGCGTCGCAGGCGCCATCCTTGCCAGGGCTGTGGTCCAGCCATTGTAACGACGAGAACAGGTTATGGAGGACACCGCAGGCCAGCACCGCTCTCGCGTCGCTTCCAGTTGCAAGTTTCAGAAGTATGTCGTAACATCGCGTCTCCTGGTCGTTTAATATGGCCTGACCAAGCTGCAGATTGTCTTCTGATAATGTCATGAGGCATGACATTGCCTCATCAAAAATCTCCTTGGGAGCAATGTCTGTGGAGGCTAAACGGAAAAGGAGCCGCAGGAGGGTAGGATTTGCAATGATGGCTTCCAAGATCTCGTCCCGTGCTAATGCTAAGAGGCTGAGGAGCGTCACTAGGGAGCCGGTAATATCCCAAACTAGACGTTGTTGCGCCTTAAGAAGCTTTGCAAAAGAGGGTTCCGTCGCTGTCAATGTTTCGAGCACCTAGCGCAGAAGTGATTAGTCCTCTGAGAATATCAGGACCACCCGAGACTACAAACAACTTACAGCCTTGGCGGCGTGCTCAACTGCTGTCAAGACATCTTGTCTAAACAGGTGCACGCAGAAGTCGGCCTCTTCCTCCTGGGCGAGCACTTTCAGAATTTCCCAACCTGCGGCACGGCTGTCGATGCTGCTGTCGGTGAGTGTCTCGGTGAGGACGATGTGAACGACGTGTTCCCGCAGCAGCAATTTCCTACACTTGGCATCTTGAACAATGTTTGCGATGGCCCCAGCTGCGGCAGTCCTTGATTTTATCTCTGGGCTTTTCAAGTCTTTTAGGACGGGCAGGATCTTGCTCTCACGGAGCTTTGCGAGCTCTGGGTCGGAAGGCGGTTTCACGGGCTTTGCGATGGGATCGCTGCGAGTTTGCCGTGCCCTATTGCGGCGGGATTTGCCCATCCTGTTATGTAAAGTGAAGATCAAACCCGTATACGCGGGTGAAGATTTTCATGTATATGATATGTTATCCAACGGCACGAGTTTGGGAGTGTCTTGAAAATCTCGAGAAGGGGAAAAAACAAAAAAAATTGCACCCTAGTAACCGCCTAGAAAGGTTGCCCCGCTTCCTCGGCCCCTTTTAACGCTGTAGGCTACAAACGCCAGGACAAAGCGGGTCCTAGGGGGTAGTAGGGTACCCCGCGCGTGCGCAATAGGCGGTTAGGCCCAACAGCCAGTCGAATTCCTAAAGCTGTTGATATTGGCCAAATAGGCCT